AATGAAACTGTCAGCCGAAAAATCTAAAATGTTGTTTTGCTCAGAATCTATATTCAAAACAGAGCGTGGAACAGCTCATATTTCATCAATGATGGTTTAAACCACTCTTAAAATATTTTATCAATGCTAAAAAATACTAGATGCAGCTATGTAAAACTAAGGTGCACGATAGATCGAACTTTTAGAGTGGTTTAGTTATGTTCTTAGGCGTGTAACAGCGGCCAGACGCCATTCCCAGCCAAGCCTGCTGTTGTGACGTAATAGGTTCACCAAACAACCTTAGTAAAGTACATACGCTCGTATTTTCATAAGAAACGAGTACTGGGAAATCGTGAAAAAATCAAGAAACCTCAGTACTCAAGGCAAAAAAAGTTAAGAAAAAATTGAATGTTTAAAAAGCCAAGAATTCTGTCTCGTGAGAATCCACAAATATAACTGGATGGTTTGCAAAAAATTTAGACAGAAGCGAACGGAAGCGAACATTAGAACGGAAGCGAACCTCTTGGCAGAAATGTTTTCATTTGGAAAAAAAGGAACATCGGAAAACCCTCTTTAGCAAGTTTCTGTAGCAAAATTTCCTAGCACGAAAAATTAAGTATAGGACTCTGAATCTAAAAATGAGTGACATCTTAGCTAAGAAACTCTTAAGAAACCATAAATACTTGATTTTCCTAAACTGTTAAAAACCGGAGTACACAGCATCGACCTTTGTTTCTTATTCAAAAATAAAGAGTGTACCTCTGTAAATGACCTGTCTCACACGAACGCCCCAAGAAGATATGGGCAAATTCATATCACTAGAAGAACTCATACAACTCCATACATACAACTAACTATGGTTAACTCTGCAAGAAGGCCTTGCCACCTTGACTATTTAATGAGGCAAAGCTCTAGTTGAAAAGTCAGTCAAAACCAGTACATGGCAGATTGATGTTAATCACTCTAAACTGCAACCTAACCTTGATATGATATTGTTGAAACAATATAAGGATCGGCGCTGAGCAAACCCAAGAAAACTACACCTTTGTCGGTTATGGCGGGCACCAGTAATTACATCTTACGGTCTGGGCAAACTTATTAAGCTGTGGGTATTACATACCGAATCTGAAGAAAATGAAAGGAAAGCCAATGAACAAGGGTACAATTAGAGCTGGGATGTGGTAGTAAACGCTTTCGCGGCTCTAAGAATGACTTCCTTCCTTTGCCAAATTTTAGACCAGGAAACTCAAAAGCATGCAGAGTAGAGAAAAGCCAAATTTGGTGAATTACGAAATGCATTACTGCCTTGGTGCTAAACATATATACATCGGTGGTCAGCAATAGATACAGCAAAATTTCTAAATGATACGCGTTTTTGATTTGGACAATGATATAAAAAGCAGTTTTAAAGCGGAAAGTATAACCTTCCAATAAGAAAGGACGATGGTTCAAAAATAAGAGTGGGCTGACAGAAGCTGAGGGGGGGGGCATTCAAACTAAAACAGGGTTGAAAACCTAAGGCTTTCAAAAAAGGGGTTTTGCGGACAAAGAATAACTTTACACTACCTGCAGCTTAACTCTTTCTACTCTTCTTTATGTTTCTGAAGTGCAACCAACTGATAGGTGAATGTAGAAGGGGCCGTATAAAAGAAAGTTTCACATCAAAAAGCTCGTGAAAGAATGTATTTGAAGGCACTTTGCAAATTATAATAACTCCTAACAGCGATTTATACAAACTTTTTTAGCGAAACAACGTGAATCATTGGTTTCAGAAACGATCTGCAACTTGTAATAAATCAAACAGCTAATAATGGGGTTTAAGCGGTTTTCAGTCACACTTGAGACGAGGCTTCTATGCAATAAGGTTTTAAGCTTCAGTTGATGGACAGATCCCTAAGGAATGAATCCATTCGTTCCCAAACCTACACAACAACGAAATATTTGCATTCGTTCTTTAAAGTCATTTCAATAAAATGAATGACGTCATAACAGCTTGTGTACAGCCATCGGTATCAAAACATAAAGGTCAAAGAAAGAGGGCCCAGAAGCTAAAGTCTACTTAGATTGATTAGCCATGGAAATATCACATCGAAAAAGAAATTTACTTTCATTTACATACTTTTATCAATGTTCTTACTCTCAGATTTTACCAACGGTCGGCGAATACAGTCTCACTCAAATCAATTTCTAAGGCTTAAAATGTTCAGCCTGATAATGAAACAATATAGCAAATTCGTAGTATGTACACTCGACACTGGATATTGAAAATCTCCAAGAAACCATTTTTGCGTGTTGTTGACAACTGGTGACAAGAAACCCACAGTGAAGCTGTGAAAGCGAAAGCACATTTGAAAAAAAATGGATAATAGATGGTTGTAGCTAAGAATATCAGAATTTAATCAAACAAGACCACGTGATGTAAGCTGCAAACAAGACCACGTGATGTAAGCAGAGAAGGCCACAAAAGGCAGAAGAAAACAGCTCAGATTAGTTGATAGCAAAACAAAATACAATGAAAACCAGGTAAGAATCGTTAGGCAAAGAATAACAACCAAAACCAGAAGAGGAACAGCAGAACATAACAGAATGGCAAATATCAGGGCAAGGCAAAGCAACATGTGACCAAGCAAGCAAAACAGAACAGACCTGGTCTGCCTATGTCCCTTCCTATTTTGTAAAATTAAGAAAGTTATTAATACAAACTTATTAGGTTTTGCAATTTTGCTTAATAGTTTGCTGTTGATCTCCCACCCTTCCTACACTCACTTATTCACTTACTTTGAGTCTTGCACCAGAGGCCCCGTTCTTTCCAAAATCAAGTAACAACAACAAAAGCTTTTTGTAAATATAGGTGATACAACTAATAATGAAACTAAAATTTTACAGAGCACTTAAATAAAAAAACAAAAACGAATAAAGTTTATTGAATTCAGCAAAGTTTCACATTTTCATGGAGGAACAGTCTTTTGGTCTTGAAATCAAAATTGTATTCAGTGTTTTTAAAAGGATGACATATTTGTAAATTCATCACAGCTAGAAAAAGTGGAAATGCTCAGGTTTTCTACTGTCTGCAGCCCAAAAAAGACAATGAAAACACAATGAAAAGATTTGGCCAAGTTGTAAAATTACAGTTATTGTGGTTTACCATACAAAATCACTGGTATTTCAGAGTTAATGTACAAATGAGGTTGTCAGTGTGGCAATTAAATGTGTGGCGAGGGCAGGTGACAAATTACAGACAGGCAATGAGGTTTGTAAACCATGTTTGCATTTCTCTGTTTAAATCGATAAGCCACATTTCCCTACAGCTAATAGATGGTAATTATGCAACACAAAAAGTTCAGTTACAACCAAAGCTAGCTTTTGCTAGATAAAAAGTTATAGAGTTATTTGTTATAAATATAAAATGAAGCTGATGTTGGTGAAACTATGGCAAAGTTTCTGTTTTCAAGTCCTTTTAATTATGATTGAATAAAAGATTCATAATCGCCAAGATCACACTCATTGATATTATATTTCATATTTTAAGAGATTGTACAAAACAGGACATATTTTGACAGAAATGAAATTCATTACTTCTCAATTCTAGTCATGTGATCTATAAATCTATCACAAAGGTCTTAAATATAATTGTCCGTCACAAGGAAATGATGAAACCCTTGCCCCTAAATGAGCCTACATCTCATCTGTTGTCAATGGTCAGAGGCTATAAATCAATCAGATCTTTATAGAATTTGGAGCTAACTTGACAAAACATTTTTAAGGACTGGTTGCTCTATAAATCAATAATTGAGGAGGTACTCAGAAGAAACCAGAAACCATATAGCTGGAGTGACACATAATAACCTTAAATCTATTTCATCGTTGAGATGGGACTATGCAGTCTTAAATAGAATACAATGCAGTAATTGTGTGCTGATGATGACTTAGCCAAAAAGGTGAAATGGCAATGATGAGGGAATGATATGCTTGAACCACAAAAATCCTGTTATTCTGATAGTTACTGGCATATTTCAAATGATTTTGCTATTGAGGAATATTTCCCCACAGCAGATAACAACAGACTAGATATTAAGAGGTTTTTGATACGTTACTGGGTCTTAATTATACTAACAAATAAATAGATAAGCTTTATGATTATAATAATGTTTGGGTTTTATTAAATGGAAGAGGAGGGCTAATCATTATATTCAAAGAACAGTACCTGCAATAAAATTTTTTGGATGAAGTATAATGGAATACGACAGCTCCAAGTTTTCCTAATTGTTCAATATTATCAAAAATATTTGAATTAAACCAACAGGTATTAATATCAAAAGTCATTCTTTCTCATGCAAGGAATTACTAAACAATATAACCATTAAAATTTTGTTGTTCATCAGTATTTGTTGATAGAGAGGTGAAATTGTCCATAAAAGTTTGATACATTCTAGAGGAAACCATCATGTTCTATGCACCACAGCATGCACTGTTCTGCTGTTATGACAGATAGTACAAAATGACAGAATTTTAAACTCTAATTTCCATTTTTCTGATGACAAACCAATGTTAAGTTTGATTGTTATTACTGCATCATCATATAAGGCTTGATAAAGATAAAGTTCTGCTGCAAACTACCTGTGCTTTGAAAAATACTGTTAAACGGTAAAAAATGGCCCTATGCACGTGCTATGTTCTTGTTATCAAGATGAAGTTGTGGTGTCGTTAAGCAGGGTCTTTACGTAATAGCAAAGTCTTTGATGCTTCAGCAAATTTCTAAAGGGCGCCCAACGTTTCATTTTTACCTCCCATCTGGAATTCACAAACCTTACCCCTACTTAGCTTTTCAAAAACTGTAAATCATAATTATTGGGGAAATTGAAACAAAATAATCTAAAGAGCAAACCTATAATAATTCGTCAGCAATGCACAAGTGTTTGTCGGAGCAAATCCATATAGTCATCAAATGTCAACACAACAAGACAGAAATGAAACAACTAAAAGGGAAATGCTAACTGGAAAAATTCAATCTTTTAACAAACCTCATATCAACATTTTGAATATTCAGCATATAATTTGTGCAGGTGCCATTTAATTTGTACATTCCCGCCAGCTGAGGTTTCAACAACAAACCGTTATTGAGCTGAATTGATACAATAGCCTCGTTCCCGCACGTTGTGGGAGCGATTAGGGTGCGGCAGCCAAGGTGATGGCAGAAACGTTGCTTTGAATTTTAAATAATCATTAATTGTACTTGACATGGTCTAACAAACAGTCTTAGATTACTCCTTATCGGTCTTTTATAAAGCGCTTGGTGCCATGTAGACATGATTTGGCTTGTATAAAAAGGCGATTTTAAGTTGCAATTACGAGTTTCAAAATCAATGCCTACGTCAGACAACAGCTGCTTGATGGTAGCATTAAGCATTAAATTCAAGGTTGCAGCTCAAAACTATATTTTAATCATTCCTTTAAAGGGAAAATGAACAACTTGGTTGAGTGACAATATCAAGGCTTTAGGGCTAGACACATCAGAGACTGTGAGAATGGCCCAAAATAGAGTTATTTGGAGATTGCTGGTGAAGAGGTCCATGGCTGATAAAACAGGACCATCATGATGCATAAAAAACATGATTTCAAAATCAGACTGAGTCATGTTATACCATCATGGAAATAAGGTCAGCATGACCTTTTAACGTATCCCTTTCACTGAACTTAGGGGTTTTAATCTTTGCTTTTAATTTATATAATTGTATTTTAATCTTTTTAATTTGTATAATATGTAAAGAAAATGATTGTGGCGAATTAGATACACATACATACATTAGCATCATTTTTGGGGGTGAAGAAATTTATTGAACGATTGTAATTACATACTGGGTTTAACTATGGCTTTGTTAAGCTATTGCCACTCCGAATGCACGAAGAATTTGCTGAATTCAAACAGAAAATGCAGCATGCAGTCCAAGGGAGAGCGTCTAGCAAATAGAAAAGTTTATTGCTTCGTTATTAACAGTACATTTCATTGAAAATTGTAAAGCCTCTGACAAATTACTATAATGCTCAAATAAAGCCTGTTTTCCACCAGGCGAATTCTTTCGTGCGAATCGAATAAAGAGTCATAGCGATAAAGTAGGACCGTGATCTACTTTCTGCGAATCGAATTTTTTCGCGGCAAAATTTGAGAACATGACACCACGCATACTCACATTTGAAAAAGTTCGATTCGCGACAAAGAATTCGTCTAGTGGAAATTAGCCTTAACGATCAAAGTATGAAAGGAGACTTTGCCAAAAAATATCATACATCAAAATATCATAAAAGCTTTTGGATCTGGAATAATTTTCTACAATGGTAAGTAAACTTTCATGAAAACTAACTTTTTGAACTCGAAATATAATGTCTTTAGAGTACCTCCACCAGTTTGCCTTTCAGTTAATATTCAAATGACCACATTTTCAAAAATCAACGGCAATAACAAAGAAACTGAGAAAAAACGAAAATAAACAAACTACCCTGGACATTTCATTTTAAATAAACTGACAAAAACGTTGTCTTGAAGTTATCAGATATTTTACTGCAATAATAATCAACAATTCAGCTTACATTTAAAAAGAGTTATTTAAACAGTCGTTCAAGTTATCAAGAAGCAAGCAAAGATAAAACTATATACAGTCTCTAATTTATACACATAATTTGTAGTTCAGAGATAAATGCTCTCATCGCGACTAAAAGAGAAAGAGATAACACAATAGTTATTAAAAAACACGACAATGACAAAATAGTATCAGCAGAAAATTTGCTTCAAAATGTTTCCAGATATCTTATTGTTACAAGGTCCCGACATCTAAAAACCTAACAGCTTCGTTTCTACGCCACAAATGCCCAGGAATTTGCGCTTGACAAGACATGAATCTAGCATGAAGTGCCGTTATTGTAAATACTAGTACCCAGGACTTTTATGCGGTCTTTCCTGCTTAATACCAAAGACGAATATCTAAAAAGATTCAACAGCGTGACACAAGACATACTGAGACACCAGGGAAACATATAATGTTACAACATATAGAGGGGCAGAGTCTAGAAAAGAATTAGTTTCTCCAGACAATTTCTTCAAGCTCTGGAAACGTTCTTCAGAAAACAAGGACAACAAGGCGGGTTTTGGGCGTTTGGGTGTGGCACTTTTATTTCCAATGTTTACATCGGCCATCCTCGTCATTGATGGTATGACAAAAGTATTTTGCAGGCTCTGATAGGGGGTCAGCAGATATTTTAGGCCACTAGGTAGAAAATAATGAGACTATACTTTGTGATGACATATTGTGATATATTGTGAATAGTGTGACATTATACTTTTGGATACTATAAAGCGAAATCCTGCTATGAAAAATTCTGTAAGAATCAAGAATATTTTCGCAATAACTGGAGTTCACTATATTGAGAGTATTCCAAGCGATCAAACATTAAGTTCGTCATAGCGGATGTACGCAATAACCGTTATTGAGGATTGTGTTTCTTTTATTGCCTATAACCGAAAATAATTCAATAGATATGTACACGTACACGTCTAGGAGGGTACACAGCTCATTAATCTTTGGAAGATCAGTGGCAGATATAATAGGGTTTAGTTATATATTATCTTTTAGTCTTGGTTTGCCAATACATCGATCAATGACTACCTTTCCCTTTGTTGTAATAAAGAATTCCTGCCCTCTGAGATTCAAGAACAATAGCATCTATCACGAATCTGGTCGTAATTAGCATTTATACAGTAAGATGTATTTTTCTGTATATTTCTAGTGTCAAAATTACTTTGTGAAGGACGCTTTACCTATCTGGCCAAATTCCAATTGCAAAATTTGCTAACTTCTTGCTTGCGGCATATTTTAGAAATAAGGCTATAAAAGTACAAATTAAGTTGTAGTCACGACGTAACTCTCTTAAATTGGGACTTTAATTGCCACATACAACGAATAAGATTTTGCAAAATGAAATGTGTTGTCATCTACCGAAACCACTGGAGAAATTCCAGGGAATTTTCGCAAAAGGTTTCCGTAACTGTTTTAAACTAGTAAAAAGAAGCTAAAAGACTCCATACTATCTAAAAATACTGCCCGAAATACGCTGCTAGGCAAATTAAATAACAGGACACATGGAAGACATTTTCCTACTGGCAATATATGGCTTTAATTTTATTCAGTGGTGGTCGACCGTGAGCAGTTGAAAGAAACGCCACACTAATTATGATGAAGTGTGCATTGTCTGAATGTTTGCACTGAAATTTCCTTTTTCTTGGTTGGCTAGTGAATCTGAAAATCACTTGACATACATAACGCATTGGACAATTAATTTAACACCTCACAATCAAGTCATGGGATATTGGAAGATGAGATGAAAGAATTATGTAGAAAATATTATTACCGGCTCTACAATACATCAACACGCAAAAAGTTTGTAGATCACAAACAACACCCTGGAAGAGCAGTGCCTCCTTCGGTATTCCATCCTTCTGGCAACTCCTTGTATAATAAGGGTAAATGAAAAAAGGGAGTGCTAAGAAATGCACTGCTCATATTCATGTCAAGAAATCATCTATCAATTTTCAAACTTTCTTAGGAAATATGTTGCATAGGTGAGGATTCTAAAAAGTATTGCATAATAAAATTTATGTTTAGAAATGGTCCCTTGCCGTGGCAATAATTCAACTATTCAGCTTTACGCTTGTTTCTTCTGAAAATCCACCATAAATACTTTTATCAAATAAACTTGACATTTAATTCAAAAGAAAAATAAGCAGGAAAATTAGCAAGTCCTATCACTTTACTCTTCCACAATAAGGCAAACATTTGACTGATCCCTGCAGCTTTATGCACCCCCATCAAAACAGGTAATTTTTAAAAGAGTTCTATAGCCCTCACTACTGCCACATATATTTTGCAATAAAGCGAATATAGATTCAATGAACTTGTTCATCTAGTCACGTCCATTCACATGAAAATTGTGACGAAAATCTATCACTTCAACCGGCAGGCAAGAGTTGTTGGTCAGAATCTTCTAGCTAGCACCATGGCAAAACTTGTTTGGCTTTCAGTTTGCCTTCGTCACTACCTAATAGTTATTGACTTGATAGCGCTATAAGAAGCGAACAGCTAATACCAAATTTGTGGCCATATTTTTGGACCGGAACGCAAATTTAAATTTCTGTCCTCCTGTTAAATTTTTTGGTTGTAGCGGCTCCACTATATGAATCATTTAAGCTAAGAAACAGCGGTTTGTTATGTTATGTTATGGTTTGGACTATGTTTAACGAGAGAAATGTATTGTAGATTTAAAAGGCCAAAACAGGTTTCTTCGTTTCTCTAGGTGTTTCATCTGATGGATGTCTTTACATAAACTGCTCGTATCGAGGCATTTACATTTAAGTGTTAATGCAATATGAGCTATTTGCATTTTGGCAAGACTGGCTTGAGGCAAATGCTTAAAAATGACATCCCTGTTATCGGGTACACGTGTGTTAAGAATCAATGCAGTAAACTGCACAGATGTACACTTATAGTTAGTACATCAGAGTAGATAGTTAGACACGTGACCAAGGTTCAATTTCTTTAAAGGAACTGGGAACAAGAGCGCAAAACATGACAAGACGAGAGGTGAAGTCACACTAACATCACTGGAATCACACTTCATGATTTGAAAACGCTCACAAATTAGCTGTTTGATCCTTCATTATAAGATTTTTAAAGAGTTATTGACTGATTATTGCTTGCAAAGTATTTGAAGTTTAAAGCAGCCCGAACATTGCACCCAAACTCTTGGATAGCTCAGTTTTGTAATGTTTCGTGGTTAAATGACAATAATAAATCAAATGTTTTGGCTTACTGTCATGATCTCTTGTTCCAGTTCTCTCTGCAGTTTATTTTCGTGGACGAATTTCCCAGTGAATTCAGGCGGTGTGCTTTCAATCAGTACCGACCTTCCGCAGAATGACTGCCAAGAAAAGAGAAAATATCGGGTGAAATGTCAGAAATATTCGATTTATTCTCTGTAAATGCTGATGGTCAAATTAGCCTCAGGAAGGGCTTAACGTCAACTGTTCTTACATTTTAACATATTTAGCTATGATTAACTTTTTGACACTGCGTCACATTAAATGGTTTCACGAGGCATCTAAAGATTTTCATGCTTGTAAAAAAATTTTATAAACACTTAGCCTGAAGAAAGAACTACTTTTACTGACTCACTAAACTGTTCTAGCAACTCACTAAACAATAAATCAAGGGTACAGAAAAACTTTTCAGAGAGCTTGGCATTGACCAAATGCATTAAGTTTTCTGAGCAACAAATGTTAAGAAATTTTAGAACCCTATCAGTTTCGAAAAATGATAAAGCTGTGTTTTTCTGCTGTCGAATCAGCATGATACGAAAATATATCCAAGAATCTTTTCGGTTAACGATCGAATTTGTATCACAACGCTATTTTGAATTTATTCTATTACGTTCAAAACCCTTTCAATAATTAACAAAAGGCTAAGGCTAAGTTCTATTTACAATTCATTCTAGTTATATAACATATCCGAAATTCATGTCTCGAAGGATAAACAAGTAAACAAATGCGCAAGGCGGTCTCTGTGTCATCTACACTTAGTACTCATGTTCATTCTCAGGGGATACCTATGGATTGAATTTCTCAGTGCAGAGGGATTCCCAATTTACCCCTTTGTCACTTTACCTGTTATGCTCCTCTAATACTAGAAGTAAGTATAATAGAAAAATCATTCACAAACCGTTGTTTTTATTCGAGTATCTATTGTCTCATGGGTGTGTTCGCTGAAACAAAAGTCACAAATGACCGTATATACAAGAGTTGTGCAAATTGGAAATAATTTCTATCAAGGGATGTTCCATTCATTTTCTGCTGGAAGAAAGTGACAAACATGTCAAAATCAATAGTTATTTGGTACTAAAAAAAGTGGTACTGGTCCCACATATCCTAGCATGTCCTCTCTGAGTTTTTTTTCCTTTTTAAAGATCGCGTTTCTTAAAGCATTCGTGGAAGGTTGATGCGAATGAATCAAATGTAAATGGCATTATTAAACTGATCTTTAGAATATTGAAACAATATTTTGCTTGCGTTTTGTTGCAAAATACCAATTATATGTATTTGCCACATCTACACTGAAATTCAATTGAGCGTGCAAAAAGAGTTTTATCTTAATACATTAAAACATTGAATCTGAAGGCTAAAGAATACAAGAAAACATGCTATATGCCTATTCTAGACAAAAGAAATAATTAATTCGGCACGGCTCTTACTTATCTCTGCTTTCCCCTCGCGACCGAAGACGTGAATGTGCGATTGTCTCTAGCTGTTTCTGTCTTGCTTTCTGCAAAAGGGTTCGGAATATCACTTGCATGTAGGAAGTAATATAAAAGCATAGAGAGCATTAAGGTCGAAGAAATAAAAACGATCGGTGTAGAATAGGATGGAGAAGAACCAAGGCAAAACAACTGATGTATGGTCAAAGATAAGAAAATAGTGAAAAAAATGAACTTCCTTAAAGGGCACAAGCCTCCCGTAAGGGACGCAAACACAAAAAAATTCAAAATTTTTCAGCAAATATGAGAAGAAGGTAAAAAAGGATCGACAAATGCAATGAAAATGAAATACGGAAATCGATGTGGAAACTGGTTGCGCCAGATGTTCGGTATAAATTGGACGAAAATCATCGCATTACTCTTAAAACAAAGTTTCCAAAATTTTAACCTTGAACAACCAAAAAGTAAATATCGGTGTGTATTCAGTTCGAATGTGAGGCAAATTGAGAAGCCATCTAATTAGTTACATCAATTTACCATACAGAGAAAAGATTTGAATTAAAATCTCTTACTTGAAGGACCCTATAATCTGACGTCCTCTCCACGAAATCAGAAAAATCCTTGAGAGATTTTTCCTCTTGCTTATGACTTTCTTTGATCTAGGATTGACCAAGGATTGCAAAATGAAATGCACTGCTTTAAAAAATATTCTACAACTGATACACAAATAAAAAATCTTGTTTTAGATAACCCACAAAAAAGAAAAGCTGTTCTTGAATAAAAGTTATGAAGCAACCGAATGATTTTAGATCTACTAATCTGACAGCTCTTGCCCTAGAAATGTCCTTAAAATAGTTTTCAAAAACCATACAATCTTTTATTCCTTATGGTAAAGTTACTGTCAACTGGAAACAAAACGTTTTCAAGACAAAATTGATTCATCTGATAATATGGTTCCGTGTACTGATTATGTGATCTTGCCAGTCTTCTGTCGTTCATTTAGATGGTCACATTATTTAATGCAGAGAAATCAGGTGAATCGTCATGTTAATAAATCTTAGAATAAAAGGTCTATTTATCCAATCGTGAACTTTTTACCAACTTCTTATGGTGCTGGAGACATACTAGTTCATACGTATGAAAAACAGATGTCTCTATTGACAATAACTATTTTGCTTTCCTGTTACAGTAGAATCCCGTTATAACGTACTCGGTTATTACGTACTTTCGGATATAACTTACTGGTGTGCTTGGTCCTGGCAAAAGGTGTGCTTGGTTTTAATCATTTTTTACTTACCCTCGTTACAACGCACTTGGGATATAACGTACTTAGTACGCTGGTCCCTTAAAGTACGTTATAACCAGATTATACTGTACATCTCACTGCACACTAGAAATCATCACCGCGCATATCAATTACCTTTTCGTAACATTCTTCTTCATCAATCAAATTATTACTTGACTCCGCTTCAACGAGCATTTTCTAAAAAACCATAAAACAAGTAATTAGGTGGCAAATTACTTCCACTAGAGGTGCTAGGAAATGTATTGTCTGACTTTTAATGGTGAATAAACTTAAAATTTCAAAATAAATCGTGAAGATCCAACTGACTACAGTCGTTCAATTCGAATAATGACCAACTAGAACTAAAATCATGACTAGGACGTGAGATGCTGCTCTCTATACTGCACATTTCTTATGTTTCACCTAAGCTACGAGGATAAGGATTTCATGAACATACCTTTCCGTTCTGGTTTAAGCCCCCCCCCCCATCACAACCTTTTGCATTCTTTTTTCAGTCATTTTATTTATTAAAACAACTAGATTGAGTTGTCAACATTTGACTTGGCAAAAATTGTTGGAATCTCATAATATTCACATTTAAAAATTGAGAGCCCCACGATTTCACTACCTCCCCAGGTAATCAACGTTGCCGCTAAATCCGGCACCCCCTTTTCCCCGCACAACGCTGTTTCCTTCATTAGAGGTGTTTATGCCCCCTTTCCTGGTTAGATTATTGTTGAAAACCATACAATACTAAACTGAGCAGCATTGCAATGAGAGGAGGGAAATCAGTTTAAAAACTATTAAGATTTTTTATTGGTTTTTCAACAAATGAAAGTAAAAATCTAAAAATGTAAAAAAAAATACCTGGACAGAAGTAACACTTTGAGCTCGTTCCTCCAACGTTTGAATGATGGTGTCGATGCAGTCCCTGTCCGGTGAAATAGCTCTGATTCCCTCTTGTTCCAGTTCTGAACGAATCTCCAACCAAACTTCAAGTGTCTAATAAGCAACGGAAAAGCAGTTTTATACGGCCATGGTGCTTTATTTTCCTGTACATAATAGTTGGTAAGGGTATCATTGTTCTTATCTTTGAGCTTAAAAATGAATCTCGAGCAATTTTTTGGTACTACAAAATTTTACTTAAAATTAACTTTGAAGAAATTTTAAAATCTTATGAAATTCTTGTCAAGGCTCCTCCAATTAAGAAGCCAGAAAACCGATTCTCTTTTTATAGCTTGCACTCTTTCGTTTGTAGTATGCGTAGCCTTGAAATACTGGAGGTGAATTCTATTTCAAAATTACGCCCGCCCCCCCCCCCATACCAAATAAGAGAAGCCGAAAATTTAAAGGCTGGAAGCAAGGCAGCTAGAGCCAGTGTGTGCACACCAATAATTGACGGTATAGAGTATCAATAGACTTGGTTAAAGAAAAGGAAACGATAATAACTGGCCTTTTCTTTCACTGATGCTCAATTTAGTGAAAATCGGTATAAACTGACCAGAGTCGTCAGATTTCACTAACCTTAAATTCTAGATATCTTTCAACGATCGACAATGTGATGTAATCCGACGTATGCAACCCAGGGACATTGTTGAAACCTGTTCAATTGGCAAGGAAAAACTGTAAGGTTTGAATAAACGCAAAAGTAACTTTATTTTGAATGGTAGACTTCCAATCATGTTTATCGTGATGTCATCACGATAGATTTAACTAGCATTTTCCAATGTGTAGCCCGTAGTCAAGAGTATTGTAATTAAAGTGCTTAGAATTTGTACAAGACTTTTAAAGTAAACATAATAGAAGAGGGGGGCTGTGCATTATAACTGTTATTGCATTTAAGAAATTAAAAAAAATACAATGAGTGTTCTCTACAAAGTGCATAAAAACCGAAAGATTAGAAAATATTCTCAGTCACGTCAAGACATATTTTGGAAATGAAGTAATGAGAACTACAAAACCCAATAATGTAAAATGAAACTAACTGCTCTCAACTCTACGTCCCTAACCATGGGGCTAGGTGTAAAGTGCCCATTATCTCTAAAAAAATCCTTATATGATTGTTATAGTCATACCCAGCTTGCAAAACATTGAGTATATTTTTGCACGAATATTCTCTGATACATCAACAACAGCAGGGCTTGGAAATGAAGAAGGCAGCGAAATGATCCCTTGCTTTTCCTGAAGACTGCTCAAAATTGGCTTCTTTGCATCTATAAAAGCAATCCTCGTTTTGTATTTAAGAACATACCTAGACGACATTATCAAATCGAGGCTCGAAGCAAGGAATGGATAATATGCAAACAAAGATATTAGTTAATTTTGATTCAATTCAACTTGGGAATGCGTAAACACAGCTTTGCCAATTGGTTACACGAAAAGACAGTTTATGTTAAAAGCAACTATGAATATGGCGTGGAGGACAAACATGAAACGGTTTATCAGACAATTGTTGAGAGCAGACTTTAAACAAAAAAAACAGCTAAGTATATGAAATAGGAACATCTTATCTTTGATCGCTTCTGCTTTGAATCGATACTTGATACCATGGTACTCATTCCCTAAATGCTTTGCATAAACCCCTAGCGTCGTCCTCACAGCCTTAACACAGGAAATATGGATCGCCTGATAATTTTCTTTTTTTGAGTATTTTTGGGGGGGGGCTAGAGCTGCCCCTCTCCTCTTAAGCCACTGAATGTCCAGTTAAAAACCCTTGAAATGCTCACATGAAAGTAATATATGATAAATGCCATGGAATAACTATTGGCAGCTTTTTTCCAGGCCCCTCCCTAAACCTATACCTCTGTCAAATGACACCACAAGACGCTGCAGAATTCACGGCGATAGAAATTGATGTTTTCTATTAAATCTTCCCCTTACTTTTACTTGCAACGTCTCAACTTGGAATTCTCTTGGAAGAGATACATTATTCCGGAACAACTAGAATGGCAGCGCCTGAGAACGAGCTTTACGCTTATGCAAGCAATTTAACACAAAAACACACACATTAAACTTGATGAACAAGACTCGTACCATATCTCTATATAAAACCTTTGCAACTGAAGAATCACTGCATCACACTAGCAAACGTATAGCAGAGGATTGAAAATGTTTTCAAGTTCATCGTAGATAATGAGAACAAAGAAACAAACAGTTTAATATGAAGAAAGATGACAGAAGATGACAAGAATTGAAACTTTGTTATAAAACTAGATAAACAATGAAACAAACCTAGGATCACTCCTGACAGATCGCGTGAAATACCAAGGTTAACTTCTTCATGTCTCCATATTTTTATAAGTAGCTGACCAACAGTGCAGTCTTCTTTACCTCGCCATAATTTGACATGTGGCAAAGCCTGAAAAATTGAAAAAGAGGCTCATAGCACAACAACACAGATTACTTTCAAAATTACTGTTCTTAAACTTTAAAATGCTTCATTTTTTTCTTGTTAGTGCGCACTACATAGTTATTCTCTTCTTTTGTGAATATAATTGAACCTGGTAGATATTTGTCAATAAACAGTGATTTGAGGCCTAGGCATGAAGAAGATTGCTATAAAAAAAGAAGGTTGCATTTCTAACTTCATAACTGCAATATAAGCTATTAAACATCAAAATCCAATGTACTCTTAGGATTGGTATAAATTCATATTTCATCACAACTAAGCTTTCTTTTTTGCTAAAGATTGATTTCTCTTTACTTAAAAAGCGATTCTCTAAAACGTTTCTCCTTTGACATGTTAGTAATCCTTTTGAGTTGCTCATTAAGCTTTTCTGTAGCAAAAAGCCTTATTTAAGTTAATTTTATATAGATGATTCAAGTTCTTAAGAACCAAGCGGCTAGAACTCGTTTAAAATTTGAAATTCCTGCTGACTAATTTAAGTGATTCGAATTCCTCTGTATGATAAAACTTACTCTTGGATTTTCGCAAATATCCAGTATAGCACCTAAAACCAGATTCCTCATGTTCTCAGGGCAAACCTTTGGATAAGAAATAAAATATTTCAAAGGGCCAGACAGAAGCAGGTATATTAAATAAGAATTCCAGCAATAAAACAGCCATACAAAACTATATACATTAGGCAAAAATCCCGTGCAAAAGTCTTGTTACACGAACGTCAGTCATGCCCTGCCATTTTCCCATGGGGAAAATGTTATAAAACGATATAGGAGATTAGAAAAGAACGTTTTTTCATGTGACATTTCATGACATTTCTATCGTCTCGGAGGGGGGGGGGGGGGCAAAGTATAGGTTTGTTGGGAAAATTAAAATTAAAAAAAACAACGCCAATTGCTCGTTGTTCCAAGGAATTTTGGAAGGTGGTTCGTGGCTCTAAGATACAACAAGCTCATGTCACTGATGTATCAGTCTCAATCAGAAGGTTTACGCTTCTTGTGATGGAACTGAAGCAAAGAAGAGAGGGTACTTCGATTCATTGGCATATCAGACTAAAATTCAAGAAATATTCTATTCGGGGAACATCAACAACAGATTTTTCTAGTCCTTTCCTTCATAAAATTTTCCCCATCGAATGCCTGGACATCACAGTTTCTGAAGACTTTTCCTTTTGCTTAAGATTTTTCCAACAGAAAATTAATCGAGCTAAAGAAATATTTACTGGCACAAATTTCACAAAAAGGAAAACCTGAACAACCAACCTCAAGCAAGTCCAAAAGAAGAAATAAACCTTCTTTTTCCAGAAAAGCTGTCTCGTTGACGAAGCAGCCGACAACTGACGACCTGAAACGATATAATGATAATCTAAAACCAACTTTTGCATAGTAAAGTTGCAGCATGTTGATTCTGGCTTTCAAACGATAGATGAATACGTTATACAAGCAGGAGACGAAGGTCCCATAAAGCAAAACCCCATTGTTTTTCGTATAAGATAGAGAGTACTTACAATAGAAATCGAGCCACCTGAGAATGGAGATTATTGAAATAATGTATCTATTCGTGAATTCAAACTTTCTATGACCTGGCGCTCTCCGTATATAACCAATGTTACAATTAGGGGTTTCGACTAGAGTACCCCAGTCTTAAAATAGAACTTTGGGGCAATATATGATTTTTGTCTATATAACAACCTTTTCAACGTGACAAACTGCCTTTTTATTCTGAATTTAAACTTTTTATAACCTGGCGTTCTCTGTATGTGGCCAACTAGGAGGAGTTCCCCCAGACGAAAAATAGAACTTGAGGACAAGATATGACTTGGGTCCATATCACATGTTGTTCAGCGTATCAAACTGCCTTTAAACTGTGAATGTCAACATTTTATGATGTGACGTTCTCTGTTTATGGCCAATGGTACAACTAGGGGTATAAGACCAGAGTACCCAAGTCTAAAATAGAACTAAGAGGCAAGATATCAATTGGGTCTATATCACATATTGTTCAGCTTATCAAACTGCATTTAGACATTTAATGCCAACTTTCTGTGACCTGGCGTTCTTGTTTATGGCCAATGGTACAATTAGGTGTCTGGACAAGAGTGCCCCAGTCTAAAATAGAACTTAGAGGCAAGATATGACTTGGGCCTATATCACATGTTGTTCAGCGTATCAAACTTGGTGCTTTTTGAAATTGTGGTGCTTTTATCACAATTTTCACAGCTCTTCTGCTTATCTCCCTCATTATGTAGGAAGCAAGAAAAGACATTGTATTTGCAATTTCGCGAAAGCAGTGCCTTTAACCAAGCACTCTATCAAACAATATTTATAATGCTACCGTTTTAATCACCGGTGGCCATTTTTACTTTTTGTTGAATCTAAAGAACGGCATATGATAGTATAGAACTGATCGCAAATTGGTTTCAGCACGAAAACGTAATTAGCGAAAGTATATCAAGACCTCTAAGGAAAAATATGCGCTGAAGTATATGGAATACAATAACTGCATCTAAATGTTTCAATGAAGGAATCAAGAAAAGATACCATCCCTGGCGAAAAAATTTCAAAAACAAAGTTCATCTAAACTCACGTACCATACGCAGTCAACAGCAGCAAGCATTAGGCGATGTTGCCCAAGAGGACTTACAATTTTTTCAGGATACCGGCCTAGGTAGTTCACAAGCATCTGCACACCATTTTCACCAAACAACTCCTTGATAATAAACATTCAAAATTTTAGTTACCAAACATAGCGTTCATTTTACATTCATTTTCCTGCATGTGATACTAAATACACTAAATATCGTAGGGGTACACTTAGCAATTTAAGCGAAATGGCAGATAATTTATCAAGCAGATGAAAAACCGGTGCAGAGACAAACAATAACTCTTTGGTAAGAAAAACTGGCTGCTCACCCAAGTATAAAACCAAAGCAAAGAAGCTGAGTGAGTACGAAATCACCTTTTATAACAACGGTCCAGCTCTACTGAAACATAGCTTTGTTTCTATAAGGGGCTTCCAGACCAACTTTACTAAAGCTTTTTTTTACTTTGTCACATTCATTACATTGTTGTCAAAAACATCAAGGTATCACGTTTCTTTCATATAACCTGTCGTCTACTGTTTGCGTTCACAACAGGGTTTAAAGTATTTACTGCAAGAAAATAAAAGTTTGTACACAACTCACTGGACAAAGGCGAAAAATTTTAAAAGATGATTTGCAAATAGTGATAGAAGAAGTGTAAAAGTCAATTATCATATCCTATCTATGTCCTTTCTCTTATGATGCAAGACCTTTAAAGGCCTAGTACCAAATTGTGCCAAAATTATGCTTGAAAATATGAATAAATTACATTTAATCTACTAACTCTTGTCTGGCCCAGTCAAATGACTTCATAGTTATCACAGTATTGCATTGTGGCATTAACTGTCATAATTTTGACCATTTGGCTAATACCTTCCAACTGGAGTATACGGATGTTATTCTTATCTCTCAAAAGCAAATACTTAATGAAAACGATCAATAAAACATGGTGTCACCTTTCTATGCAGATCGCCGTCACAAAGTGAAGCTAAAATAAACATCATGTCACATTGCAGCTCGATGTCAATAGAATCGTTCTCATCAGGGCTTGAACTTGCACTTTGGAGAATGCCTGTAAAAAAATTATGATTAATGAATTACCTGAAATAGTTGCATGTTAGTGTCTACGATGATGAAGTAACACCGTTACCAACACACTGGAATTTCTGTTTTGTTTTATTGAGCAAATGCCTACCACTAACAGCGAAAAAATGGTCTGGTTTCTACGTCACACCCTTATGAGTCCCAGACCTCTTTCATCTGTGGATTGGTCCCCCATTTTGGGGTGGTTTATTTAAATGAAAATAAATTCGTTTTGAAGAAATTAAATAACGTACCAACTAGCTCAGCAATTGTATTTTGGTCGCTTAGGTCTGCAAGGACCTGCTCGTCACCTTGAGAACAGATACTGCGCAGGAGACGTATACAGTAGCGCATTTGCGCCCTCTTGTTGCCTCTACCTCCAGTTCCATGAAAACTGTTACCGTGGCCACCATAGTCATCTGTGAAGATAAAATACAGTACTGAGAAAAATCTTTGCACCTATGCATTATTCAAAACCACATGAGTGTATAAACTACATGAGGAAGGCAAGTCGTGTGCATATTAGATACGGTGTTTGTATCATTTCATACACACCTGCACCAATGCACCATTCGATTAACAGCAAAAGTCGGGTGCTCCCTTGGCAGGTAATGTAATCTTCAAGACATCGTGGTGCAATTGATGATAGGATAAACAGAGCCTAAAATGATGATTTGTGTTTACAAGCAAGTGAATAAAACACATAATCATCATAGTGCTTTGTTCTATAAGTCGAGTCGGTATGCCTGTTTTGAATAAATTTGGAAAAGATTGTTTGTTAAATCGTGATAAACAGCACTTTGAACGTGTATTTGGCCAAACGTTAAGCATTTAAGGTGAATTACAATTGCGTTGTATATCAGAAATTCGTTCTTTCGTGTATATGTTTGCTGATAATTTCAACGTTATAGAAACAAACAACCGTATGCTCAACTATGTATTTCTGTTAAGCAAATGCAGGTAATAATTGGAACTTGAGTTAAGTTGCTTTTGATACATTAAACAACCAATAAGCTTTTAACAAAGGAGAGCATTGCTTAATTGGAGTTTTGGACTTGGGTGGGGCAATGTGTTAGATAGATAGCAATTAAAAGGAAACAAAGTTAATTTTTCGTAATAGCCCTCACCTTTAACATTTTCTTATGTTCCTGACTTAGCTATGAAGACGTAATTTGCGTCACACGACTCCTTAAGCACTGACTTCAAAGAATGACAATGTAGACATCACAATACCTTACTAAAAAAATGTGTTATGGAAAAATGATTTACACAAACCTGTAGTTGAAGTTCCTCGTACTGAGCTGGAGTCCAGTTGGTCTTTAGGTTTTCATTTATTGGTCTTATATAGGAAAACAAACCCAACACAACTCGCTGCTCAGACATGATCTACGAGATATTAAAACCCATTTACAATAAATTGTAAATTAGACCAAGTTCTAATTTTACTTACCTGGTACAATCTGTCTGTACCTTACCTGGTACCTTCTTCCATAACATTCAAAACTGAACTGCGGTTCTTACATATGCTTCCCCAATCCCAATCCCTAAGAAGCGACCTGTTTTATTTATAACTTGTTCTTATACATTTATATTTCTACATCTGACTAATAGAAAAAATCTTACTATTCAAATATGATTTTCAGATAACTTTCGGTTGTATACTTATTATGCGCAACTGAAAAATTTTCTATGGAACTGTAGTACAAATACCAAAATATATGATACAATGATTTTTAATCAATAATGGACAGCAAGGTTCCCATTTTTTCGCACTGTTCTCCGTATCTCGCCTTTTTTGGCTTTTTTCACTTTTCAATTACCCTTTTTTCTTTCCTCTTTATCCTTTTAATATCACTTCTCCTTAACTTCTTAACTCGTTCCGATACCTTTCTTTTCCCATGTTTATCTGTAGTTCTCTTGACATATATGCAAAAGAAATGCAACAAGAAAGAATAATCTACGATATAAAAATAGTATAAATAATGAACATTTAGAAATCTCACAGGAAGAGCTGCTGGATCTTTGCTCAGAACTAGGACCATGTCAAAAAACAGCTTTTTCAGCTCGAAGTCTTCAGGGGTCTGGAAAAAAGGCTTGTTGCAAATTATAATATAATTTTGCATGCACAAATAAGCTTTTTAGTTGACTGCTATGATAAATAAGTAAATTTCTACAAAATCTCATTGCTCCTGGCTTAAAAACATATCGGAAAAAATAGAGATATTAAAACCAAGCAAAGAAATACAATTTTTTCGTAAAACGAAGTATATAAAATACAATACTTGTCTTCAAAACCGCCACTTGTGATGCATATAAGTTGACAATGGTTTGACTCAAAGCCTTGATTTGCAATTGTAAAATATATTGCGAAGAATTTCTATTCTAACTTTGACATTTGTTAATTTACACGAGTTACTTAACTACACATCACCCTTTAAGAGTTACTGAAATCATTTCCAATCTAAACGAAATTAAGAAAGCATTTTATGAGTTAGTCATCAAACCTGTTGAATCTTTAGATTCCTTACGAGTTCTGAGTTGCTTGGCACTAAAAAAGAAGAAAGCAATGAGTGGACGTTTCTATACCTAAAATTACCCCTGACAGGCTGAAATGATGCATTGCGACTAAAGGGACTAGTTACACATTTTGTTTCAAGACGGGGACTTCACCCAATAATATGCAGTCTATTTTTCTAAGAAAGTATGAGCCTACTTCCGGGTCTTTTTTGGCACGCTTTTTAATCTTAAAAGGCCATATTCTGATCTTGATATAACGTTTTGCCAACATTTCTTGCTTTCATACATCAGACAATGACAACAACTTGATAAAACAGGTCCCCAAACACCTTTATCAAAGGATCAAATCAAATCAAACATTTTTTGTAAATGTATTCGCTACAAATTGTTGCAAGATAGGAAATCGACCCTTAACAATGTATAAGCAAAAAAGGAAAAACTGTTCTTTTCAGTACAAGTCTTAAATAAACATCGAATAGCATCTCAGTTTACCTTCAGGGTACGCTGATAGCAAAGACAAGACTTTGACGAAACCAGTCTCCTGTGAAAAAAGATTAAGAGAAGATTAATTTGTATTCTGTTTCCTTCTATTAATACTTGATAACGAGTATATGCTCGAAATTAAATGTTGTTTTACTGTCTAATCAATTTTGGAACTTAATTTTTGGTACAATAAACCACACGCTCCTTTTATATTTTGTTAAAAGAAAAATATCATTCACAAAGGAAAACAAATCATTAAAGACTTACAATAAACGGTGAGCCTGGGCAGCGCGATGCAACCAGAATAGACAGGACAAGCAAATCATTTCTGAAACAAACGGCAATCAATATATATATTGGACAATAATAGCACCTTAAAGATCTGGAGGTTACTTTACAGGACTGTCGGATTCGGGCTTGGGGAGCTACAGCCCAGGTAATATTCTGAGGTGCAGTGATGACCAACTTGTGCAGTGATTAAAGGGAAACGTGCAGCCTTGAATCTGAATTTGTGCAGTGATAAAATTTTCAAAAAAATTTATAAGTAATCAAAATATATTAAACAACTATCAACTAAACGCAAGAGACAATTTTTTTAATCAAAAATTTGTACAATTAAAAAACTAATCTTTATTGTTTTGCGTATAAGGCGGCTTTTTGAACTAGTTTTAGATCTGTTGTGTGCTATTTTTGCAGTTTTCTGAATGAGGTTTCAATGTGAAAATTCTTAACTTAACATTGATGGCATCTTTGTGATTTTCATCACCTTGATCTTCCTTACATATTTTTCTGAGGATAACTGGTGGGCCTTCACATAGATCACTTTCTTCGAGATCTTCGTATTGATCTCCTGTAAGTCAAAATCAGGAGCAACGGATGCACGAACATTTCTTAAATCATTCTCACTGGCTCAAAACTTACAAAATCTCCAAATTCACCAAGAAATTGGTTTCTCGCTAAAAGTTCAGTAAAGGAGCATTTATTTAAAAGTTCCAACCCATTTTTCTTGGGTATCTTTTTTCATATATAATATATAAATATAAATATATTATTTTCCTTGTGTCTTCTTTCGCTGGTATGTTTCAATAAATCATGAAACAAATATATGACATCGTATATTTTATAGATAATAACAAGTTGGCACAATTATTTTTATCGTAATGAGCATAAACCTGTCTTTTTTATGTTCATTTAAGTGAACTTCAGCTACTCAGCTACGCTGTATCTTTCAGTACAGCCTATAGTGTACCACCACCCATCCCTCTCTCATTAGAACGTGCCATGATGATCGGTCCAAGTTCACTTTCTTACAGCTAATAAATTTTGAAAAAATAGGGAGGTCGCCCTTTAAAGCCATCCAAAAAGCGGAATTGGTACATAGATGCTCTTAGTGATCTGAAATCTACTCTTAAATTTGGGGTTTTTGTTTGTTGCTGAAATACAAATCAACCCAATCTGCAAAACGCACCCACTGAACCCGCACTCATGCTATACTGCCAATCGCGATAGCGGTTTGAATTGCAAAATTTGTGTATTTGTGCAGTGATGAAGATTCCTCAGAATATTGCCTGCTACAGCCCCACACCTGATCATCATTAACAAGCTATATTGTACTACTTTTATAACAAAACAGGAAGTCACAAAAGTCTTGTTTTCTCTTGATGCAATCCAGCTCAATAGATTTTCAACCAGCAGCTCATACAACACAAACAAAGTTATTAAATCAAATTTATATGCATATTCATTACATACCAAGAAACACTTACCGGAGCTGCCTGTCAGCATGTCCAGAACAGTTCCGAAGTCGGTCCACAAATGCGGTTTGCAAAGCACTAAACAGAAATAAACATTAACTGTTTGTTAATCAAAGTTAATTATATTAAACAAGCATACCAACTACATATATACACTGGTTTCCCGATTCAATCGACAATCAACATATCACCTTTATTTGATCACTGGATGGAGTGTAACAAGCACAAATTCATTTAATAACCATTTCATTCTAATGCTTCTCATGTTCTGTTCTCATGTCTATTGTTTCCTGCTCTGATAAGGCAAATCAGTTGGCCTCATACAATGATCGTCCAAAGTAGTTTTCACAGCAACATTGCGCTTGTAATAAATGCACATTGTCCCTTTTAATTTCCTGTTTCAGTTATCCACCCCCCTCCTTAAACAATGTTGCAAAGGAAAATGAAAGTTTCGCAAAACATCTGATACACTGTCTCTATTCCCACCTTCATTTGCCATCATTTTCTTGTCAGAATCCAAAATTGAGTAGAGGAGTGACAGAGATAGTGATTAGTAGAGATGTCGAGACCGTTTTGGTTGGGCGAGCATTTTGGTTCTAATTTTTAAAACAAATTACTTTATCATTATAATTGAAAGTTTTTCACAATTTCGCCCGTCAAACATTCACCACTGTGATCGCCTTAGAAAATTAATTTTTATTTGCATGAAGAGACTGCAAAAAGGGCAGTTCGTGTGTGATCTTAGCTTACGCCACCAAAACAAGACCCTGCTAGATAACAGTTAAAGATTTTCAAGTAGTAATAGTTTATAAGATAGTGAAAGTCAACTTTATCTATTCTTGCAACTAACACATGGATAACATTGCCTAAATTTATATGGTAAGAGTTATTTGACAAAAAATTACAAAGGACAATCAATTAACGGGTACCTCCCAGTAGGCAATGACAAATAATTTTGCACCGAAAATCTTGACTGCAACAAAAGCTTTGTAAAAGCAACCTACACAAAGGTAAACCTCCCTAAAACACAAAGTAAGTCTTGCTCTACAGGTGGTGATTATGCCGTGGGTCACATATAGTTTCGCGCTAACGCGGATTTGAGATATTACAGATAATACGAAAGACGCAGTCACGCGGATATCAGAGCAAAAAGGGCGTGGTAAGGCAGATTTCAGAGCAAAAAAGGCGCGGTTAGGCAGATATCAAAGCAAAAAGGCGTGTTTAGACAGATATCAGAGCAAAAAGGGCGTGGTAAAGCAGATGTCAGAGCAAAAAGGCGTGTTTAGACAGATATCAGAGCAAAAAAGGCGTGTTTAGACAGATATCAGAGCAAAAAAGGCGCGGCGGATATCGTAATCCCTTTAATGGACCCACTATGCAAAGGGTTTCATTTCAATAGAATCTGTGGAAAATCGAGCTTACTGTATGCATTCATCGCAGTTCAGTTGGTTCATGACCTGCAATAAAAACGACAAGACATATTGGATCAGATCACGGAGTATTTAAGGGATAATGATGTCACGAAAGGAGCCTTGACATAAGCATTAACAGATTTTAGGTTGTAACGGAAACAAACATACAGAAAACCAAGTGAAACTGTACTGTAGAAACGCTAACAACACGTTTGTAGGGAAAAGCAGTTGTTTGTTAAAGTAGAAAAAATTAATAAACAAAATGTTCTGTTCTCAACAGCTGAATTGCTTTAACTAGCAATTGCCTGGAAGCTTTCTGTGTATACTGGAAAGCAACGATACCCGAAACAAAATCGTTATATCTCTTTAATATTAAAAGAAAATTTCGCTTTTGTAGTTGGCCACTCACATCCTCTTCAGATCCGAATTCCAGAAGGTTCCAAAGAATTTCCACGCACAAGAACAGCAATCTGTGGGACAAGAATAAAAAACAAGAATGAGCTGCGCGTCACCTTTTGATCAATACCTCAGAGGAAGAAATCAAATAATTTCACAGCTCTTTCTGACAATCTTACATATATAGCCCACTTAACTGTAGTTTTCTAGGCCTAATTCCCATGTTTAAGCGGATAAACATCATAAGAGATAGGTGGGCCAAATCTGTGTGGCAGAAGGGCAAAGAGCAGGGGACCCATCGCAATCCAAAGTTGTTGGATTCTTCGGTGAATTCGAGTGTGAAGCTTCTAAAATTATAGGCCTTTAAGAAAGATTTACTGTATCCTATACGTTTAGATGAAATTTGTCAAAAATTGAATCGGATCACTACGACCCCCTGAGGCACACTGATGATAACGTACAAGAAAACGTTTTTACGGTTATCTACTTGATTCCATTTATAAACGTTGATATAAGATAAGATCAAGGCAAAAAAAAGACTCGACTTTCTAAATATTATGCTACATGTATAAATGCTGCGTGTTGAATTTCATTCCTGTATACAGAGCTTCTTCAAAACCAAAAATATCCAACTATAATAAAATATACAAAAATATAAACAAATACCTTTTCGACGGATCCGGCATATTTAAAGAGCTGCAAATAAGGCCTGCTCCGCTAGCTGACAATATATCGTCGCAGTTTAAGCCTGAAAAGATATTCGAAGTGATTGACATCCATACAAAGTCACAGTGAATGATATGTAGAGTGTTATCAAGTTGTATAGGATGGCTTTTAAGGATAAATATCTCCAAAGCAATCTATAAATTCCTAGCACTTTCCCTTCTTTACAGCTCTCTTTTCAAGACTCTCTCAATTGTCACTTTTTTCTTTCCTTAGTCTTTCAATTACCTTGTAGGGACTGGATTCTCTAAAATGGTACATGAATGAAAATAAGCAACTAAATATCTTGTAGTTGGCTGACAAGATCGCGAAACAAGCCACTGGCACCACAAAACATGAAAAAGGCATGGGAAACTCGTCATTACTAGTTTTGCTACCATCTGATAGTTTCAATGGCAGTGTGTTTCATTGGGTAGTCAATCTAACACATAGGTATTAGCCAGTGGTGTAGTGCTATCAAAGTAACAAAATGCTCTTGCACAAAATGTTGCGAAAAACAATAGCAAAAGTAGAAATTTGCCAATTTTTGGCATCAAAAATGGGGGCTCGGCCCCCTGTGCCCCTCTAGCACTATATCCCTACAAACTTTGAAAAAGCTTTAACTTACTTGAATCAGATAGATTTCTCATTGCACGTGCAAGTTCTAACCGCGTTTCGAGGTCCTCTGTTTTGCCATAGCACTACAAGAAATATTTCAAAGGCATGTAAGAAAATGGAAACTTTATACACTACAATAAGATTTTACGCCCTGCATTTCACGAAGCCTGGAGCCCTGTGAACTTTGGGTAAATCAATGAACGGAAATGTTACTGATAAATATTGTACTGTCTATTACGCGATGTTCGTTGAGCATTCACTACAGACAATTCAAGGCTTTCTTGTGCTGTTTCGGGCATAATCATCAAATTGAAAGCATTTGGTGTATAAAAAAATAGTTACCTTGGTCAACGCTTTACAGAATGTGCTTCTTTCTATAGCAGTTTTTATGAAGCAGCTTGACACTGGTTGGGTATCTAAAAGACATAATACACACGATAAATACTTGACCATAAGCGGAGGAAAATTTTATAAAAGACCTTAATCACTTAAACATTCATTAACTGATGCTTCTAACAGTACTCTCTGTTAAAGCCATTGAGTCATGGTAAATAGGCATCATTTGTTGACATCCAACTATTGATGGGAACTGTTTTCTGAATCAGTACGAGGTGAGTTCATGTGACCACTTCCAGGTCAACCAATAGCATTAAGACACAAAAATCATGACTCGGCGGATTTTGGTAGGTTTGGGTGAACCCTCGCCTTTTATCGTGATTAAATGCCTTTAATAAGCTTTCTAGAATATTCTAAAAAAATGTAGAAAAACAATTTACCAGGCGTGCCAATTCGAGATGCTTTAAGGTTATATAGGCTGCAAATCGATGTTGCTGCCTCTCTTTGAACTTTCTCCGAACATGATGTTGCTATTTCACCTAATAGATGAACAAAAAAATAAATAATGAAAAATGAAAGATAATATTAAGCAACACTTGATGAAACGGGGGGAAAGCTAAAAAAAATATGAATACTCGTCAGAACATGATTGAGAGAATGGAAACAGCTAAGTTTGTCAAGGAAGGGCCATTTTATATACTACTACGAAAAAAAGCCTTTTAGATCGGCACGATTTACAGATAGGCTTGGGGGTACAGGACACTGATAGGTGATCACGTTCTAGCAGTTTCAATGACAAACGGGAAAACCAAAGATTTTGGGTTGGCTGACTCTTCAAATGGTAAATAAACATTGTAAGGAGAGTCATGTGGTAAATAAATAAGTAGATAGCCGCAAAACAAAGTCTCTCTCTGGCGATTAAGAAAACTTGTTACTAGCTTTTTTCATGGTAATGGCAACTCTCTCGATCAAATTTGCACCAATCGTAAGATTCATATTTCTGAAAAAGTGGGGAGCATCTCCACCCCTCGTTTCCCATGGCTCCAATGGCTTCACCAATGGAGCGGAATCAAAGATTATAAAAACAGTGAACTCACATATAATTCAAATAATATGCATATTCACAAAGGGCTCAAATAATAGACATTTTGACAGCAGCTTAAAACTTTTGCAGTTGTGTACACTTGGGGGGAACCAGGTATCCATGCTGGATCGCGCAAGCACGCGTAAAATAATTGCAAATCACGCTTTCACGGTACTGGAAATGAAATCTCACAATCACGCCCCCGAGAAGCCCCCTGAAATTTTTAATAACTATCTATTAGGAGTAATTTCTTGTTGGCATTGGTATTGGCATGTGAGCGATCTGCATTGGAATCTCTGAATAATGGAGACATTTATCTGGTCTGGTATCGGAAACCAAGACTTTCTGCTTGTAAAAACGAAAGCACTCCATTTCAAAATTCGCTTGCAGCACACATTTTCACGTCATGAGTAATGCTGCTTCATAGGTCACGCGCGAATGTTTATTCACGCATTCACGCAAAATAAAAAATGTATTTCACGAATTCATGCATCGAAAATAAGCCGATCACGCAATCACACCAAAATACCTGAAGTACCCCCCACTTGGGCATTACATGACCTTACAGACAACAAATACTTGAGGCAAAAAAAGTTAGCAAAATTTAATTACCATACTTTATTGTAAGGTTGACTCAGCAAACTTAACATTACTTTACAGTCTCTTAATTCTTTGTTGGCTGGTATGGAAGACTGATTGATCTACTTTAACATAACATAGTCATATAAATATCGAAGTTCCATGTCCGATCTTGAGCGTATATGATATCCTTGAAATGAAAGCTACAATCCTGGACAAAAAGTTGGGACTTTTCAAGAAAATTTTATGTTTTCTCTTTCCTTTGTAAAATAGCTTTTCCCCTCCCCCAATTCAATGTTGAATGCGTGACTTTAAAGCAAAAATGATAAAACTACAAATCAAACATTGCTTCGGGGGGAAAGAGGGGTTTCGAATTTACAGGGGCAAAGTAAAATAGAAAATTACAAAAATTGCATTTTGTCTCAACATTTTTGTCCGGGATTGTAGGGAAAAAATTCATTTACCAATTTCAGTGAAGCAGACAGATGCATTTTGCAAATACGTTTCTTCGTCAGACAGTTTTTGTTTCCATAAAGGTTTTCTAAAACAAAGCAACACAACTAGTTACATAGTTAACATAGTTAGCGACTTGTTTAGCTTCAAAAAGGCAGCAATTGTTTGCAGGAGTTTTCATAACTGGCAAAATCACAATATCAAAAAAGCTCAACTATAATAATAACAACAATGGAAACATTTCATTTTCAATTCAACTTAAACTACAATTACAAATCTCACTATTACAAGGTAATTTGCAATTGGCTAGCCTGGTTTTACAGGAAAAAACTATAACAATCGTAAGGTAAAAGAAAAAACTGAGAAAAATAAAACAACCAAAATTAAAACGGATGTAATTCCGGATTTGTCCATGGTTTATTTTTGCAACAAAATATGTAGTACGTAGTACGAATGGCAATTTTGGAAAGTTTAGAGATGAGATACCGTTTTTGTTGTTGATCGATGGAGAGAGAGTCACACATTTTGAAGAAAGAGATGCAGGAATTGCCAAAGATGCCAAGAGAGCTCATAGAAAGATTCACAAAAGAGACACATTTGAACTTTCGCTGTAAGTCAGATAGGAGAGGAGCATACTTGCTGTGTTTTCTTGTTATAATAATAATAATAATAATAATAATAATAATAATAATGGAAACTTGTCATTTTCAATTCAATTAAAACTATGATCACAAATTTCACTATTACAAAGGTAATTTGCAATTGGCTAGCCTGGGTTTACAAAGAAAAAGACTATAACAAGCACAAACAAAGTAAATTAAGAAAAGAACAAAAAGAAAATGTGTGTTTGTCTTTGCTTGTTTCAGAAGTATTCAGTGGCAGGGATCATTAGAATGAAAAGAGGTTCAGGATTATTCCAAGACTTAATTATAATAATAATAATAAATCAATTTTTATACAGGATGATCTATCAGTGAAAAATTGTACTTTCATCAATAGAGTCCTACAATCTTACAGAACGAACTAGCATTACTAGAACTGTTAAGTTATTCATTCATTGACTGGGAAAAAAACTTGATGTATGAAAACAAAATGGCATAAACAAGACAATGTCTACAATATACAACTCATTTAAAGAAAAGAAAATCATCAAATAATTCTGACATAATGAGACACTTAAAGATGACATAGGGAAATGTAAAACGGTGCTCTTATGAGTAAGAAAAAATGACAATAAAAAATAGATGTACAGAGAAAGAAAACTGTGAATATACATGAAAGTGACTAAAAATATGAAAGTTACCTGAAACATTCCAGAAGTTCACAAATTGATAGTTCATAGGTTGACTCAACATGGCAGTATTCTGTACATATTTTCAGTATGGTTACCACAGAATCTAAATCTTTAAGAATCTAAACCAAGCTAAGGAAAGTTTTTTAAAAGGCAGTTTTGTAAGACTTTAGCTAAATTATGGACACTTCATCAAAAAGGTCTGAAAACAATTAGATGTCTAAAAACTAGGTGAGCAGAAAACACTTTTCTGTATTAATTTTTCAATTTCTTATGGTCTGCCACCAAGGAGTTTTTTAAATGAATAAGCAATGGAAGAATCTTGTGATTCTGACACATCTCAGGTTACCAGGGATAATATCTGTGATGGTTTGAATCAGCTATGAAATGATACAAATCCATTTTTGCTTCCTGCTGCAAGCCGTTTTATTGCATTTTTATGACGATCCACAAGCTTTTTCTAAAAAACATATTACATTAATACAACAAGATATTTTTTTTAATCTTAGTATTTTGACAAAACAAAAATTGTGCATAGAAATAAATCAATGGTTACATGGAATGTCCTTCCACAGTAAAATCAAATTGGCTTGATTTCTCTCATAAAAACAATATGAAACTTATCAGATTGCAGAATAGTCATATGAACAGAATGCCAATCGGGTATGAAAAGTAATTTAACAAAACATGAATCAGAGAATCTCTTAACAGGGTTTGATTCTAGGAGATATTTGCAAATAATATTGTTTTTGAAATGTTCATTAGCAATGAGCACAAACCCCAGCAATTGATAACAATGTGAAAGGAAATGTAACAGCTGTATTCTGAGCAATTCTAACAAAAATTGAGGAATTTTGAGCAAAGAAAGAGATTACAGTTAAAAATAAAAGTGGGACTGTCCTGCCACAAATTTACAACAACAAAATTATACATTTAAAATGCTGGTGAAATTACTCACTGAATGTTTGTCAACAAGAAGCTTGATGATTTTTGAAAAACTTGGAGGAGAAAGCTTCGGTAAACTCTGCAATCAAAAAATTATCAGATTAATAATTGAAGATCAGGTCTCTCCACAAAGAATTTATCAGGTGTTGTTAGACTGTTTAAATTGTTTTAGTCTAAAAATTACTTCCTGTTATGATAACAGTGATGACATAGATTTAAAATGTTTTTTCATCACACTCTACCAGCACATACAGTTTCCCATTTTTCAACATGCATATCAGGTCATGTGATTCCCTAAATGATGAATGATGACAATTTAAAAATTATTCCTGGAGCACCAAGACAAAGTAACCTTTACAAAAAACAAATGGCTTAGGTGCAAGATATTGCTAAACTTTGAGAAGCAGTTTCATGAAAGATATGCACCTTGTCTTGACTAGTGGCATATCAAAATATGCTGTGCATGCAATTTTGATTATCTGCACGCAAAGCCCAGTATGTATTCCATGACAGCTGCTCTCCTGATAAACATTTATGAAATTGCCAGTGCACTCTTGCACACTCGAATTGTGGGTGTGGTTTTGGGTGTGGCTCAAATTAAAAAGCTTTATAAAATATGACAAAATGACTTTTCTAAAGTTTTTTCATAACCGAGATTGGAAAAAATTGTGTCTCTCTAAATTAAATGCTCTTGAGATCAGAGCTGCTGAGAATATTTAGTGGCCCTGGGCCAAAGCAAAAAACCATCCCTTGCAAGCAAAGCGAGCATTAAACTGTTTGAGCAGGTTCTTTAGATTACCTTAAATACACTTCAGAATATTTTTGCAGTCATTTTCTTGCAACTGTTTAAAATGTTTTAATATTTTTAGGCATGCTTCTGTAGCGTTTGATTAATTCTATTCTTGAAATATAATTTCTTAATTCTAAGGCTCCCTAGATCCCGAAGCCCTTGAACAATTTGCCCTCTGTCCCCCTTTTGGCATCCTTGCTGGAGATAACCCTTTAGGATAATCATGTATTTGGCTGTTTTAAACATTCTTTCCAAAATCATTCCTTTACTTGCAGAACCTTTAGGAATTTGAGTTACAGCCACTGGTGGTAGTGGTAGGCAAGTATAGTTCAAAACTCTCAATCATTGAATTACCCTGGGATGTAAAATTGATGAAACAGGAAAAGTGTTGGACAAAATATGCACACACTCAAGAATTACTGGGAAATTTGGTGCACACTCAAATGTGCACACTTATTACAAATGCACTCTTGCACTTTCGGGAATTATCTTGTGAACTCCCAAAATCTTGTCGCAAACTGCCATGAAATCTAGACTGGTGAAAAGCTAGCCATACTAAAATGATATCGTGCTGATAAGATAAAATAGATCACAGATAAAATTATTGCCTTTGGGTCCAAACTCCGTTTCAGCTTTAGGGTCCAAATTGAAAACTCATTTCATTAATTGACTTATGGCCTATGTGTCATTGTTTCTTGATTAAAAATATCTTTCAAATCTTTATATTCTTTCGGTCTCTCTAGAAGAAATCTGACTAACAATTTGTTTTGATTTACATGAAAATTTTCGTGGTTTTATTTTTTAATAGGGCCCTCCCGTCATTAGTTATCCTGTTTAGAGAGCTCCTTCGTAATCTATCAATCTTGAATACGATCATCGTATAGATAGATTCTTCTCTTCTCCTAATCTCTAAACTTTAATCAATTTTGTGCTTATTGTACAGTATCTTGCAATTGCTCAGGTGTAGCGTAATTATGCAGACTTGTATTTAGGATTGGTTGAGAAATATAACTGGAACACAAACTTTGATATTGTGTCCTACATAAGGGCAAGGCTCGAACCAAAATACGCTATGCAATCATTACTGTTCATCTTATGTTTAAGTAGGGTAAAAGTTGAAATTATTTCATACCCGTTGATCGCCATCCCTTTTCTCCGTTTCCTTTTCAGTAACTATGTTATTCACTACCGGTATTTGTTTCTTGCCGCTGAGATCAATCAACGGATTCTGACCAAATGCAACGGCCATTTTGATTTTTGTTTCCCCTTTTGATCTGGTTGGTATGGATTAGCCTCGGTTTACAAATTTCCTTGACAACGCTATAGCGCCGCCGTAGTGCTGCGCAGCAAATGTAAATATCGGAAACACTTTTCATTGACGTTTTACAAAAAGACAATCAGAATCAAGTTAGAAGTGGCCAACAGGGTCAAATAAGGGTCTTGAAATTCAAAATCTTCCGGGAAAGCGTACAATAGTGTACAATACCATGCATTGCATCCTATTTCGATTAACCCTTTCATGCACCAGTATTCAATTATTGAGATAGAAAATATTACTATGGTTCATTTTGATGTTTTTGGAATGTGGATGCCAAAAAACAAGATATTTTTAGATATGACATCAGGATGACGTCATTTGAATTTGTTGTTTTTGAACAACATTGTGCATGAAAGGGAAATCACCAACATATACAGAATTTCTTTCTTGCTACTAACACTAGAAAATAAGTTAAGTATACAGGCTCATTTAAAGTGGGCAGACTGGGGGACTAGTCAGAGCCCAACATTCACCAGAAAAAATAGTTTGACATCATCATAATTTTTTTATCACATCCAAATTTTCTGATGGTCTACCCCCGAAAAACAGTTGATGTATGAATATCGTAGCTAAGATATGCCACATAAAGGATGCAAGTGAAATGGCTGAGATTCATTGTTAGTATTCAGAAACTCTTTCAAACACTTGGAAATCAAAACAATAACTTAACAGTTAGGCTATGTGTAGTCCAACTTTAAATGTTCAATGAAAGTTTGCGAAACAATTGCGCTTCTTTACCAAACAAAGGTAAACTTTGCACTTGGTGCACATTACATGAGAAAATCCTGTCTTGCAATGTCTGCATCTATTTTGCTTCTCATGAAACTCTGGAAAATGATCAACTTTATCTTTGCAAATATCAATTGTGGGTGTTACAACACTAGGAGGTCTTCTCTGTTTGCAAGGTACTTCCAAAACATCATTGGAAGGTCTTCCTCGTTTTAGCTTACATATCTTTCCTGCATTTGCCAGGCTATGACCAATTTGGGCTTGGAATTTCAGGAGTGTCAGTTGCTTTTTCTTTGGAATATCCATTTGACCAGAGTGTCTTCGGTATAACAACCAAGCATTAACAATGGAGATGCCAATGCAATGAAAGACAATATGCATATAATATTTTACCGATCTGTGGCCAATTCTATACAAAGATAAAAGCATATCGCACAAATCTACTCCACCCATGTGGATATTGTATTCATGGATGATCAGTGGGCGTTCAATCTGTACATATTTTCTTTCCTTCTTACACCATCTTCTGGCTGCAGGGCCATCTTCCCCAGACATGTAATTGGAGATCAGCTGCACTATCCCATTATCCATCCATCTGACTACAGTTATACCACTATTCGCTTCCACAACACTGTCAGAGGAACCGCGCCCATTCCTTTTCAATTCCTTCTCAGATTGCAGATGGTGTTGTGCTCCTTTCATTCTGTCTTTTCTAACAGTTGCAACAACCCAGATTTTTTTTTTGGTTAGGTGTTGAAGAAGGGGCAATGAACTGAAATAATTGTCAAAATAGATTTTATGATTCATGTTATGTGGTAATGTATCACATAATCGACGCACAACATTTCCAGCCATGAGCAGTTCTGGCATTTCTTCTTTGTCATTACATTTCCCACTATAAACTTCAAAATCATAGACCAAACCACTGACACCACATCTAGCCCAGACTTTTATTCCCCATTTGTGGGGCTTCTTGGGACAATATTGCTTGAAACTTGTGCGACCTTTTGTTGGTATCATTTGCTCATCTATAGATTGCTTTTCCTCCTGTGGAATGCTCCGACATTTTTGAAGAACTGAGTCAACAACAGGTCGCACTTTGAATAGCTTATCATGGCCTTCTTGTCCAGCAGGGACATACTTTGTGTTATCATTGCAGTGAAAGTTCTTTTTCAGAATTTCAAATCGTTTCCCTGTCATTACTTCAGAAATTGATGAAACACGTGTTTCGTTTGCCCAATACATTCTTATTTGAGGAAGCTTTATTATTGACATCATGATTAGAATACCAATGTATTGTTCCATCTCGCTTTTGCTTGTTTGAATAGAGGCCCCAGTTTGTTGAACACTGTAAAGGTTAGTTTGTTCTGCAATATGCTGAATCAGATCTTCACTGAAAAATTGTTTGAAGTAATCAACTGGATTCAATGCTTCTTTTGGAGGTGGTGGTAGTTCTTGACCTTTGAAATTGACATCAAATTTTGGTGAGGTCCTTTTTCTCCAGCGCGTCTTCATTTCTTGGGTGTTCCTTTCCTTTGATTTTGATGTGACTGAACTCTGCTGTAAATTTATACCAGTGACTGATCCTGGAATTTGTGTTTTGGCTGAGGCTTGTTGCTCACCTAACACCTCATTTGACATATCTGCCTCAATTTCTGACATATATAATTCAGATTCACTGAGCTCTTCTTCAGATCTTTGGTATTCACTTCCAGATGAAGGAAACAGATCTAATTCATCCTCTTCATCACTACTCTCTTTTTCACTGCTTCCTGGCTCCAAAACAACTGGATTTCTTATGTGTTGGTTCTCAACTATATCTGTTTTCACAGTCCAGCCATATCTGTTTGAAATTAATATTATAAGCTTTTCAATAAAAAGGTAACTACTTTGAGAATTTTTTATTAATTGTAAAAGTCCTAAAGCATGCAAATGGCACAAATAACATCACATAAATTCTTAAAGATGACAAAACTGTATAAAATATATTATCTATGGCTGTACAAGTATTTCTTATAACGAATGCACTGATCAGCTGATTTCATATTTGTTGTATGTATTCGAGCTGTTAATGCACCATGTTGTTCCCCCACAACAACAAATTTGTTTCCATGAAATTTATAAAACCTGTGCAAGAACTTGATAAGAACAATGGCTTGATTCACAGTTGTTAAGTAGAGTGAAAAGAATATATTTTTTACTCTGCTAAATGTTACATGTTGTATATATTAAATTTGATTGACTCACCGTGACTTCGTTCGTTTTCAAAATTCGCAGTTAGGTCTCAGGAACACGCCGTTTTCAACAAACCGATTTGAAATAGCCTCCTTTTCAAACAAGCAAGCTGAAGGCCTATTGTATACAGTCTTGCTGCAGCCTCTTTCGATTGGTTAAAATTGAATGGAAACAATGGCACTATTGTTTTAATTTGTTGTTCCACAACAACAGGGTGCATGAAAGGGTTAAGCCAAAATTCCTTTTCCAAAGACGGAAGAAGTAATGTCATATCTCCTTACAGCTTACAAGGCAAGTCCATTCTAGTTCTAGCAGAACCTGAAGAACAGAATATAAACTTTGTGCCCGATCTATTCTGTGCTTGAAGTCAGTTTTTCCAAAATGCTGCTATCAAAAGCATTGTGTTTGATGGTTGTACTCTCTGTACTTACCTTTTTTCCAGTTCCAGTTGAAGGGCACGATACAGAATCAATTGGAAGCCCAGAGAGCAACATTCTTCGCAAAGACAACAGGGATGATTTCATTTTCACTGTTAATCCAACGCCACCGTCTGGCTGGGGCCAAGGCAGAAACGTAGCAGACGAAAGGCAATGGCTCTACAATAATTTGTGGAGCACGTATGGGGTTCAATCAAAACCAGATTCTGAAGGCATAGCTTATATTCAAGTGAACCTGAGGAAGCCTTATTTCGTGAGGGCCTTTGCTGTGACTGGGTACGCTGGTGGGTCTCATAAACCAACGGGGTCGTTTTTTCTTGAAGGATCGAATGATGGGACTGACTGGAAGATGGTTGCCGAAGGAACATCAGATCAGTGGCATGCACCAGGTACATTCCCCTTTCGTCAAAGCCAGATAATCAAAGCTGTATATCCAAACAGATACCAACATTATCGTGTGATTGCTAGAGGATGGACCAATGGTTACATGGTCATATACAACTGGGGACTTTTTGCTTAACAGTCAAGTTCGTTGATTCATGTAGTCGAGAAAACGTTTTATATGGAACCACTTTGTATCTAAATGGTAAAAGGTATCATATGTAATGAAAATTGAAATTTTTGATGGAGTATGAAAATATTTGATTTAAAAACATTTATCAATTTAAATTTTCAAATATTATTAATAGTATTATTGCCACTTGCTTCGGAGGATGTCTCCAATTTTGAGACCGTTTAAATAGAGGTTTTGTTGTAGTTTTCCTCATTTAATTTCCTGGAATAAAGCCGTTAATACTTTGCATTGTGTTACTAAGTTAGCATTCAGTCATTTTCTTATTGCTTCCTTTGTTTGGACAGTGTCGATGTGTTTTTCTTTCTTTTCATTACCTCATACAAGTAGATGGTGGCATCAGACAAAAAAAACTCTCAAAATTTCATTGCCCTGCTTCACCGAAAATAAATCCCACCGAAATTAATGGTGCTTGACGTATTCAAGACCGCGGCGACGTTGTACCAGTTGTCTCTATTTGCCACACCATCTGTTTGCTAATATAAAAGAACTTTCAGTACGATCAGGAGAGTAAAATTTATCTTCGTAGTACTATGTCTGGGGATTGCATGTTGTTGGTTAGCGAAAGATCTCTTTAATAACAATGTTTTTACCAAGGTAACCAAAAACGTGATCGCTTTTGGAAATTTTCCATGAAAGGTTCTAATAACCTTTGACGAGACATTGTCATTACATACACGTTTTTTTATAAGAAAGTTTTTTTCAGCCCAGCCCTCAGATTTCCTTAGCTATTTCCTAATTTCAGCACTAAAACTTTCTTAACACTTTTCTAACGTAAAATTGGAAAGTTTTTACGTTACTAAGCATGCGCAGTGATGGAGAAGATGAAATGCTATAAATATGCTATATTTCTCAGAAACCCTCTACGTCATACTGTTTTCGAGAAAGGCATTCCTGTTCAGCACATTACTGTATTGTTAAAATATTACACTCTTACACCACAATTTCCTTTGAAACTTTGAATATCTAAATGTTTCAACTTTCTTAGGTTTCAAAGATCCAGCCCTTTCTTAACTTTTTGAAGAACCGAGCACAACCTTCTTATAAAATACTTTTTTACAAAAAAACGTGTAGTTTCAAGTGACTACGCTTTCAAGCACCTTGAATTCAACGGGATAGTCCCGATGTCAATTCATTATCTCGACCACCCGAATTGAGAGCTTTTGTCTTGATATAAAGGAAGTCTATCTAACTATGTCATATTATTAGCAAAAATATATAGAGACATCAAATAATCGATTAAAACCATCTTTATTTGCCAGCAAGTTTGAAAATTCACCGACAAAGCACCCCTTAGAATGCAAAACTGACTACCGCCGAAATGGGATGGAGGATCGACCGCAACTTGTTTGACATCACCATTTTGCTTAAAGTATAGTTGTTTTCTATGATTAGACAGGCTTCTACCAACATCATTGTTGCCATAGGGTCAACACAAGTAATTATTTAATTATAGCTATATCAGTTGTAGAACAGAAGCATAGCAAGGAGGAGGCAAGAGGGGCGGAATGGCAAAATTTTTTGACGTCCCAAAGGGTGTGGTTCCCAATTACCCCTCCGCAACTCGCCTTTGCCCCTCCCTCCCAATCTTACTATTCTGGCTACGCTACCATTTTCAAGATGAGCCCATGAAATTGCAATTCTTATTACAACAACTCTGAGAAGGAGAAGCTGAAACGCATGAAAATAATTGTGCATTTATTTCGGATCTGCCAACAAATGTCACTTTATGCAATAACAGGTGAAAACGTTTGTCCGTAGGAACCATGTAGGACTGAAATGTCAAAGAATTTTGGATTTTTTTGTGCGGATGAGCAAGTCCAACGTATTTTCCTCAAATCGAGCATTTGCACTCATTGACAAAGTCTCAGTTCTGGCATGCAAGCTTCCCTTAGAAAAATACCTTAATTTTGTTAAGCCTAGACATTCGTTAAAATTTCCCTTATCTAGCCCATGAATACACTTGAAGCATTCTAAATCAATACCTTCGAAAAAGAATGCCAAATGTTTTTCTCTTGATTATTTTTTAATTTCGCCTAGAACTCGCTTTAGTTTAGTCGCCCTTGACTATGAACCGCACCAAAGCCCATCAAAAAAATTATTCTAAGTGGTAAGCCATACTTCCTTTTGGAGGAAGAGACAAATAACACCATTTACCTCAGAACAGCTGAACAGGCAAGTCCATGCCATCTGAATCTGAAGTCAGTCTTTCCAGAATGCTGCTATCAAAAGCATGGGGTTTGATGGGTGTACTCTCTGTACTTATCTTTTTTCCAGTTCCGGTTGAAGGGCACGATACAGAATCAATTGGAAGCCCAGAGAGCAATATTCTTCGCAAAGATAACCGAGATGATTTCATTTTCACTGTTTATCCAACGCCACCGTCTGGCTGGGGCCAAGGCAGAAACGTAGCAGACGAAAGGCAATGCCTGTCCAGTAAATTGTGGAGCACGTATGGGGTTCAATCAAAACCAGATTCTGAGGGTGTAGCTTATATTCAAGTGAACCTGAGGAAGCCTTATTTGGTGAGGGCCTTTGCTGTGACTGGGTACGTTGGTGGGTCTCATAAACCAACGGGGTCGTTCTTTCTTGAAGGATCGAATGATGGGACTGACTGGAAGATGGTTGCCGAAGGAACATCAGATCAATGGCATGCACCAGGTACATTCCCCTTTCGTCAAAGCCAGATTATCAAAGCTGTATATCCAAACAGATACCAACATTATCGTGTGATTGCTAGAGGATGGACCGATAACTTTATCCTTATATACAACTGGGGACTTTTTGCTTAACAGCAAAGTTCTTAAACCATGCAGCTGGAAATTCATTTTATAAGAAACCAATTTATACGAGGGTTGTCATAATGTAAGGAATTTTTGTGCAATTTTCTCTGTCTGTTTTTATCATTATGTAAAAAGTTGATGATATAAAGCAAAAGTAGTTCCATTAAAATGTATTCAGAAACTTCATTAAAATGGTACCTTGCAATGAACATCTTCGGTCTTTTCACACATTCGAAAACAGTGGCTAAACTCCGATGGTGACATAAGAAAGGCATTATCGAAAAATTGATCATGTGGAGATAAATGGAGCCGACAAGTTACGTCTTGATTGACAATATACTATTTATAGAAATTTTTTTTGCCTTATGTCTGTTTGGCTTTGCTTTCTGGCAATGATTTTTTGCACAACATCTAATTTCAAAGTTTCTTTGCATTTGTGCTTTTTTCAGAACACTAAATGGGCGGCTGAAGAAGTTAGGGAACTAGGCCTCGAGCTAGGGTCCTTATAAAAAAGGACATTAATCTTGTAAACTTCGGAATGCTCTATCCTTTCCAATTGTAAACCGCTCTCTTTTAAAACTAAAATAAACAAGCTTGATCTTTCTTCTCTCTCTTCCAAATCCCTCCCTCTCTTTCTTAATCAAGGGTTGAGCTGTAGGCTCCAGAGCATTTCCTTAGCATCACCAACTAAAAAATTTATTCAATGGCAAAGCAATTCCTCTGATTATATTAAAACCTTTTTAGCTCGGATTAATCACATTGGAGGGGGCTAAAGAGAAAGTAAGGCTTTTAGCCTCTTTTAGAGTGGATCTTATTTTATTCCAAGGTTGTTGAAACCGACTGTTTATTGCACTGATCTCAAAAAAGACTGGATCGAGCTTCTCCAGCCCAGCGTTGATTCCACATTGCAGCGTCCATCTTGAGACCTCGCCGAGTTGTATGAGACTAGAGAACAACCATGTTGGTTTCAGTTCAACTTGCTTTTTCATAGCAAAACTCAAAGTAACTGTTGAAACAAAAACTTGGCCTGTTGTATCTTAGAATATCTTAATTTTGCAATATTCCTAGGCCTGTTGTATCTTAGAATATATAAGAATTCAATGATTAATGCACAATTTTTAAGGCGCAGAATTGTGTGTGCGCCGTTTTAACAAATGGCAGCCCAAAGCTTTAGGCGCGAGAGGTCTCAAGATGGAGAGACTTGATCAGCTTCCTCATGCTGATGTAGGAGAACAATAGGTTGTTCGATCCAGTCTTTTTTTGAGATCAGTGGTTTATTGATCTATCATGTAGTGTTCGATGACGTAACGGCTTTCACATTTGATGCGATCATCAGGTAACTTTATCAGTGGCGGATATTGCGGGTGCGTATGTGTCTGGGAAGCACTCGCTAAATTGTCGGTTTAAACACAGTTTTTAGCACTTTTGCCTGTGTCGCTCTGTTTTTGTGGGTTGTGGGTAGTTGGCAACTGGCACCGGGTGAAGCACAAGTGGCAGTGCATGGAATTAATTCTCACTTTTTGATGCCAACACTGGATGTATCTCTGGAAATGATTTGAAATTTTTAGGTGCCAACATTGGTGTCTCCTTTGATAAAAAGTGTTTCTGATAATAAAAAAGGGCCTGTTAAATACTCATTTCCTTAAAATGTCACAAAACACAGAAAGTTTTGGATATAATCTTTTTGTGAACAACGGTAAACACCAAAAAGTGAACGCCTCTATTGTAAAAAATTATCAACATTATCCGTTTTTCAAAATCCCCTTCCCCCTTAGGGTCCAAAAAGACAATAAATATTTCAAGAGAATTAATTATTTTCTTCAATTTTCTAAATGATTTACGGCCACACTTCCGAACAGTCTATTGATCTCAATTTAAAAGCAGTTTTTTATGAAAGATCTGGATGCTTTTCAAATCAATCTGGTGGCCTGCATATTTTGGCAAAGTGGACAGAGGCAAAAAACTGCAGATAAAAAACAAGATTAGACGAAAAGAGAAACCATCAAATTCATATGTCTTTAATGCGAATTATGGTGCGACAACCAGCTTAAATGAGGAGCACACACTGAACAATTAAATACACTGTTTATATACACAAGTCAATATAGCTTTGCTTCTCTAGGCTCTTCTATCTTACGTTTGAGTTCATGGTCGCTGGGGCTACGGTGGAGAATGCCTCGAAATAGTTAGCTGCGAACGAACAAATGTCTTCAGGTTTTCTTAACAGGAGGAACTGCAAAAAGTCGGACATCAAAGCCTTCAATTCTGGATGTTTTTGTATGAATGTAAGATGATCACTTTTGAGTTCCTCCTGAAAGGTAAAAAAGGCCACATAAAGCCAACTAGTTGATATTATTGATATCAGTTAGCATCTGTACTAGAAGAGATCGTTTTTACCTATCAATTTAATTTTTTTTAAAAACCACAAATCAATGGATATGTGGTTTTAATATTATTTTTTATTAAAACTAATAATTTTCAGAAATTTAATAATGATCAGAAAAAATCGACCATGACTCATATGAAAGTAAATCTTGTAATACAGGGAATTATTATGTAAAACTTCCTTTATTCAATTTGACAAAACACATGACAACGGAACTAGAACAAAATACACAATGCCATGTTGTTTAGGCCATGGTTCTAAACAGAATCTAAAAACAGGCAAATCTTTCCAAATTATAGACTTAGAAAGCAGGTATGAGAAGTTTTTAACAAGATAAAATCCTTGTTTTGACATCAAACAACGTATAATAAGTAAAGAAACGAATTCCAAGCGATTCTTTAGCATTTCTTTAAAAGCAGAATAGTGTAAATACCTTTCGGTCTAAAAAACGAGACCAAAACTGCATATCTTCTTCCCATCGGTGAGTTTTCCGTTGGATCGTTGTTTTTTGTTCTGCAATGATGCAAAGATCAAATATGATGCTAAGAAATAGAAACAAAACTACCAAGGCTGGACAAGAACTTGGCAAAAAGCCAGCGTGCAGGCCTTTGATCTCTACAAGGGAAAACAAACTTCCTTCTTTGCTGATGTGAGTGTGGGGATGGGCCTTAAGCAGAATTACGGACTGTATAAAAAATCATTTACTATGAAATAGGGACATCACAAAATCAGATACCTGTCTGAGGATGAAATGTTTGACGACACCACCAATCTTGAAATTTCAAAATATCAATCTAATTGTATTAGATGGCGATAAAACATGAGACCCACATGGAGACAATTTTTATAATAGAATATAATCTGGAGGAGTAAAATTTGAACATGGAATATTCCTCATGATACTATTCTCTAAACAATTTTCATGTATCAAGCAGTCTTTTAATACTTGATTGCATAAAATCCAAAACAACACCATAACAACTTGAGAGCGCAGCCATCTGATTCAAAGATCAAAATTGACAAGCTATTACTGCCAAGTAGAAAACCAAAACAGTGCGTCTTGTGTTTCAACATTATTCAATAAGTAACTGAAATACCTCATTTAGATTTCACAAAATTAAGTAACGATAAAAGAATGTAAACACATTGTTCGTGTAATATAAATATAGTCCCTCTTAGAATGGAAATGCTGATCAAGGAAATTTTATCAGAGCTACTTCCACGTTGGAGTTTGTCCACTTAAGTTTCACTGGGTGAATCAATTCGCTTTAGCTTATCATTTCTAAGAACGGGTTCTTGTCTGTTGGTTCTGTTTTTCTTGGGTGACATATTGTCCGAAATGAGTAAATTTGTTCTCTCGGACCGTGGGGTCTCGTAAATTTGCCAATGTGCTTCAATGGTAGAGTATTCTTTTTTTCAAATCTTGAGTATTTAAAGCTGTTTAAGCTTTGGTTTGTGCTAAATTAATGGAAACACCTAGCGCCCTCTCAAGGTGTTTTTTCTTCATAGCCAACCTCCTGCCATCTTTATGCTGGTGTTTTTCTTGGCTTATGGTGTTTGAACTTCTTTCTGTCTAAAGAGCTTTTTTTATTATTTTGCACCATCTTCTATAGGGTTTGGTGCTCAACGGTGTGAGATTTTTATCAGCATAAGTGGGGAAACGAGTTTCCAGAAGCCATCCCCTGTCCAGATTAGGCCTGTCGGGGGTGGCGATTGGCAATGGCGGACATGACAGCCTAGTCCACATCCCATGATAAGAGATAGGAAATCTTCTAGAACTGAATTTACTGAATAAAAGTGGCTATTCTTTACTAACGAAGTGGAATTCTTTTCTTTTGTAGTTGCTGGTAGTATATTCTGAGCAGAGAATGAAAAAAGAAGACAAGGGGCTAGATAATCAAACACTATGGAGACTTACCTTCCTCTTCTTCAGGACGAGGCAGACGCAAAAGTCGCATGGTCGCTGGGTATCCCTGTGTACTCCGAAAACTCAAATGTCTAAAAAAGAAATTATCAATATTTTCTCCCAATACAAATAATAGCTTTGCACAATATACTTCATTTTATTTTGATCAAATACAAAAACTACTAAATCGTTGTTTTCCTGAGTGCCCATGTTATTTGTGACCCTGCTGTCGCTGGGTAATGGCTAATTGTATGAAGCAATACCTAATCTGCAACACTCAATGATTAGGCAACTCAATAAATGGTGTATTGAATTCTCGTAACGCTCCTCAAGGTACTCAATCAAATGAAACAATGTCTGTCTCATCAACATCATAAGCGATTTAGCATACTACATACTTGGGTTATTAAATCAAGGAAGGCCAACCTTAAAAAATTTTTATAATAATAGAACAATCAAATGCACGACGAGAGGTAACAAAGAAATGAAATGACAATAATTTACCCATCTCTTAAAAAGTACGAGCGGCAAACAGATTCGCTAGCACTAGAAAGAACTGATCTTTCAACGCCAAACATTTCCACAGTTTGATCTTCAATAGTCTGTGTTTTGTCTTCCAGTCGTGCCTTTATTTTGTGAAAAAATTTGTGTTATAAACTTGCAAAGGGAAGTATATAGATATGAGATCGAAATTCCAAAAAAATGTGTATCAGAAGCTGTAACATTTGTTCAAGATGTTATTGAATTAACTGAATAAAACAGTAAGCAAAAGACAAAATAATCAGAATTACTGAAAAATTTGGTCAAGAGTTTGTGAGGTATCAGTATTTTCTCAGTAAAATCCCTCAAAATACCATTGCTTAAACAAAGATAATTGGAGCCATTCTTTCGATCTCGCAAAAATTACCATATATTAATAAGGAAAAATCTAAAGTGGAAGACAACGATAGTAAATCAGTTGCATTATTCGTTTACGGTTTCTTGTAATTTTTCATCTATTGGTCATTAATACATTCATCAATACATTCTATTGGTTATTAACCTTGGCTTTTGAACGAGGGAGTATTTTCAGACAATTCCCAAGCAATTGATACCGTTTATGAGTCTTAACACTAATATGATTTTGAGATCACTTTTAAATCTTCTCGACATACTTTTTCTTCGAAAGAATCATTTTTGAAGATAGGCATGTTTTCATTAAAAAAAACTTGTTTAGTCATTATGGCCATTTATGGTAGGCAACAGTCATTCTGCGCTTTGCAATGGATAATAACCGATGCTGTTTGTGTCTTGTTCTTTGAGTTTTAAACCCTGCGTTTTCATCTCATTTTCAAACTCTGCGTTTTCATCTCATTTTCAAACTCTGCGTTTACATCTCAGTTTTAAACCCTGCGTTTTCATCTCATTTTCAAACCCTGCGTTTACATCTCAGTTTTAAACCCTGCGTTTACATCTCAGCTAAACCATTGAAGGCAATCGAAAGATAATTTACTACAGTGATATCTGTCAATCAAAATTGACCATCAATAAGCGTAACAACACTCTCATGTTTATTGATTGGTCAAAAGTTGATTGACAGGCGGCTCAAGCCACTTTAGCAGCTTTCGATTGCTTTCAACAAATTTGGAAGTTTTGGGCTTTCTTCTAAAAGCTCTTTCAGTTAAAAACAGTCTTGATTCGAAGATAATTTCTATGATCAGTTCTAAACACTATTTTCTTACACAATATGCCACAACATACCCGTCAGGTTTATGTCCCTAAATGCGTGAGGTCTTTTCTTAAACTAATTATTCATATTGTTTTATACGTTGTTCCTTCCTTCTCAAATGCGCGAAACTCACGCAAAATGCGCGGGACTTGGTAATTCCGTCACAACTGACATTGCTAGATTGCTTATGGAAAGTGCAACTGAACTCACATATGTGCAAATACAGGTCTTCATTTCTGAATCGAGTGCGATGAATTCCGCGTCTTCTTGTGGAACTAACTGCTTGATTGCAATTACTCTTTGCAAAATTACATTTGAACCTTCAGTAAAGAAATTGCCATCAGTTTTACCAGATAATGAATAAGTCCAGGAGAGCTAGATCAAGAATATTCTTACGAGAAAAGGATGAAACTGTCACTTAAACGAACATTTTCTCTTAACCCTCAGCTATTTCAAAACATTGAGCCGGAATATCAAAATATTGGTACAATGAGAAAAGAAAACGGGCAAAAATGTTAAAAAAGAAAGGTTCAAGTAAGTACTTTCATATGAAGCTTTAAAAAAATATCTAGAAGTATTATTCAATTTATCATCGGAGCGGCAACTTTTGGTCAAAAAAAAAACCTTGCCCCCTTTCAAGCGTCTAAAATATCTAGAGGATAACGTTAAGGAGAGAGAAGCAACCGAAAAAGATCTAACCCTCTGATATAAAGCCCTTCATGTTTGTTGCACTGAAAGTCTTTTCGTCTTCTTGGTGGTCCTTTACAAAACAAGCATGAAACAAATGAGCATTTCTAAAATTATTAAGTTTAAAAATAACTATAAAATAATGTTCGCATATTTTATACGTTTCTACTTGTTTTTCAAAATCACTTGTAATAATTACTTCGGAAAAATAAGAAGCCATATTTTATGATAAAAAGACAAAGGAAACTAAGTGCAGATAAGGAAATATTTTTGGCTACGATTTTACGTTCAAGTTTTGGGAAATGTTTTAAATGTTTTACGTTCATGTTTTTAAATAGAATGTAAACATTTATTCAAAAGGCTAGTTAAAAGGGCAAAAAAGTAATATCTTACTTCGCCTTCGGTTGTAATTCTTTTTAACAAAAATTGGCCGCCTTGCTTTAAAAGTATCGTTTTTCTGTCTCGTGGCTTTTTCGGCACCTTGAAGAAAACAAAACAGTCAAATCTGTGGCCCATAGCCAAGAAATTTTCGTAATCAATAAAAAACATCAAATTTGATTCTATTGGAAAAAGCTTTGGTCAAGCAGTCAGATTTTAATTGTGTTTATCTAGTAGCTTGCCGTGCTAATTGAAGTTTATCACTGATACTTGCTATTTACCTTCATATATTCATGTTTGGTTTCTTCGAGCGTGACCAGACCTCTTCCAACGTATGCTTAAAATAAAAATGTTCAAACATCATTAAACACTCAACTACTATACTGCTAAAGTACTGTTACACGGAGAAATTTGCGGGCAACTTGTGTAAGAGCGACGTAGCAACACAAGTTGGCGGTTGATTGCACCATTTAACATACAAATTTTGTGTTTTGCAACGTAGATTTTTCCTTGCAACGGATTGTCTGATGTAAAAACAAAGTTACACTTTTGCAAATTGACAGGTTTTTTCATGGTCATTGCACTTTGTAACATTGTCTTTCGCAACTTGCGTTACAATCTTGCGTTCGATGCAAGTGCAGGCAAACATTCTTTGTTCGTCTTCCAGTTGCCTTGCCTCAAACATTGCAAGTTGCAGAGATGGTTGATGCATGTAACACAACTTAAGAAAATTTTTTCCAGCCCCTTTAGTTACTTCCCTGTGTAGCAGTAGCTTTAAGGAGGCAGGCACGGTGGCCGCGGGGGGAGGGGGTTGGTTATCGCAAAAATACATTGAATAACACACCTATGTCCTGAATAACAAAAGCATGACATATACTGATAAACATGAATAGAGCACGATCATAAGTTTTATTCTAATGTGTTAAAACAGTTGCGACACATCTTAGGTTGACCCAAGCTTAAATATTTGAAGGGAAACAATTAAAATTGAAAGCGGTAGTTCACGGAGGGTTGTTGATGACGTCAATCTGAAACCAATATACAAAGTTTAATATAAAGTTCCAACCACAGTTTACGAGAATACGTCAACCAAACGAGCAACTTTCTAGATATCCATGAATTTGTGTTAATAAAAAATCGCATGCCTTTCAAAAATACATTTCGTCACGTTGGTTGCTCTAGTTTATCCAACATCCTTGACAATCTGCATCCAGAAAAGATATGGTAGCAGATGGCATGTTCTTTTGAGCATTTAAAATAAAAAGGCTTCGAAATAGAATGCTGTGGAATGTATCATTGTGATTTTATTCGCTTGCAAAGTGACAAGGAAATCATCATGGCCCAATGGCATATGCCTCAGAATATATTACACCTGATCTTGAAATCCCTTTTCTTCACCCCTCTATAAAACACAGAACAGTAACTGGCCATTTTGTGTTAGAAGCTGTTTTCAAGTTGTCATGTTTTCATTTGAACATAATGACGGGAAACGAGGCTTTATGCGAATCACCACACCCTGGTTTCATCGCCAACACCTATCCTAGTGGCTTCTTGGAAAACAAGAAACCTGGTATTGCAACCACACCATACCCCTAATATTATCAACTCTCTTTAAACTAAGCTTTGCAATGAAGGTACCGAATTTCATGAAATTTACTGAGCCTGGTACCGCCAAGTTGATTCTGGTTCTGGGAGACTCTCTCAAGGAGCCTAACCTAACTAGATGTATTCGCTACATATTTTTGCCTTGAAAAAATAAGCAGTGCAATCTAGAATAAAAACATGTTTGGTCTGCATTTGGTTGTGACTTCGGTATATATTCACGATCATTTTGCAAATAATATTTCCTACATTGCCAGCAGAATCTGCCTCAAACTCCAGATCCAAATGATACATGAGCTTTTTGACAGAGGCAAAACAATGAAAAGGAGAAAGAGAACAATACACCTCTAGATTTAAAGTGCTATCTAAACATGTTAGGCTTTTACATTAAAGGAAGAGTCTTTGTTACAAGGGTTGGGGCACGGTCTCTATATATTGCTTTTTGTTACATCAGATGATGGATGTACTTACCAGTAACAGAGGTACCACATTGCACACTGTCAATAACCCCATGGCTATGTGCATGAACCAAGTAGCATATTTCTCCACCCCTGGTAGTTTCCTCAACTGTGACAGTCACCTCGCCAATTTCCTAGGGATTCAATCATTCAAATTGAAATTTGATTGTTATGGTAATTACTAATGTATAATTTGGCAATTCAATGCTTGCACTTGGCACCAAAAACATAATTTGACACATGGGTTTTCTGGAACCTTTTTTTTCATTTTTTCATTTTATAATATTTATACAGGTTAAAGGTTCATACATATATGTTTTCCAACCTGACCTGTTTAAAAGATTAAAATAAGCGCTAATGCATATGTTATAATACTAATAACAAAAGAAATTTACCAACCAAACCTAATTTACAATATTTAATTATACTAAGGCTATAAAAATAGACTTAGTATATAAATAAAGGGGAGGACTATCTAATACTTTTTAAGGAAGTTGCTAAGGAAGTATCACATTGTTTTCAAAAAAATCATTCATAATTAGGCATGACTTGATAAATTGTATTTGCATACCTAACATTTTTGGCAATAATATTATAATTAGGCATGACTTGATAAATTGTATTTGCATACCTAACATTTTTGGCAATAATATTATTGCTCACAAGAAATCCATGGTGCTAGCTTATGATCTAAAAGGTTTTTGGAGGTTGCAAAATTTTGTTGACCATTTTCTTATGCTTTAATTTTAAGTTGGCATAAACAAAATAGCTAGAAAAGGCTAATTAAAGCCAACTTACTATGGTAACAACAAAACAAGACTAAATGATAAACAACATAACCAGATAAAGTTACTTTTATATTATAAATCAATTGATACAATGTTACTTATATAGAAGCACCATATCTGGGCTAAATTAAGAGGCTTGAAGCACAATTTATCGTCTAAATATATTTGGATTTGCAACTATATATAAATTTGATATAATATAGAGAGGCAGACAAAAATTGTAAGTATAATATCTTTCTGCTTTGTCTCTGGAAATTTTAGAAACATGACTTACTTTCCCATTATCAGAAACAGTTCCAAGAAAATCAGTAAACACTGTTTTGCCAAGGGTTTTAAAATCTATAAAGAGCATATAATGAATTCTCAAACATAATGACACATTCTGACATATATGAAAGAAAATTGACATTAAATGGCTATGTATAAAAAGATAATTAGCAACTAAAACATCATGTATTCTTCATAGTAGACATTCACAGAAAAGACATTTTATACAGGAATCTCCTCTTTGTGCAAATTCCTTTCCATGAAATCAGTTATTTCAAAAAAATTTAAAAAAGGTCTACAAGTTGGGAAGGTCCTGAGTGACCATTCTGTTACAAAACAAGCATATTATTTTTCCAAAAAAGTGAAACTTGCAGTTGATATGTCAATTCCTTTTCAAAAGCTTAATTGCTTATAAGTTGGTTGATTGTACATTTATAAAAATATTATAACATAAAAAAAGGTTGTTTCAAAAATGATAATTATTTATCCATAACAAGAACAAATATCCTTATAATCAATGATAACATTGACTTTTCCTTCCATTTGCAGTGCTATCAAAAACTATTACTGTTAACATAGGTGATGTATATGCCACCTGCTACAACACATCTGACAGTTAGTACTGGCAGGGTGTCCCTGCCCTAGGAATTGTAATCCCAGTTGTTGTTGTGTTGCATGTAATCATTCTAGTTTATTGTAGATTTCAGAACAGTAAATATGTGCAACAAATTAAATCACAAAGGCTAGTAAGGTTCCATTGGGTCTCTCAGAAGAGCTCAATCAGGCCTCTCCAGGAAAAAACAATGCGGGCTATAAAAAGCCCTTGCCAGTTTGGCTGCGTGGGCTATTCAGCCCTTGCAGAACTGTTGTTAATTTTTTTATATTGAGTATTTACAAAAGCAATAAAATACATTACCTTGCCAATTTTTTAAACATTATTAACCTTAAGAAGGCATTTTGTGTGTATTAGTACATTTAAATTTTGCATTACCACTCCTTAAAACGAGACAAAAGATGAACTTACCATTTTTAGAATACAAGTTTTGTTAGGTTTTGCTGGTCAAATGTGGCTTTTTTAGGAATGTCTAATTTATATGTATGTCGTGACTCGAAAAGAAATTGTTTCTTATTTGACAGCATGGTGTAGAGTTTCTCACTTTAATTGTTTGTAGCATTAATCACGCTTTTATGCTATTTCTTTTGTGCGAACACTAATCCTATTCCATTGCAAGTTTTAGCAGACAATTGTTAACATGTGGTATATAAGGAAACGGAAATCTTCTATTTATAACGCCACTTGATAAACACATAGACATGTAAGACCTCTTTCTCTTCATTCCCTAACACCCTGATATTTAGTGGTAAGTAGTACAAACATTTGGAAGCTAAGCTGCGAGGATTAAATGAGAATGTTGGTTTGAAAAACTGTGCCGGCAGAAAAAGCCCTCGCAATTTTATTTTGCACGGATTTGCGCGGACGCCAGCTATAGCCCGCTTCACCAGGAAAGGCCTGAGCTCAACTCTAAATTTGAAACAAAAATTGCTCTTTCTAGCAAGGCTGCTACAGAGGAGTGTATGCAAGTGTCTCACCATGTATGAAGGTGTCTTACCTTTCAAACTCTTGTATTCAATAACTCTCAGGAAGAAGCAGTTTTTAAAATTATTTTAAGTCATTGAATAGCATTTATGCTTGTTTTTCCTTCATAAATTAACAAAGCTGTATTGGTATACCATTCAAGCATTGCCCTAAATTGTGCCAGTGTAAAAGTAATATTGAGTTTTACATACCAATAGACTCTAAATAATTCAAGGCTGCCTTGTTTGCTTTGGGAGAATCATCTTCTTTGTTCTCTTGATTTTCAATGTCATTTTCTTGGCTTCTTTATAGAAAGTAAATTACTTATATTACAAATTTAGCAAACAGATGAAACCTGTTGCTCAACAACATTGTCAGCAAAAATTTCAATTAAGTCTGGAGCTCCTTCTAAAGAGCTTATACCAAGTTCATTGTTATCCACAACAAAAAAGCTGGTAAAACATCCTGTAAGAAGGTTTCGTTTTCTTGAGCCAAAGTGTTAACATCTGCCAAAAATGTTCACACCATCAGAGACTCAACAAAGGGACAGATGCAACCTTTTACACATAAATTAACTTCTCCAAATGCATGTGAATTTGCATTGATTGCTGGACTGAGAGCACAGAGTGTGCGCACACTGTGAGGAAATGTTCACTCATGCACATTATTATTCAACATGGAAATATTCACTCATGCATAATAGTGTTGAATATCCTGCGTTGATGGCATGCAAGAGGAAAATTGAGAAAAGGACACTGCACACTTGAGGAAACAGGTTACACTAACAGTCACAAGCTCAGCTCAGCTCAGCTGATATCTCAAGTGTGTGCAAGGCTTAACATATGCCACATATTTTTACACCATTAGAGATTCAACAAAAGGACAGATGCTACCACTTATAAGTAAAATGCTTTTATTCACTCCAACTTTTCAAGAAAGGTCTCAGCATAACAAACTCGATAAAAAATTTGCCCAGATTGTTACCTAATAAACAACTATTCAATTTGAACACCATAAAATACTAATAAACCTAGATCCAAATGGCCAGAGAAACAAAGTGGACAATTTGAAATTTCAGTCCCGTCCCTGCCATGACCCAATTTGACCCTCTAATACCAGACAGAGGTGTATACATGGAGAGGAAGGACCTGCATGATATGCATAGCTTCTCAGTGTCTCAAAACTACCTTTGGATGTTTGGTAGTAATAAATTTAAAGACAAATCATAAGGTCTTATATACTTCTTAAAATGGAAAAAAACAAAAAGAAAACTAGGTTATTGAAAGGGGTTTGTGTACTCATAGCTCTGTTAAAAAGTGGAACATCAGTTCTCTACACAAGGTCAAAAGAAATGTCAACATCTTTGCTTTCATCATAATCAAACTTCTCACCATCCTTTTCATAAACAAAGACCCTATTCGCAATTAAGGGGAAGACAGCTAATTTGACAGCAGTGCTCATTTAACTTTTCCTGCTTTGAGGGGGGGTTCATTGAAAGGGTGGGAGGAGGGGCAACAATTCAATGATTTATAATATTTCAACTCATCATTCTGATGTTGATGTTTTCTCTTAAAGATTATGTTTATATTCTTTATCCGCATTCAATTGTTTTCTTCAAATAAAAATTTGCTGTAACTGAATCTGTAGGCCTGATTTTTGAGTATCATGTGATTAGTTGTGAGCACATTAAAATTATAAATCTCTTGAAAAGATGCCAAAATAGTAAAATTGCAGTCAATTAACAATTATCTTTTATCTTCATAAATTATGTGATTCTATCTATAATTCTAAAACTGTCACAATAATACCAAAGATCAGCACTCCCATCGGTAGCTGGAGCCATTGCTGTTGGTAAAAGAGCGTTCCTAACAGTAAAAGGGGCGTGGTCTACAAATTTTCTTTATGTCCCAAGCACAGCCATTCCCCTTCCCATACCCACCTTTAAACTTGCATCAGATATACTAACTTTTCTTCCAAATCTCAAGAGCAAATCGATAAAATGACAAGCTGCTACTTTTAATATCCTGCGTTTAGATAACAATCGACATTGTTTTTCTAAGGTAGGTTTAAAACATAGCGTCTAACGGTGAAAATGTTAAACAAACAACTTTCTAGGCTAACGTTAATAAGTCATTAAATTGTAAGCATTCAGCGAGAAAATTTTGCGTCAAATTATAGCAAAATATAGAAAAAAATCTGCTGCGCCGGATTATCGTTTGCTGTGATTATCAAATATAAAAATAAAAAAATTAGAGTAAACCTGTGATTCTTTATGAACTCTTCGTTACCTTAATTATTTGTTCACGCTTTAATGTTTAATCAATTTCATGAAATAACACTTGATAAAAACGGAAAATAAGTAGTGTATTCATTTCTACATCTTGGTTCAGAAACATGACTAAACATTTGCCATTTTCGATTTAGTTGTTTGTTTTCGTCTTTGTTGTTGATCACAGAAGTTTACCATTTCCGTTCTTTTTGCGGGGCGCGAACTAGTTAACTGGCAAGGGTCCTCTCCACAAAAATTCCCGCGACAACATTAAGCCAGAGCCCAAGGCTAAACGTTTAAGAATCTAAATAATCTCACGAACTTAATGTGTTTTGCATACAATGGTGAAGCAAAATTATTTCATAAATATGTGCCTTTCAAGCCTTTCCTTACAGGCCTAAGCTAAGTATGTAATTCTACAAAAGATTTGGTTCATACCTCTCCATGTTAATTGAATTCAATTCTTCGGAATTGTCCATATTTCATCATTTGCGGGATAAGTTCAAACATCCGTAAATAAACTTTGTAATATGAACATTAGATTAAAAGTTCTCCACCTCAGAGCCCGTTTATCCAGAAAAAGATAGTTTCCCGCAACACAAGAACGGCATCTTCTATGATTTGCATACGAGGTCATTGACGTCAATAGAATACAATAAACTGATTGGCTGATACCATACATGGACATTGTTCTGGTTAGGTTACCAAGACAACTTGTAAAAGCCACTTTTAGGTCATGTTTTTGACGTAATTTGGCTCTAAAAACAGTTTCTTTCTTATTTCCTGGTCACCTGCTCCTATAATTAAATTTTCCAAGATTTTTACTAAAGTTACTCTTGCAAAACAAGAAGAATAACTGCGATATCGCTTTCAAAAAGCATGGTCCTGATCCAACACGCCTCACAATGTGACGTCACAGTTGAGATAGGAAATATTAGTTGTCCGATTGATTCATGTGAATCAGGGAAACCCCTGGCGAGAATGAAACAGTAGTTGTCTAGCGCATGTACTAAGTTTTCAACGGCAAGGGGTCAGTGACTTCTTTTATCTCAAATAAAATGGCTGTAATTTAAAGCGTTATACTTAGTGGGAGGAGGGGGCTGCAGGCACGCCGGAGCCAGGGGAGATGGGGGCTATAGATCCCTCGCTTTTTTCTGGTGAAAACTACCACAGAAGTTTGCCTATTTGTCTAGAGCCCCCCTCCCTCCGCTACTCCAAAATGTGCTCCGGCGTCCCTGGCATTGCCCTAAAATGTAGGGTAATCTTTAATTTTGGTAACTATGAACTTTTATCCGAATACAACTTTCAGTACCAGAGCCTAGGAGTCGTATTGAATAGCAAAGAGATGAATTGAATAACAATGTTTGGTTGGAGGAATTTCATAATAAGCACAACCCCCCCCCCCACATTTGTATGACGGGATCCTTGGTTGTATCAAATTGTTGGCCTATTTTGAGCTGGTACTGGTGAAGTTTGTTTGTCGTGTATGTTGCCGGAATTAGGAATAACGATTCTATTCTTACTTTTGGAAATCTGGCTGGCATCGTTGTCTTCTTCTCATCCACGCAAAGTATCTGTGTCAAAATACTTCTTATACCTGAGACTTTATTTCTTGTTGGTCTTTTGAATTTTACCCTAAAATTGTTCACTTGTCGGCCTTTAGGTATATCAAAGAAAAACAGTTGCTGGTTGGTACTTATTTATTCCTTCTTGCAGCCTAAATACCAGCATACCAGGTCTACTTTGGTGAACTTTGTGGGTTTTCCAATCTGTCACAAGTAAAAAGCAATCTTCTACATAGCCTTTTTCGCAATATGTCACTTATGAGAATGATTTTTGCACTCAATTATGAGAATGATTTGAGCCGTCCCTAGCTTAAATGACCTGTCTTCAACTGCCTCCTCCCATTTATATCGTGTTGAATTTAACGTAATGAGGTTGAAAGCAGGAGCGCCTGCCATCAAGGGCCAAAGTAAGGGCAAGGGGGCATAGCACCAGAAAGAAGGAGGGAGCAAGGAGCAAAATTAAGGGAGTTGCTAAATTTCGCAAGGACATGGGATGAAATAGTGATGGGTTGATAATTTGTCTTCACCCTATCAATATGACGTCACAATTATACCAGCATTATATAAAGCCGAAAATTTGTTTGCAATAGTTAGTTTAGTGTTCAAATTGCAAAGTGAGTGTGAAATCGCTAAGCATTTTTGGTTTCTTTACATTTGACATCAAAAGTTCAAGCATGCAGTTGGGAAAACTTTCAATATTGCTAGCAGCGGCATGCGGGTCCGCAGTGACGTATGCACTGCAATGGGCCTATGGTAGGTATCAAAATAGTAATGGTAAACATGATAAGATATGCCATTCTTGTTTGGGCGTGTCAACTTCAATAAGCGCCAGGCAAGAGAATAAAGAGACGTATACAAACACTGACAATGAAGGAAATGCAATGTGCAAGATCAGATCAACGAATAACCAAGAGACAGTGGCAGTTGCTGTGAATTCCGTTGTACAGAAAAGAAATGGAGATACGAATGAAACCATGAATGCAGGACAAGGGCAGACTGCAGAGAAATTCACAATGTCAAAAAATACAAGCCAAGATAAAGGAATATTCGGTGATTTAGATGGGCTCATTAAAGAAAATATCGAAACAAGCCCACAGGTGAATGTCTCTGTACTGCACGTATTCTTTGATAAACTTCTTGTATTACCATAACTTGTCTGCATTATAACATCTAAATTGTACATTTCAGTTCTTAATTGATATAATTGTACTGTTTAGGTCGTCACTAAGAAAGATACCAGGACCTTGGGGACTGATTCAAGGACAAAAGACGTGGACCACTTAAATCAGGTGAGGGCTTCATAAAGGGTTGCAGGCTAACACTACTGTTGTTCATAACAGGGGCATTAATAGAGGAGGTCATTTGTTAATTTCTTTTTATTCAATTGCACCTTTAAAGGTAATGTGTCCAGCTAAAGCAAGCGACACTGCGGGGGTTCTTAGAAACATGTTATTTTTAATGTCATCGCCTCAGCCATTACGGTCGTTCTTTTTATCTATCCTGCTGCGAGGTTAGCTTTTCATGTGAGCAGCTTTGCATTGCAAGAATACTAACCAATCGCAAGCCGTTATTTCGATGGGTGGCTTGACAAGTTCGGTATACGCAGTCCTTTTATATGGACACATTACCTATAATTTTGCATACATCGTAGATTGCCTTTAAAATTGTGAAATTGGAAGGATATTTTACCATAAATAGTTTCAAAATTCTGAGAGCTTCTAGGGCTTCACCCATAACCCTGCGGTGGGACTTCATAGCCCAGTGGCGTGGAAACCGGGGGCCTTTGAGGGGGAGTACTCCAATAATTTGTCAAGCAACATCCCATTGGTTCTCGACTCCATTTGAAATTATATCTTATAGCTTTTACTTTAAAGCGTTGATTTTACATGCACTCCTGCTCTACCATACAATTTGTTACACCGAATTGGCAAATTGCAAAACACACAGAATTGTGAATATACTTCTTGATTCTGCATAAGGACGACTCTAGTTCAAATGGAAGGACGGTAACTAAAATAGCGAAGAGAACCGAGACGGTTGAGATGGGGGTAAGTGCAAAGCCAGAAACAGCTAACAAGAAGCTAGCAACTGAGGAGAGTGGATATTGCCAAGGGGACGAAGATATTACGATGGTTGATCGGCGTTTAATACAAATGTTGATGCAATGCCTGACTGAGATGGAGGAAAAACTCAGAATTTACGAAGGAACGACCTCAAGACCAACACTGCTTCAACAGTTGTTCCAGCATCCGCAACAACAACTGTAGCAGGAAAACTGTCTGCGCCTTTGAACGCAAAATGTGAAACTATTGGCGGATACCAGCCCAACAGGCAACAGTATAAAGTTTAATTTGTTGTTGGGCATCGAATTTTGAAATTGTAGATTGTAGCATTTGCTTTCAGCATTGATTATCTTGAAACAAAATCCCTTTTCGTTTATAGTGTTTCGTTTAGCTATAAAACATGGTGTGTCTTATTTGATTAAAACACAATAACATGTAGACAGTTTAATAGATAAAAAATATTTCATGTTGATAAAACATTAAACAAAAACATCTCCCAGATGATGAAAAGCATTTTCTCATGAAGCCGGCACAGAAAAGTTACAACTGAGGAAGAACAAATTATGTTTGTAATACGTGATAACGATGCTAAACACAAATTTATTTAAAAGAAGAAAACATCAATTATGCGTTTAATATACAGATTATTAGACGTAACACATCCAAGAATTTGATAAAAAAGATAGAGTCAAGATGGCTTGCAAGAGAAGTTACAAGATGGCTTGCAAAGAGGGGGCAATCGTTGTATTTCCTAGAGATTACTCATAAAAACAATCATAAAAGGACTAACACTATGATAAGCGGTGTTCCGTATTAATTACTTTCAGTATTAACTATTATGGAAAGATTAACAGTTTAATTGACTTTGAGGAGCTGCGCAAAACCTTAACGAAGAACGCCGAAACGATGAACGTAGACATATCTATTTAGGATAAAAATCTGCGTTTCCAAAAGATAAACGTGAAGATTTACATCAACTAATGTCAATCATACATACATGATTAGAAAATACTTTTAATTTTGGCGAAGTCGGCTCCGGGCAACAGGTGTGTTTTACGGTATGACGTAGGAATCCCCATGAACAGACAGCTGATGTACAACTTTTTTCCCAGTCTTCCGCGTTTTAGAGGGGAAATGGTCTTGCAGTCAACAGGAAGAGCACATGGACTACTAATTCACTATGTTGGAACTATTCCGAAGTAAGAAATCGATACTAATCTAATACAATCTCTAATATGCTATAAATAACAATAAATAGAAAATTAATGATCTAATTTTGAGGTATTTATGATCACAAAAGTCAAGGCTATGTAATTAAAGTATGAAACTGGAAGAAAAATAATTAAAAGTTTACAGGTTCTAAGTAGTCACTGTCACCACTCCACGATTATAAAACAGTACACAAATTTATCGAAAGTAAGCGCTTCTATAATGCCTTTTTATGCTTCTCCGATAAATCCAGTCAAACAAGAAAACCCAAGCATGGATTTCTCCTAATGCTTTTAAGCCGGATATTTAGTAGTAGAGAGGGCCTCAATCAATTTTCCAGCATCAGATTGAGGTTATGCCGAATTCCTAATCGAGGCTGACTATCATTTTGGTACACCTGCATTCGGGATTTCGTCATTCGAAAATAATTTCATAAATGTCAGGTTAAAACACGTCACAACGTTGTTTTGACAGGTATACTTCGACTACCTAGAACATCTTAACAACAGGTATAACAGATTTCCAAAAAAACACTAGCTAAAGTATCTCTTTGATCTTGACAATAGCTTTTAACCATTTTCGTTCTAAATGTACGTACTTGACAATCATAACAAGGTTCACGTTGAATCTTTAATTAAAATTAACGCATTTACACAGTACCGTGTTTGCATGCTACATTTCTATACATTTCTACCTATAAACTACCCTGCCTCTTTTGATGTGTATCCAGCCTTACTACATATCACTTCAAACCTCAATGTTTATTCTTAATGTATTTTTAAGTTAAAAACAAAGGATAATAGAAAATTAAACCGTTAAATTTTAAAGTTTAGCGAAATCGGAATACTTCGTTATGCATTAGTCAAATATTTGTTTACTTGAAAAATATAGTAAGCTTTAAAAGATGTACTGCAGCAAATGGATGAAGCAAACAAAAACAGCTGTATACTGAACCTACGTCTTCGAACGGCTAAACAATTTCCAATGAAGTGTGAAAAACTGTAGCATGTTTCTGGCAGTTTCAATTTTTGGTTAGGATTAAAAGAGAGAATGCATGGTGATTTCATCCACAGTTATTCTTGATCATCCATTGCTGCCTTTTTGTCCAGCAAATCATCATCTTCATATGCTTCGTGCTTTTTACTTTTCCTGCTTTTTGATTTATCACCTCTTTTGAAGAATCCAAGCTTTAACAAAGAAAGTTGCCATATAAGTTTACGAAATTCACAGCAAAAATGAAGAATACTGAACAAAACTTAAATGAAAAGGGTCTTCCAGTTAAGAAGGTTCGATTTGAATAAGAATGAAGAATGCACATCAAATGGACCATACCGACGGTTCAAAACGAAAAATTCGCTTTCTTCCATCCCGGAATCCTGAAAGCGATGTACAATATAATTTTGGAACAAACATTTTTTGAGCCCTTCCCAGTTTCGAAATTCGGGGTGCATCGACCGAAAAACAATTCTCAGAAGAAAATATTTTATCTCTGATACGAATCATGTATTTAAAACCAAAAGAAAACCTGCTGGATTGAGTGATCTGCGATCGTCTGCGATAAATTGGGAAAAATTGTTACAGGGTGTATGGAACGTTTGGGAAGAAATTGAAACATTTGCGGAGGAATATTACGATTTTGGAAGGGAATCAAAAGACTTAACAAGAAATCGAACGGCTTGTGACGAAATCGACCGACTTCTGACGAAATCGAGCGGCTTGCGACGAAATCGAGCGGCTTGCGAAGAAGTCGAACGACTTGCGACGAAATCGAACGACTTGCGACGAAAATTGAAGGACTTGGGACGAAATTGAACGACTTGGGACGAAAATGGAACGACTTGGGACGAAAATTGAACGACTTGGGACGAAACCATTCTTACCTTATACAAGCCAAACACAAGTAAAGCGAGCAAGATGATTCCTGCAAGAACAGCGAGAACTATTTTCCAAACTGCCACTCTCTCTTTCACAGGTTTGGGTGCCTCAGAATACAACACTGTGAATACCTAGTGAAAGAAATAACACCAACTTGATTAACTGGTCACTTCTTAATGTAAAATACTGCTTAATTGGATCACCTAATGGCCTATTATAAAACGTACAATCCACTTTGTGGTGGACACAAGAACTGCGATCTTTAGTTCTGTGTTTGAAATACAAAGGCAACTCTTATAAAAATGATCAGGCCATTAAAGGTTGTATTATAAATAATTTATGCGCAAACTCTGGCATATCAAGGAAACTGTGTAGTATATGGTGAAGCTTCGCGACAAATGTATTTTTTTTAAAAAAACTATCGACCTTGAGCTTGAGGCTATAGAAAATTAGCTTGAAATCGTATTGGATCATTAAAGAAGGCAAAGGAAAGAAATGCCCGAGACGTTAAAGAACTTAAACATGGGGCCTGGAATATTTTCTACACATAAAGCAAAAACTATGTTTTCCTTGATACGAGGCACCATTACTTCAAAAAAGTACAGTGTCGCTGATTTTAAGAACTTCAAGTTGTAGCATTGCCCGAATGAGGTCCCCAGCAAATATTTCAGCAAGAAAAATAAAAACATCCCGATTTTTCAGTAAAAACGACGATTATGGTGAATATAGAAGCCGTATCTTCAAAAAACAATACCCAAATGTCTTATTTCTTCGGTGTTATTTTTCAAAATTCGAAGGGTAAATGCATCTAGCCATGTGGGGTCCAGGTACGATCATTAATGGGTCAAAAATGAGTGCCCGTGAAGAATTAGAGAGTCTTAGGAAGAAACACAGAGAAAACTTTTTTATTGTCAATCATCATTTTAGCAAGCGTAAGATAGCTGCTATCTGTGCTAATCATTAAAGAGGGGCTATAAAACATAGCTTTATAACATTACGTGGACCTAAACCTCATCACAACAGCAAGCTAAAAAAAGCGTGTAACGTCTCACTTTCTGCTTGAGCGGGCACTGAATATCGCTCAACGATACCTCTTAACAAAAGAAAATTGATTAACGTCTTTGGTCGAATCAAACATGACTGATCAGCGCTGAACAACAATTCATTAGCAAGGTAGCCAAAAACTGAACATTCTACTCGACACTACACTGGTCATTCTTCAAGCTAGTATAAATTGGGAACGGGAAGCCACGACATTCAATCAAATACAGAAGTACATTAAACAGTTTCATGGAAGATGCTATAGGCGGACAAAAACAAAAACACCCTACCGAGGCTTTGTTGTTCAACATATTTGGATCGCTGATGTAAGAAGCATTGGAACCAACTGCGACGCTTGCATGAGATACAACGCTTAGTGTCTGAGTTTTGTAGTCCTGAAAGAATCATTTTATTAGAAATAGAAGCTTTGAATGTTTCCTAATATCCTACAAAAAGGAGACTGCAGGTGTGCTATATACAAATGTCTAAACAAATTAATAAAAAGACATGCTATGTTAAAACTGTTCTCCGTGCATTCAACGCAACCAGCTGAAAACAGTATCCTCATGAATACTTGAATAACGATCAAATTGGCAGTATATAAGCCAAAATAATATAAAATATTAGCTATAAGTATATAGTGTAAGAATAAGAAAATACTAAGAAGAAAAATAAAGCTTAGAAGGCTAAGAAGAAGTCGAGGTGACATTTTAAACTTGGTTTAAAATATTTCTTGCATCGCCAATAAAGACATTCACATACAGTGGCGGATCTAGACAAAAATGGGTTCATATATGGGCGTGGTCCCATATTTTCGGGCAACGCCATTGACTTTTGCCCAAAGTTGGGCGACGCCCATTTTCCCTTTTTGATAAGATTCACGATTGCAAGATTTAATTTCAACAAGATTGAATGTAATTTCAGCCTGATTCCAGGGCATGTAAGAAAATTCAGTCTGTAACCAAAGCCAGAAGTGGTCATCGTGAATTCTAAAAGAATGATTTCGATTTCTCGCCAAACAGAGGAGTTTAGAAAACTAAAAAAGGAGACAAGCTTGCTGACTGTTGCAAGGTTTGAGCAAATGCATGCTTTACATATTACCAAATAACAAACAAGGCAAAATGTTCAAATATTCAGCAAATGTGTCAAGAATGGATAACAATAGACAAAACCTCTCAGCATATATAGCAAACAGGCTTATTTATTCAAAGTGTAAAAAATGGCACATGAAATAATCTTATCCCATTCCCTAAAGTCTTAGTCCATTTTATCATGATAAAGTTCTTACTCTATAGCGGTTGAAATGAGTTCCAATGACTTCGTGAATTGGGTTCCAAAAGGGTTCCTTTGTTTGTTGCAAAAACAATCGAGGACAATCGATTGCTACAGGTTACTACAGGGTTCGCCATGGTTACTACAGGGTTCCTTTCTTAAAAAATACAATATGGTACAAAGAGCTGTCATGGCTACGACAGGGTTCCTTTCTTTCAAGGAATGCAATATGTTACAAAAGATTACCATGGCTACGACAGGGGTCCTTTCTTTCTCAATACCATATTTAGAGAGCACCAAAGGCTGTGGAACAAGAGCCCATTTGGCGTTAGGACTCGTTTAGGGGTGTACCGGATCAGGATTTTCAGAATCCGGCCGGAACCGGATTTACCGGATTTCTTCGTGGAATATCCGGCCGGATTCTACCGGATAATCTGACCATTTATAGAATTTTCAGAAATAAAAAGTTTTGAGCCATTTTGCGAAAAAATGTATAGCGAGAAGATCAGAGAGACCTATTCAGGGTTGCCAGATTGAATTTACAAACAAAGGCTAGACTGGTGAACAATTCAAGCCAAAATGCTCATAAAAAAGCCAAATCAAAAACTCTCTCAAGAATCCATCGAGCAGGCACTGGTTATATTTCTATTCTTGTGCCTGTTAGATAATTTCTTAACTTTGATAAGAATCTTACTTTTTTCCAAAACCCTTTGCTAATATCAAGATAATATTTAGGTTAGGTGATAAAATTTGAAATTTGGTTAACACTTTGTAGTTAACTTCTAATTATTCTATGAATGTAGTTATTACTTATTAATTTTGGACGCCTGCTGAAAAGGCCAACAAGGTCAAATTTAAGTAGTAAGCAAAAAAACAATTTTTCCAGGCAATCTAAATCTAAAAACCAAAAATGAAAAATTTGGCCTAAAAAGCCGATCTGGCAACCCGAATTTGTGAATTATATCATCCAGTCTTCCTGTTTCGTGATGACGGGCACTTTCATTTCAAATCTGTTTTCAAGGCGCTTGTTTTATCGTCGATATTGTTTAGTTCTGGAAAATCCATTTTTAATCACTGTATGAAGGAAGTCTGACTTGGTTTTCCAAATTTTCTTAGTTATGATTAAAGTTCTGGAAAATCCGGCAACTGGCCGGATTTCGGAAACAAATCCGGCCGGAACCGGATCTTAAAAAAATCAGCGATCCGGCGTCGGATTATCCGGCCTACCGGATATCCGGTACATCCCTAGACTCGTTGCGATTTGATCAAAATTAAGGAAAATCTGTTGTCATCTGTCTTAAAAAATTTTTGACATGGCTCCAGAACCCTTGGAACCCAGTCTGGATCCGCCACTGTCCACACAAGTACCTTGCCTTGAAAATCTAAAATTTGAAGACGGTTATTGAAATAAATGAGCTGACATAACGAAAACACCGCGCGGTAGAAATCGTTAAGAGGAAGCATGCAAGCGAACGTACCATGAGTAATGTTGAATTCCAAATCCTGGCACTGATTAATATCTGGACTCCTTTGCGGCTTCGGAAATCATCGACCTTGCATGTGAAAGACGTGCATTTGGCTGTATTTTTGCGGCAGTCCTAAAGGAGACCACACATAATTATTAAAAAAACATTTTTACTCGCACTCTAGCTCAAAATGTATCCCTGCGCACAAAAAAACCGGGCGTCAACAATAGAAAAATAGAAGGTTTGATATAAGGTCGAACAGGGATACGTGATGACCAATGTTGTAATTATTATTATGACTACATTTGTTTTATTATTGTTTATGGACACGATCTCTATTATATATTGAACCACAGAAAATATATCTAACGCTCTACGATTAGTATATCTTTATCTGGTGAACATAGCCAGTGGTCCAACTTCCTTCTAATAGAGAGGTTTGACGTTGTGAATATATCTCTGAAATCAGACTAAATGTCCTCTTTATTATCATTTTTCAAGATCACAATGGCATTGCAATGGTTACAAATTTGTGATAATCATATCACGGTGACATTACTCACCCAGTGATAATCATAATGGTAGCTAGTGGGCATTTGCAATAACGAAAATCGAAGAATCACTCCAACTCCTCTTTCTATCAACATGCCTGTGGCAAGTCTACCTTATTAGGTAATAGATTCATACCACTTGTTCAGACTTATAAAGTTCGCTGTTTGCAGCTCTACGCCCTATCGCCAGTTCCCGCCACGAACTGACTCCGTTCTTTGCACCTAGTAATTACTAGACACGAGTTTAGTTCGTAAACCGCTAGGATAATTCTTGATAACACGTCCCACAAAAATACAAATCCAACACTTTGCTACTGCGAAAAACAACAACAGCTGAGTGCAATCTACCAAGTTTCTTTATACTTCGATTTTTCTCATCACGCGATTCAAAAGTGTAGCTGAAACATTTGTTGATCCAACACAGTGCTAATTTTGCCTTTTGTACAACAAAAATTTCAAAATAGTACGAAAACGCAAGCACGACACAATGAAGCGTTTGTACTAACCAAACGCGCCATTCCTCTTTCCACATTACTTTCGATCCGCAACTGGATACAAATTTCTCCTTACATAAAGTACAAAAATTTTCAGCGGATAAAATTTCGGACAATAAAACTCGGTGAAAATATCTTCGGACATATTTTTGACATTTCGGACAAATGAATTAGTATATTTTTGAGATTGTTATTGAGCTCTTGAAAAACTTGCAAGAAACTCTGAGTACTGAAAATATGATATTGTTATGAAATTTTCGGTACCGAACTTTAAGAGACGTTGACTGTCGTTGACCGTTCGAACGATGATGATATTAGTTGTTTGGTAGACCGATATTTTTATAACCTTTCTAATTTGTGTAACAACTGTTTTCAAAAATTTTGCAGACCTGCTAACTTTCGTTTCATTTTGTCTGGTAATGGGAATATAGATTCAGAACCCACATGATTTGCTTTGCTTCAGTCAATTTACATTGGGTATGCACAGTTTATGCAAAAAATTTTGGCATGAAAAACTTTCGGACAACTCTAAATTTCGTACAAATAAATTTTCGGACAATTCTTTGTCCGAAAGTTTCTCACGCTGAAAATTTTTGCACCCTTCAGATTATTATTTGACTTTTATACTTTTGAGGAGTGTCGGAGATGAAAAATACTTTAGCAAGTTATGTTTCTTCTTTTACAACACGGTACCTATAAATATGTGAATAAAGCTAACAATAAAATTAGGACAAAGAAACAAATAAAAATAATCCTGAAACGCTTTTTATTTCATTGGAAATCCTTAAAACGATCTTCCTCAAAGCAAAGTTTTTCAGTTACAAAAAAGACGTACTAAAAGAAAAGGTACTAAAAATAAAGTTTAAACTTTAAAACTAATAAAATTGTTCTATGATAACGTGTTTTGTGGATTTGATAATCATTCGGAAGATGCTGAAATCTAGGAAGACTGTTTTCTATCACAAGTTACAGTGCTCTTATGAATGTTGAGGTTTTTCATCTAAATTCCACATTTAAAGGAAAAGCTCGTTAAGGCATTTTCATTAATAAATATCATATGAAAGATTGTAATGAGGAAACCCAGCCTGAAAATGGAACTGCAGTTACAAATTTTGAATATCTAGCGCTGTAGATGCTATTTTTTCCTTGGGGGTTTGTGCTCGCCAAAATGGCAGTAATGCTATGTTTCCAATCAATAATTCATTTTGTACCTATCGTTCTCAAACAACAGTGCCCCCTAACTATTCTACCTTTCTTACGGTACTGTTAGTACCACAAAAAACTTACCAAGACTTTGCCTTCCATCTGTACTCCCTTAGAAGAATCGCTTACTTCTGTGCTTTGACCAGCGGGAGGTTGATCAGTGGACTTCGTAGAAGGTGTCTCTGTTGTTTCATTCACTTCCGAGACATCTCTTCGTCGTCTCTCTAATGTTGAGGCTGCTGGTGCAGTGGCATTAAGGTCAATCGTCGAACTGGTAGAGGACTGAAGATAAAAACAACAGGAATAATATCAACCAAAAATATATTTTGCCATTCGTGTTATGCAGACGTTGAAAAACAATACGGTGACAGAAAACTGGCAAACTTGCGAACACAATGCAGACATATCTTTTAAATACAAGAAAAATGGCTTAAAAACGATCTTCAACTCCTATACAAAGGAAGAAACTTCAATGCAAAACACCAGACTGTAATAGACTTTCACACTGTTGGAAAACGTTTCTAGGCCAATAAATAGAATTTTTAGGAGGCTTTAAGACATTGTCTCATTGCAACACATGTTCTTGAAGATGCAGATTATGCTTTAAAATGAATATGCTTCAAAAATACACATGCAAATTAAAGCGAAAATTGCTCCTAGACTACATCTCCCATAGTGTAATCCAGTTTGGCGTCTTTTCGATAAATGTCAAGTCTTTATTAATAATTTAGCTCTCAACTTAGAATGTGCTTTTGCCACTTGTATGACATATTTTCCACCTCTCTAGCTGCGCACGAAACAAAACACCCAGACTTATCAGAAATATCAGCAGTGGTCTAATGGTATGCGACAGATATTCCCATTAACAGCTTTGAGAAGACGGCAAAAGCAAGTATCTAATGATTCCTTATAAAGCTATAACTAACAGAAACTTGCTATATTAGTTTTGAACATCGTACGTGGTATAATTTCTGTATTGTGCATATGAGAGATACTAAATTACACTCACAGCATCATTATTTCGCTGTCTAGACGTGATACAGAGAAAAACCTTGATACTTTAATTTGGCAACCAACACAAACACAGCAAGATTCTGCCACAACAAAAACTAAACATAGGTAATTCACAGGCTAAAGACACACCACTGCATACATCAACTGAAATTTTGATGTCTACAAAGACATATGTTGGTACTTGAAACCTTGACATAATAAAATTTGTGCAAAAAGTAATTAATGTCTTTTCTTACAAACAGGTGTTTTCAAACACAAGTTATGAGAAAATAAATTCAATTAAACCATCTGCTCCGAGTTTCACTTGCGCAATCATTCAAGTAAATTCAAATCGTTATCTCACGATTGAACTCACCTTCAGGCGTAATTGGTTTTGTTGACCACGTGCAAAGGTGCATTTTGCTTCAGATGACTAAAGTGAAACAAAATGCAATAACTGAGTTGTATGGTTGATAGAAAATGTTGTAGGAACGAATGTGACAGTTGCTGCAGTGAAACTTCATGTATAATGTGCAATACGTTTTTAACAAGTAATGCCAAGATTAATTAACAGAACGATTTCATTCTCGTTTGATAGCCACCAAATGGAAATTACATTAAACTAGATTAAATTTTCTCTTTATTTACTGATTAAAAACCAAATATCGAAAGCGTAACGCTACACATGTTCTTAAAATAAATCTAAAAAAACTTTAGACAAATAGTTGTTTTTTCTATGCTTTACCAGATAAACATGGCTTAAATGTCCCTTATCTTTTATTCAAGAAGCTGAAGAACTTAGCATGCTGTTGCTTTTCATTGTCCTGTAATTATTGTGCATTATCATATCTAATAAGGGCATCTTCTACCTTTCGTATTTAAAAACGTACAAAGCATCACACTGTACTACAAAATAAAAGCTTAACAAATAATATTTTCCTTAGATCTGCTAAACCCCACTAGCAGGATTATCTGCCCGTGCCCTTATACTGTTCTATGACACGAAAAAAAAACACCCCGTTTACACTGTGCCAGATAAATTTTATCCGCATAAAACTTGTTCGGGTTGATTTGCGTTTACACTGTGCCGCACAAATTTTGTCCACTTTGCCCTCCCGTTTACACTGTCCCGGATAACTGCAGTCACATGACTTAAATCATGCACAGAACGCCCAAAATGATGTCTTCACTGGGCAACAAAATAATAACAAAATTCCCGCCAACGTAAAAAGATTTCATTCTCTTTTCAGAATCATCTGCTTCTCTTTTAGACCAAATCCAAAGATATTGTCAATACAAATTAGGCCTAGTTTGTTTTAATAGTTTGTTCTTGAAACAAAATGACGCTGAAATAGCGAAGAAAGTAAGGAAAGCTAACAAGGATGCCAATTTTACGTGGAAGGACGAAGATACTGCACTTTTAACACGAGTATTTATCGACTACAAGGCAGCCAAGATGGCGAAAGGTCTTGATTGGGAGACAGTGAAAACAAAATAGGAAGAAATAGCTAATCGCTTTCGAGCAAGATACAATGTGGATAAAATTTATCCGGATAAAACCGTTTACACTGTACCACATAGCTATCTGAACTAATTTAATCCACTTTCCTAGGTGAATTAATTTTGTTCGGATAGCAGCCGCTCGCAAATTCGCGCGGATGGCGTGAGTCTAGTGTAAACGCGACGCCTACCTGAACTAATTTCGATGCGGATGAAATTTATCCGGCACAGTGTAAACGGGGTCTAAAAAATACCATGGCTTGACGTTATCAGCAAGAAAACAAAATATTTTCACAAAAAAGTTCAAACCTGGACGTCCATTAGATAAAATAGATGTTTTCCGGATACTGTTTCATATGGCCAATGAATGGTGATAACGGCACTTGGGATTTTGTCTGGGCCGTTGTTTATAACCTGACAAGGCAAGCGATAGAATAAGCACAGTGACTTCACCTGGCAAAAATCGGCTATTTCCAAAATTGAGACAGTAGTATGTAGTAAATGCTGGAAATTTTTTGCAAAATGGAAACAAAGAAATGGAAAAAGTCATTAAAATCTAGTTGACCCTTCATTCTTTCAGCCGAATTTTTTTGCCTTATAATTTCTAAGATCTTAAATTTCTTACGAGACAATTCTTACGAAACCAAGTGTATTGCTACTCGAAACTAGACGATGCCAGAGGGAGGGGTGTGTTCACATGTCTAAAAAGCGATACAAGAATTGACATTGACAACAATAGTGTTCTTAATGTTATTTTTTTAATTACATCTAATGATAATGGCCTGATGATCGTATTAAGCAGGAAACTCAGAGTAACAGCTTAGAACCCTCCTGTTCTATACACCAAAAAGCCTCCAACGATGATTGTATAAATGCTTGGCTAATTGGATACGGTCGCCCTATACGATACGGCCTCTGCTTTAGTGTCCCTAAAATGAGGCAGTAGCGAAACAGAGGCTCATGGAGTAAAATCGTTTTTTGTTCGCAATGGCGTAGTTTCGAATTATTCGCACATTACCGGGGAACCGTTATCTTTCGACAACTCAATAGGATATTGTACAGAAAGGTTTTAAAAGAGCTTGTTAAAACAATGGAACACCTAAAGAGGCGTTTGACCCAAGGAATAATTGACATACAAAAGCTTCGGCAACGTCATGGGAGCGCTGATAACCAGGTCCTCGAGAGCGAATATCGAAATGAAACAGATCTATACAAAAAAGATGTACTCGAGGCGTACATCATGTTACGGCGGTCTATTGCTTCCATGGAGGAGAAAATAGGATATCTAAGGAAGATTGGCGCTGCCTCGTGGACAGGGGGGTCGGCCACTGCAAAGTTCACTTGCAAATACATATCTGAGTTTCTTTGGATTCTTCGGGAGCCGGACGAGCCACCACGGTTGAAGATAGCATTGATAAAAACTGTTATTGAAATAACATGGCTTAACGATGACGTAAAGGAACAATTCCTGCACATGAACATTTTGGATATACTGTACGACATAATTGACACCGAGGCTGTTAGTGATACTGAAGTGCAGCGATGGGCAGTGTATGCCCTTCTTTGTCTTGCTACTGGTAACTACGGCCTACAAATACGCATGCTACAGTTTCCAAATCTGCCGAGGCAGTTGAGGAGGCTCTCCAAGGAAATATGGGTTAACTGGAGTAATAACGAGGCACTCAAACTATGCGAGCTGCTTGATCTACCTGAAGAGACAGGGGATGAGTCAAGTGACGAATCTGCTGCTGATCTGTGGTAGAATTTTAGAGACTGGACAATATAGGTTTAATTAACAGCCGTTATTTCTAGACAAACAAAATGAATTCTATTTCACGTTTCCAGCACGCATGATCCTGCCATTTCACGCTTTTCCAGCACATAAGAACCTTAAGACTAATATTGCCAGGAATTCCTTTTAAATTTCCTGCTCGTAGTTCTTTTCAAATTCCTTTTAATTATCGAGCTTGTTCGGCGACAAAAACATTTCTTTTTACTAAAATTATCCCTGAAATTATAAATATGCTCCCATCCTCCTGACAAATTAAAAATTCCAAAAAGGCATATGAAATTATTATCAAGAATAATAAAACCCGATGCACTAATTAACTAAAGGACTTAGCAAAAAAATAAAAATATAACATACAAAATATTGATGTTTCACTTCGTGACCAGCTCCCCTGTCTTCCTTTATAGCACTCTCTCCAACAATACTTCCTCCATAAAACTCACGTCTCGTGATTGCTTTTCTATAGATTGGTGTATATTTGATAAGAGTTATAAGAAAAACATAGCAAGCAATTAAAGAACGATGCCTACATACACAAAGCAATGACGGTACAAATCTAACTTAGGGGTAAATCAACAATTTAAAAAATGCATCTAGTATAAATAGCTCTAAACTTTTTTATCTTTATTACAGGACTTTTAACAAATACTTTTATCAATCAGTGTAAAAGTATTCACATTTGGTCATACCTGTTTAGGAGAAATGTGACGCTGTTATTTCGCATTTTTGTACATGCAAATCATATGCATTGTGCAATAAACTTTTTTCGTATATACTATAGACGTTAAAGTATTAAAAAATTACAAACAAAAGGAATTTAAGTTACATGATATGTTTGTTGTCTTCAATTGGCACTTACCCTTGCAGATTTAAATCAGCTTTAGCAACAACTTTCAATTGAATATCCATGACATTGTCAAGATACGTTCCGTCTTCAGCATTGGCGCTATTAAGAAATATATGTTTGATAAGAAGACTACCATGAAAATAACCAGCGATCAAATGGAAAAGACACATTGAAAAAATATATAACCACTACGAAAGACCATTCTCAGGCACCGCGGAGCAGGGGGGCTGGGGGGGCTTTAACCCACTTTTTGCAAAAAATGCCAATTTTTAAGTATCAAACTACCAGAAAAGCCTCTTTTTATACGGTTTTAGCCCCCCCCCACTTTTTTTGACCCCCTACTTTTCTCAATGCTCCGCGGTGCCTGATTCTAATCAATTATTCCTCTCCAAAGATTTTCAAAAGGTTCCCTCACTTGTCTTTATGTTCCCAGCTAATTATATAATTTTCATCTCCTCGTCACCTTTAGCCAAGCCCTGTTAGTTTCATTATTAACTTCTTAGGCCATCTTTTCCGCATTTTCCTTGCACTGTGCTACGATTTCTCACATTGATCCTAACTCAATGAGAACCTTCTCATCGGAGGGCAAAGCCCCAAATATCACTTTCTAATATACTTTATGACAGACCGGTAAACAGTAACTTTCATTACCTTGATACATTGATGGACATTATCTTGTCATCTAAGTCACCGGACAGCCTCTTGGTATCCAGAACGATTTCGATCTTTTCCTATCAAATAACAAAAATAACAGAATTAGAGACTTGGCTTTAACCAATTTAGATAAAAAACAAGCAAGTAATATCTGACGGCTGATTCAAATAAAAATATTTATAAATAATTCAAAACCTACAAAGATTGTGCAGGATAAATTTTCATTTTCATTAACGAAGGTAACTTTCAGCAGTAAACGCAAATCTATTCTACACCTCTGACTGGCAGCATAATTTTCCTTGTTTTACTTCAATCTTGCGAATGCTAGTTTTTCATTGCACTTCGGCTAGTGATGCTGATAAATGAGAAACCTGAATTGACACATGGCAGTCAACTACTTGAGAAATAGTAGCAGAAGAATACCTTAGCTTTTGATTTGATCTCATTGAGGACATTTTTGCACTTGGTCCTTTGCTTTCCACTGGGCAGAGCTACGGCATCTTCACATAGCTTGAGGTCCTGCGTTATAAAGGTGGATGAATATATCTTACGATTTCGGCATAAACATGTCGCTGGAAGACGACAGTTCTTCCTAGTGAGCGAAATATTACAAGAAGGAAAGGTCAAATTACTGCTTGGTATCAATATTTGAGTATCTTATTGAAAGTAACACCGATAAATTTTGGAAGTTTCTCGTGCGTTCTAAGATGACAGCAAGGTACGCCAGGAACTAATGAGAATCGTTTCGAGGATCGAAGACTAAACGGATTCTATTTCAAAACAGTGATTCTGGTTATAAATTCTAGGCTCTAGATTGACAAAAACAACTACTTTCCCAGCAAATTGTATCATAATGTCAGTGTATTCATTAATCTATTGCTGATAAACTACCTGTTTCAAAAACCATAAATTTTTAAGAATTATGCAAATAGCACAGGAATTTTTCGTGCAAAAACAATTTTATCTCAATACACTCATTTTTCATAAGAAACAGAGGTCGGCGTTGAGTATTCTATATCCATAACGCTTTAGGAATTTTCAACAGTCGTTGCTGTTTGAGAGTTTCTTAATTATGTTATTAATTTTAATATTCGGGGTCCTATAGAAAATCTTTCATGCTAGGAAAACTTTCCAACTGTTGGGAACGGTTCTAACTGCTGCAGACAAAGATAGTTGTCAATTTTTCTGTTGTTTTCAAATGCCCCTTACATTTTTGTCAAGAAATTTGCTTGCGTTCTAATACTTTACTTAGATGAGGGAAGTATATTTTATTCTCTTTGTCTTAACATTTACGCCAAGCAGACAATCATATTAATGGAATTCCACAAAATTTAAGAGAAAATTCAAATGTTTCCTCTCTTTTTTTTGCCTCGATTACTGAAGATACAAACTAAAAAACTAGAGTAAGATATAAGAAATGGTACCATATCGTTTTGCAATACACTCATTTTTTTTATAAAAATCAAAGGTCGATGTTAAGTACTCCAGTTTCTTAATGTTCTGGAAATTTCAATACTCATTTTTTCTTTAGAGTTTCTTAATTATGATGTCATGAATGATGTTATGAAATGCTCGTGACCTTTTTTCACGACAAGAGATTCGCTTCCGTTCTGATGCTCTATTTAGATGTGGGAAGTATATTTTCATCCCTTGCGTCTTTAATTCTAGGCCAACAGGGCAATAATGTTCTTGGATTTTACAAAATTTCGCTGTTCTCAGTTTTATAATGATTTAATAGTTTCTTAATTCTTTTGCTTCGAGTACTGGAGTTTCTTAATTTTTTCTGACTGTCCGTCCAGTACTCGTTTCTTATATCCAGTTTCTTATAAAAAAATGAGTGTATTTGGGCTGTCCTTTGGAAAAGACTCTCAACCAAAGGAAGTGTTTGAAATGCTTTAGAAACAGTAGTGAAAATGTTAAACACTAGAAAGGGACTTTAGCTCACCCCATTTGGAAGCATGATTGAACTAACACTGATCCCTTTTGGAAGGGTTACCATCACATCTGTTTGGAATGCGGTATCTTTCCCTTTGTTTTCGATGGCTGCGTTCAGTTTAACGTTGACCTTTCCTAAGCGGATGGTCCTGTGAAATCATAACAAAAATATCCCCTTCAACACATTTCGCGGCTTCTTGATGACTTAGAATTTCATTTCTTACAATGAATCACATTAATCCCTCTAATTTCTGAGAACCGAGAAATTTTGATGACTTTCTCCGAATTTAATTTTACACCACCCGGTTTTAAATACCATAGGAATTAATACAATTAGCTCCGGGATATATCAAGAAATTGCCTTCAAACCTGCGACTACTACTCTAATTAATACAAAACAAAATGCAATGGGTTTTATATCTGGCATTGCCCTGAAGCAAATTGAGAACGATTTTCTACACGCAAAAGGAATTTCCTGGGTAGTAAGAGAACCCAGAGGATATGCTTACTAATCTATGTAGATTTCTAATTGGTAGAATGTGGGTTAATCGTTGTCCTTTGGCGCCTTCTTATTAAGTTTTTAAGTAATCTGATACCAATTTTGATAGGTTGGTTACAACATTTCTTTCAGTCATGATCTTCTCGTATGACACTAAGAGCCCTAAAGTGAAAAGTTCACGAATGCGAAAAGAAGACGGGAAATTATTAAGGAAGTGGTTAACTAACACAAGAAACCATGTAAAAGATATATTTTAATTACAACGGGTAGGAACGGGTCTCTAATCAAATAAAGGGGCTATTTTCAGTGTCTGTGAAGAATGAGAATCTCCTGTAGGCGAAATTCTTATGAAAAAAGTTGGTGGCGGTCTGCAGAATCCTCCCAGCCAAGCGTTTATGCTTAATGAAGTTCTCGGTTGGGTTTAAACAGGAAGCCTTCTAGAGTTTGTATGCCACCATTTTTATCCAACTATGTTTTAATCAGCTAACATCATTCACAAAAAAGATGGACATCATTTTTGCTTTGTGTAACAGAATCACATCTAAGGGAATATACGCAACGAAGGATGGTTGAAGAAGATATTCCAGGGCTATTAAAATAAGGGAAGCTAAATCTGCATAACAGCAAAGAAAAAGGCGTTTACCTATATTTAAGGGGACAAAATTATTGAAAATTTCGTTTCTCCAAAACAGTTGTATCTGTAAACATCCGGGACTGAAAAGAATTATCTTAGAGGCTGCAGCGATGTAGTGATGATGAAACATTCTTGAGTGGTCGTTTACGAAGAGAGGTCATGTTCGTTTTAATGGCTCTGGTTGTCACCAGTGCGATGAAAATGCTGCGATTGGATAATGTACTTACAAATTCTTGCTTGCAATTATCATGAGGTCTGGCACGCATGGGTCACAGTCTCGTTTGAACTGAATCTAAAAAAAGACACGAACAACTAAAAAAACATTGTGCAGCAAAAGTGTTTTTCAAGTAGGAAAAAGAAACATGTTTGGATGTTGGTATTCTTTAGCCCGAATAAACTCATTAGAATTAATCAAATAATTACTAAGTATAAATGAGTTGCAACAGACAGTTAACAATTTAGTGGAAAACTTACGAATCCTTTCTCAAACAAATGAACATTCTCCATATGCAAATCGTGAAGATCATGGGATTCCAAAATTGGCCTGTTGTCAAGTGACGTCACGACATCTTTAACGGGAGGTACGTTTTTCTCTGTCAGTTCGAAGGAGAGTGATACGCGGACATCAGGAAATGACTGGAATTTGCCATCCTAAAAGAAGGTTTTGATTAAAATATCATCGATTAAAGGATAAAAACAGTAGAATCAAGAAAGGTGCTGGCCTATTGACTGCGAAAGGGCACTACTTTCAATGTTTTATTAGAAAAAATCACCATACTTAAACTATTAGAAACTGTTATTAGGAAGTTTTGGCATACTGGAGGAAGTTTATGCAATTTTCTGGAATTTGATAAACTGACAACATCAGGCTTATTAGTAAATAACACATTAGAAAAAAAATCAAAATTAAATATTTTTCATCGTATGTATCAGTAAATTATATCAAACAAACCACTGAGACCTTGAAGATAGTCCAAACTTTATGATTGCATCAAAATACTATTTTCTTGTCCAGCCTTGCGAAGACGTGATCGGGATCGTAAAGGTATTATGCATATAAATGGGATATTTATCTACAGTAGCTTGAGTACTTCCAAATCTGGCCAATGTGTTCTAATTAGGCAAGTGGACCTCCGAATAAAGGGCTCTGTCACAAATGTGTACCTTTTAGGCTCACAAGTAACATATAAAGGCATAAGAAACAAATGCGACTTTGGTGTTCGCACTGGATGTGACCTTGATTGAGTTGTTTACCTTATCACGTGACAGATAGGCTGGCAATCTCTTCCTTGAAACAACATTGCGAACCAAAATGACCTCTTCCGCAATGTTTGTATCCTCCTTGGAAAACCTGATTCTTGGTGTACGACCGGGATCCATGACAAGCTTTAATTTCGCTTCTGCAAAATGATAAAACAATAAGCATTAGCCAATGAGGCTGGACTGGAGATAATTTTTAGGCATGTCGGTATAAGTTGAAGTCAAGGCGTTGGCTTGTCAGTGATTGTGAAATCATCATCGCTGTTATACAGTCTTAGTGAGACTATTTATAGCGACACTATATTGAAAAACGATTATGCAGTACAGAAAGTTTCATTGTACAGATTCATACACGTTGATGAAATATTCTAAGTAACCTCTTCCCCTCTTCTGATATGCTATATCCCCTCTTCTGATATGTTTTGTTATGAAAACAACGGGGCATGATTTATACTGAAAGAACACGTTCTGTCTTAATGTTTTGTACATTCATTTATGCAAAAGATTTCCTGAGAAACTGGGAGTCTTAAGTTGATACCTATGTCCGATGTTAACCGCTTCGATCGCTCTTCGTAATAGAATTCGACGATAATTTGAAACCTAGAAAATATCATAAGTAAGTCTGTGTTAGAATAGTTCAGGCGCTTGTGCATAAAACACAGTAAATATAAATATTTACCGTTTCAAAGAAACAGTCAGATATCATCAGATGATCTAGTTTATATCTTGTCCTCCTAATTGGCCCTTCTAACTGGTAAAATATCTTGTTTATTCCATGGGTAGCCAAAACAAAAATGATTTTAAAAAAGACATATTCGTATGCCAAAGCTTGTAAGAAAAAGATGCAAAATCATGTTTGAAAGTTAAGACAATAGTGATGTGTCACCACCAATCCAAATTGATTTTATACAATGTCTTTTGTTTTAGCGGATTTCATTTGACTGATGTTTCCTTTGGCAGCCAAAGGTACCTCGCCTTGCTTTATCATACGGTCTGTAGGCTCAACATGGCAGTCTGACTGATGTGACTCATAGCGTGGAGGCAGTCAGGAAGAACGTGCCGCTCAGGAGGGGAGAGGCATAGGTTCCAGTGAAGCGTAAGACCAGGTAGAGAGGGCGGAGGTTCGCGGGGAATCGTAGGCCAATTATGAGAAAAATTCATTCACAAAGAGAGACGGACGGAAAATTGATCTTCCAATTGGATACACACATAAACAGTATTCTTCCATCTTTAGCTAAAAAAACCTGAAACCACTTTTTGCTTTCTCATTTTTCCAATTCATAATTCAGGAATAGAGGGTGTACTTTATGAATGCTACCAATAAATATTGTCAATCGACACAGTGGATGCCAAGGAATGGTGAAAGTTATTTTCTTACACAAATACTAACTGAAGCATGAATTGGTCAGTAATCAAATTATGAAAAATGCGAATAGCCTACGTTTGATCCTTCGTTTTGTAGTCCTCCGGGTCGATTTTCGCTGGTCTTGTTGAAATTTTTGAGACTATTTTGATGACTGGTCTTGACCTAAGTAAAATTGTGAAAAATTATAAAATTCATAGACCTGTTTTGAAAATTCTAGGTTGAAGAAATGACAGCAAAGGTCGAAGAAAAGAGGGAAAAAAAGAAAAAAAGGAAGCACAAATCAAAGGCAAGTGGAAATAAATATCCAGATGCGGATCAAAAGTAACGTGAAATTAAGTATGACCACACAAAAAAATTCGGATGGACATTTACCTTATCATTGCAACTTGGTTCGAAACAAATGCACCGACAACTATATCTAAAAGCAGAAAAATGGAGTTGAGCAACAGAACATGACTGATGGCGAAAGTCTAAATTGTAACAAATCTAGAAAATCATCGCCTCATGTCAAGAGAGATATAAAAAATTAAAGGATCTGGGGAAAAGTTTTGGCTAAACCATCAGAACTTCATGCGAACAGAATAATCTTTGTGTAATCTTGCTGTAATCTTTGTGTATTCATCATTTAGATTTTCATTATAGTTACCAATCCAAGCAAGCTAAACAAATCCATATTGAACTACCAAAACAAAATAAAGCAGCTAGGTTGTACGCAACGTCAACTTGAGCATTCTGTGTTTTCTACAGTACCTAATTGTCTATAAGAAAATATTGCTTGTGAAAATAGAACTAAAGAGTAGTACTTTAAGGGAACGTACCATTGTATCCATTAGAATCCAAATCCATTCCGCCAGCCAAAGAGCGGCCAAAGGCTCTTAATTTACTATCAAGCACTGAGGCAGCAATTTTCTATAAATGGGCGGAAGTAACAGATACAAGGCGGTAGAACTAGGAGACTGATGTACAGTGGATTAAAGGTGGAGCCATAACTCTAGTTAGAAACAGTTACAAAACATAGGAGAATGAAAGTAAGATAAGCACCTAAACATTGGAAGCCCTCTAACCTATAGATACTTTCAACCAATGGGAATGTACTTCTCGGGGAGAGCGTGCCAGAAAATTATGAAATCCTCTGTTTCCTTATGTTCTATACTTTTCCAGAAATGATTATATCCTGAGGCGGATACCTGGGGGGCGAGGCCCCCCCCAATACTTTAGAGGACAATGGTCTTTTATTCTAGAAAAAGGGAAATGTGAAGTCATCTTATTAAAACAATAGGCTTACCCCCTCCCCAATGTTTGACCAAGCGTCCGCCCCTGATTCTTTCTCTCCTACGGTACTGGTTACACATATCATCATCTTGCCTTTTTGATGTACCACTTTAGCTCGTGTATTGTTCATGTCCTTACTATGTCTTTACAGATTACTCGTGTCCTTACAAGTAGGGTGTCTGAATACAGAGGGTGGTTTTAAGCGATTCCACTTGTCGTGATTATGAAAACAAAACACTTACCTGTGTATACTTGGCCGAGAAACCTTTCGCAGTGCCCATGTAAACATAGACAGCTCCTCTAAAATCATTCTCATATGGAGCACCCACAACAATATCTGAAAATTGAGCAAATCAAATATTACTTTATTTTTATATCAATTAGGTAAATCCATAAAAATTATAAAAAACTTCATAATAGTTGAAGACACAGTAAATCAACTCGAAGCTGAAGGCATTGTGAAACGTGGCCAAGAAATTACAATTGTTCAATGCCCCGAAATCATTAAAGCTAATTGCTAAAATATGGCATTCTCCTAGATTTTACTTAAATGTTAATAGGAAGGAGCCTAACATTCTCGAGATTTTAAGAAATGCTTGAACGAGCTTTCATAATCAGGGGATAAACGCTTTTGAGAAACGTGTTTAAGTCGTTGTGACTCGCATAGATTTCGTCACGCTTTGCCTTTTAATTACGTCATGACTGATGCTTAATACAGACCTTTAGCATACAGTATCGGAGATATGCTGCGCTAAAAGCTACTTGCGTAGCGAGAATTCCAAATATGCATTCAAAATATCATGAAACAAGTGAATCAATAGGTTTCATCTTTCAATCACCAATCAGTGAGTGTGATTCCACTCATACGTTCATTTATTGGCTAAAATTGATTAACTGATGGTTTTAGCTACTTTTATATCTGTCGATTGTCTTTAAAGAATAAAGCCACTCATTCGATTGTAACTGAGCGTTTAAAAACGGATTCGAAAAACGAAGATATTTTAAGACATTAAGCTTGGGGCATTTCAAAAAGATAATAAGCGGCTCGCAACCCTTTCGCAACCCCTTCGCAACCCCACGAAATTTTCTTCATGGGCTCATCTCAAGTATCCAGTTTTATATACTTCTACTCGTATCACAAGTAATCCGCAAGTAATACGAAAATGACAGCCTACCGTTGTACCCATCTAGGTTGAGGTCACCAGGAGATGCGATAGAAGCACCGAAATTGGCACGAGGTACAGCCACAGATAGCTTGGTGACGAGTTTCATCGATGACTGCGAATGAAAAGACATTCAGTAAGAGCAGAGTCAAGAAAACATTACGGTCGCACGGCCACTGACCAGAGGAAGGTCAACGAAAAACAATAGAAGCTCCTATGACACACCCAAGCCACGCCCATTTTTTATTGTTTTGCGAGGAAGGTTTGCCTTTTGGGATGTTTTTGTCTGGAGGAAGGTTAACAACTTTTCTGGACTCTGCCCAAGAGTGGACTGCATTGGTAACATGGAACGTAGCACAGTTCAAACAGCAACGCGACTTTCGTTACAGCCTGGAATCAACCAACTTCTACTTACATTGAAGAAGACATGACATGACGGCGGGAAGCAAATGAAGCCAAAATACACTTAGACGTTTGTTTTAAAGATAAACGGGAAGCTTTCAGGACTTTGTGGAAGCATGTTCATAAAGATTGTGATGGTTTTCCACAAAGCGTACATTGCATGCGTTCAAGATTTAAACTGTAAGACCATTTTTTCTAAAGCAGAAAAATTTATGGGAAAGAAAGACCTCATTTGCAATTGATGTGAAAAAAAAGTTTTGAATTTAATTTGACTCACAGAATACATAAACTCTTTCATAATTGACGCCATTCCTTTTTCAACTATTTCAAGCATCCCCTATTTCTTGAGATCTTTTATCTTAAAGCTATAGCAATCCAAAGAACTAGAAGTTAATTTCTCATAATACCAACTCCCTCAATACCAACAAAAAATTCTGTCAAATTGAAGGTATCCTTCCTTTTCAACAAAAGCTGACGTCAAATGTCAACGCTTACTTAAAGGGAAAGCATTGGTTAAGGTTCGTATAGGCAGTTCCCTGCAAACGGAAAAGCAAAATTTCCTTGTTTAGTTTCCTTGGATATGCAAAACTTTAAGAGAAAAGAAGAATCACCTCAGAAGCTCTGCTGTACACATAAACCTGACCCGACTCAGCAGCTTCGTTTTGATGAAATGGAGCTCCAACCAATAATTGGTCGTAGCTGTGAAAAGCAGAATTGAAAGTGAATCACAATAGATATTTAGCTGATTATAATGCAAGTGACAATTAAACCTTAGTTTCATAAGGCACTATTTTCTAGACAGTCTGGCTCATAACTTGTATATTTTGTAAAATAAATCTTCACTTAAGACAGCTGATATTAAATCACAAAATAAGCTTAAACAAAAGGTAAAGAATCATCTAAACGAGCAATATAGAAATACTGTTAAAATAGTGTACTATCTACGGCATGCAAAATTTGGTCACTGCTGCTTAAACTTGTCTCACTTGGTACAGTGTTTGTTTTCAACCATGAAGCAGAGGTTTATACTTCTCCGCTTCGAATGCCTGAGTGGAGTAGAAACTCCATATGTTTGAAAGAAAGGACTGCTTCAAATAGCAAATCTACCGCTGGTGTAACAGAGCTTTGTTGTGCCTTGGTGAATCAAATGTTTCACAGCTCCTATACTTGCATAAATTAGAACCCCAGCGCCCACTACCCCACTAGGCAAAATTGTCTTCAATTTTTATGCAATGTCAATAACAAACGCAATGACATAACCCGCAAAAATTCTGTCGGCGGCCCCTAGCTGTAACAACCATGGGCTTAGCCGCTGCCAAAGACATGAACAAAGCAATGGTCACGCCTAAATATTAATTTAAGCAGCCGGTACCCACCTGTTACTGCTTTTTGCGCCCGGCTTGTGTGTGCATACTGCGAATCCGAAAGCGGATGTAAACTGAACCTACGAGTCAAAGACGAGACTAGATAAGTAAGCTTACTTGTAGCTGACATTTAAGAACGCAGCCATTGTTTATCAGAAAATGCAATCATAATTTGCTGTTGCAACATTTGTTATAGGTAGCCCCTTCAAATTAGGCTTGCAAACGAAGCAAAGTTTGTATTTTGTGGAATCGGTGCTGGGTCCCATTACATTACACATGCTCATATTTATGTCTAAGTTTCGATTTCAAGTTTAAATTTGAACTTTAAAGGTAAAATAAACCACCGTGCGCGTTATGCAATAAATTGAATTCACAGTGTGCCTTGCCAGCCTACTTAAAAGTAGACCTAGATAATAATATTATAGCTCTGGGTCATCTTTCGATGTTTTGTAGTGTCACTAGCTTTTAGGATTTATGACTTTCCTGCTTTTGACTGAAATTATTGCAGCAAAATTTTGCTCGAATATCAGTGACTATGTATAATAATGAGGTTACATTCAACAAATTTTAAGCTGTGGCTGTATACCCCTATCCTCAGTACACCAAAACATGCACAGGTCTGCCTATACAACTTCGAATATTATATGGCAGATCCATAAAACCGTAATTTTCATTGCACGAAGTTTATATATCGGTTTCAATATATTTATCAAAGTTTTATTATTGGCACTGTCAACTGTTAATGCAGGATTTGCAGAGACATTAAAAAACCTCGAAGACAAAGATATTTGGTGTTCCAAAAAGGAAAGTATCAACAAAGAGCAAGATTTCCTAACGAAACAGAATTAACGAAATAACTTACCTTGTCATCAGCTAATGGTAAAGTTATGATTCTAGAAACATTGGTGCCGCTGCGTTTGAGAATCATGACCTACAATATACAAGGATCCATCAATCATACCTCACTTCTCTAGTCTAGTTTTCATTAGCATGACAATGGCGAATTTCCTTTTATTCTCACAAAAACAAACGTGAAACAACGGTTTCAAACATAATTGTTTACGTGCAAGGTTATCAAGCGATCTTGAACATGTTGTCAACCATTGTGAAAATGAAAACAGAACAATGATGCGAATGTTTGTTATCATAACAATGATAACGATTTATGTCATTATGATTATCAATTCTATTATTATTATTATCATATTTCTCAATTTGCTATTGATCATGACGATAATGATTATGATGGACCATGATTTAAAAACTTCAATTCACCTTTCCAGTGCTGTCACTTCTTGGTCCTCCCATTGCTATGTCTAAAATCCAATATCAGCAATAGTTACGACAGGTGCGTTAATAGAAAGAATGAAAATGGAAAAAGGTGAAATTTGGTATGTTTGTTTACCACGCTAGTCCTAAATACCGCTTAAAGGCAATTTGTCTCGTTGTAGATTGGTTAACGAGAACAATAGCTGGAACAATAGCCTAAACACAATTCCAGCGCTCAGCCATATTTTTTACAATGCGATAAATTAAAGGGGGACTGGAAACAATAAAAAATTCCTTTGTTCTTATAATCAATCAACGTCGTGACACATTGCCTTTAAATGTATAATGAGTTGAGCCATAAACTTTAATTATGAACACATTTTTACACAGAGGGAACGCCAGGAAGCTCGTTTATTTTGAAAATCTTGAATACTTTTTTTAGGCTTACAAAACTTTGAACTTAAACAATGCTAAAATGGTTTGAAATGCAAAACAATTATATCTTTTCATAAATATTACATTTAGGCAAACTAGCAAAAAAGAAATTTATTCTCAATTTATAAATATAGCAAATTTAGACCAACTTTAATTAATGATTCGAACTTAATTCGATGAAATTTCTCCTTCCATTGTAACTTATAAAACACTGAATTATTCATAAAACACTCAAATTTTAAGAATCATTCTTAATACAGATTCATAAGAGAATAAGATTTCTAAGAAAATAAGAAAACAAAAATTCAGGTCGACCATCAACATGCAAATAACAAAAGTTGCACATTTAACTTTATACCAAAATAAATTAGCACTGAAATAACTCATATTACCTTTCCGCGTTTTCAATAAATAGTTGCCATGAGCCATTGAATAGCCTTAAAAAAATTTGAATTTATTATATAAAAAGTTTCATGAAGATATTTTTTTGAAAACATTTTAACATAACATAAAATGACTTCATTAAATCAAACATAAAATAATTTATCACTAAAAAAAGTTAAAATTTGTTTAATAATATGACTTTTTCTGAAACATATTCCCTTTTCACCTTTCAATTATTTGAATAAACAATATATATATATATATAACAGTCATATGAATTTTTATGGTAAAAAAATAAACAAACTTTCTTTGGCCGTTATTTTTCTACAACATTATTTTATGTTGTGAAATAAACATTGAGCTCTAAATATAAAGATGTATATACGAAAATAACAAATCTTATTATTAAAAACAATTGAATGGGTCTCTAAAATCTTACCAAAATAGCTCAGCTCCATGTCTTTTATTTTACTGCTCTGAAAGAAATTGCTGTCATCAGCGGCAAGGTGTTCGAATGCTCTTCCTGACAAAGTAAGAAGTAGTGGTGGATTTGCAAAAGAAATAATAAAGGCATATGGATATGGGAATGTCTCTAAGCACAGGAATAAAAGACAAATTACTGATAACTGTCTGGTGGATCAAATTCTGAATTTATTAGTTGTTGCCTTGCATAATGCATACATTTAAAAATGCGCATTGAAAAAAGAGTAACCAGAGAAAAACGAAAACAATCAAGTTGAATATGGCCCAAGTGTCGCTTTCTGTTATGTCATCCGCTATTAAAGACTTTTTAACTATCCAAAAACAATTGTTCATTGCCCAGACAAATTGTTGCTTGAATAACGTTCTGCCGGGAGTGGAATTCATAATTTTATCAGCAATTTTGGAGTAACTAACGAAGAATTGTTTATAAGAACACGAGCAAAATAATCCAATAAACTGCATTAATGGTGCTATCTAGACAAACATTGTCTGTTCTATTCAAAAAGTAGAGTTTGCGTGGTCAGGAAAAATTATCCTGGGCCTTCAGCCCCAAAATTCCACCCTTCCCCACAATAAAAGATTGAATGTCCACAACGGAAGCCTTAACATTTTGAAAGTAGCGCATATTGTCTTATTTGTCTGACGTCTTTCTATTTGAAAAATATTTTCAATGGGTGACTACTTTGCATTCGGAAGGAAAATGGTCCTGGTTGCTTTGAACAAAAACGCAAAACATGCCTGGACTTGTCATAATAAAACAATATGCTTAGCCATTCGAGAAGAAATGAATTTTTAACCCCTTTAACGTGAATAAAGCTGGAGGTAATCTCAAGCGATTCAAGAAATAAACATGGCTGTTGACAAGAAAGCAGAGCTGTATAAAGGCAGCTCCATTTGCCTTTTAGTGGTTGTGACAGGATTGCTAGCTGCTGAAGCAATATTTCTGCACTTAAAGATACACAAAACGGAAAGCGTGCTTACAGAAAGGATAGACGAACTAGAAAGAAAACACGAGATAACTGAAAGAAGATTCAAAGAATGCCAAAGCAAAAATGGCGAGCGCTATCAAACCGACATGAGTTACTTTTCACAACTTTATATCAGAAAATTCAGGGAATTAGAAGCACTAAAACGAAGATCACGACGTCATATTGAACCGAGCCTGGTTCTCCTTTTGCAATATCTAAAATTTGGACATAAGGATGGTCAATATTGCGGCAACGTGACACTAGTTTGCAAGAAGGGTGAAAGAGGAACAAGGGGAAAGCCAGGCCCACGTGGTGTCAAGGGAGAGGCAGGGCGAAGTGGAAAAATTGGGCCAGTTGGTGTGATGGGTCCTCCAGGTCAGAAGGGTGACAGGGGGCCAAAAGGTGAACCTGGGTTGCCACAAAGGTCGATTTCAAAGCCACAAATCAAATCAAAGTTCCCAAAAATCATCTACAAAACAGAAGGCTCAAATTTTACGTTATTCTGTGAAGCTGAAGGACATCCTGCACCAAAAGTTTTTTGGAGGTTTGGATCACAAGTACCAGACTCAAGGTACAGTGTTCCGGCTCCAGGTGCCCTCACTATTTCAACAGTACAGGTGAATGACAGCGGTATTATAAAGTGTGTTGCAGATAATGCTCTTGGTACTGTTACAGTTGAAACTGAACTTTCCCTACTAACAAAGCCAAGGGTCTTCATAAGCTCAAAAACGGCCATTGGAACGGTTGGGCATCCTTTAGAAATCAAATGCAGCGCCACTGGCAATCCTATACCAAAGCTCAGTTGGAGAAGAGGTAACGGTCCCATCAGAGCCAAAGCTGAACTTGCTTCTGATCAGAAAAGCATTGCCCTAAAATTTACAAATGTAGTTTATGATGATGTTGGGTACTACATATGCGAGGCAACAAACGTTAATGGCGTAGCAACCCAATCTATTCTTTTTGACAGTGGATATTCATCAAGAGACTGTTTATCATGGAGGAAAAGCGGCCAATCAAAAAGTGGAATTTACGCGGTAAATCCAGGCCGTGAAAAGCCATTCTTCGTATATTGTGACATGGAAAATGAAGGAGGCGGCTGGACCGTGATCCAGAGACGTACTGATGGGTCTGTTGATTTCTATCGAAACTGGGAAGAATATAAGGAAGGTTTTGGAGATTTGGAAAATGAATTTTGGCTTGGAAATGATAAAATCCACCGACTAACAAAGCAAAAGGCTATGAAGATTCGATTCGATCTTGAAGATGTGGATGGCGTCACAGCTTTTGCAGAATACAACACTTTCTATATCGATGGGGAAGATAAGCAATATGAAGCACATGTGGGTTCTTATTCAGGAAATGCCGGCGATTCATTTTCCGATACAAATCGTCGTAAATTTACAACCAGAGACAAAGATCATGATTCATATAGTAGAGGAAATTGTGCGGTGAAGTTCAAAGGTGCATGGTGGTATAAAAGATGTTATAGATCGAATTTAAATGGGAGATATTTGAATGGTACACATAGGTCAAACGGCGACGGAGTGCATTGGTATTCGTTCAGAGAACATTCATTGAAAAGAACTGTTATGAAGATAAAGCAACAGAGTTAAATATCAAGAACATTACACCTATCTGAGCAGTTGCAACATATCATTAAACTACTTCTACAAAAAACTATTTGTAGCATTAAAACGTTTTTTGTAAAAAAAACTTGAGCTAGGCTATATTAGTAGTTGTAGCAAAGAAATATTAAACTTCAGCAGCGTAGCGTTGCAAAGTATCCTGAAAATTTACGAACTAAAATTTTGATTTTTAGTGTCACAAGCTACAAATCAAGGCTTGAATTCCATTTACGTATATTATAAGTTTACATCCTTCTTCCACTCCAATATTTGGACTTTTATGACAGCGTGCAAGTATAACAAGGCTGTGCCCATGAGAGATATGGTACAAGCCCAGCCCAACAGCTTTAATAAACAGCCTAAATTAACTCTGAACTGTAGCACTCTTTATAGTATAAACGTGGGATAATAGCCAAAAGTAAGCATAAAATTTTACATCCAGGTGTGGAATACAATAAGATTCATACCTTCAAAATTCTCAACACCAACTGCACCAAACAAAAACCTCATCGGTGATTGGTCCTTAAAGATAAAACTTGTCAACATCATACATGACCATTGCATAAAATGATACTCTTTGAAGCCCTATTTAGGATAGCTGCCTTGAGCCCCTCAACTTTCAAGCAACAAGCAATAGATCTGGAATTGACAAGTAATTATACATCTTGTACAATAGCAATCTAGAGATGAATTTTTAAAACAAGATGAAAAAAGACCCAAATCTAGAGGGCCAAAAATTCTTAAATCAAAAGATATTTTACAAGCCATCACAGATAAGCTTTTCACTGTTTATCTATATATGGTGTACTTTTTCAATACCAACATTAAACTACCAGTCTAGAACCAATAACATCCTCACACCAAGACAGAATAATTCACTGAAAAATGAACAATTAGGGATCAAGTAAAATTGAATGTTTGACAAATTTCACTTTTATATGCATGACTTACACACATCTATGCATGACATTCATCTTAGAAATATGTATGACATACCAATCTTTAACATTCATATAAAATTTTAATCACAGTATGCAAATTAATAGCTGGTCTCATTAAAGAAATTTTTTTTTGAAAATACACAGCTTTTGTATATAAATCCACACCATACATACCGATATGATATCTGCACCAATACCAGTGAGACATTGACCATAATTCGTATAAGCTGGAACTTGAGCTATGGTTTGAAACAAATAAAAAAGTATAATATCCATAGAGAATTATAGACAGCTTCTACTTGGAAACATTGTAAAGAAGGGCATCTTAAACCTTCTGTCTCATATTAGATAAACAAAAAAATACTACAGTCATTGGTAAAACTGTTGGAATACCTAGATTCAAAGTCGTTTCACATCCTCCCACCAACAGGCAGGCGATTTTAACAGGAAGTAAAATTTGCCAATTAAATTTTTTCGAAGTATTTATACACAAGTAAGAAAGAAAATGGTCTTAAAAACAAAGAAGGAAAATATTTTTTAAGTACTTTCTGCAACAGAAAAAAATGAATACCAAGTTCTGTCTACTGTGCTTCGTAATTATAAATTCATCCTCACTTGAATTTGATTCACTAATCCATAAAACTAAACCATGTGTTTTACAGCCCAGGAAAAGAAAGACATGTAACTTTATCTAAAAAAACTTAAGATGTGACAAATATGTTTAGCCTAAAATGTCAATAAAAATCTAAGGCAGGCATTCAAGGTTGAAATTGGTGGAGACGGGGGTGATTAATTGCCCATTTCGAAATGTTTTGAGTGATCTAGGAGGGTGCTGTGGCACATGCGGGTGATCACCCACCTAAAACAGCCAGGACTGGTGCATAGGTGCATAGGTGCATCAAGTTCAGTCTAGCAGTATATGTATTTGCTTTCTGCAAGGTTTATCAAACTTTAAATGAACATGATTGGTGAGATTTCAAAATGAAGGTATTGCAGTGGCTAATGCCTCCTTGGAGGTAACACAACTCAACATTCTGAATGGAAAAATAACACCATTTTAAATTTTGAGACCTTCAAATTTTGCTTATCTGATAGCAACACTGTCTCCCAAACTTAGATGCAACATTTTTGAATATTTTTCAAGAACAGGATCCAGAACTTCAGAAAGTCATTTAGCCAATTTGTGCTGTGCTGAGCTAATCAGAGACACAATGGTTCTATTCAGTCACCCAGCCACTTGCCTACTGTTATTACAAAAACAAACAGAAATCTGATAAAACGTTGCCAAATTTGTAATTAATTACTTTAAAAAAGTTGCTAATGCATGTAAACAAAAAATGTTCAGCAATGTACCTCTGTTGATGGGGTCTTCACATGGTGAGAAGCTGTACTCTGATGATTCTAAATTTCCTTCAATGGACCGGCACTTTCCAGACAACAAATGAAAATTATCACCAGGTCCATATGACAAATACCTATGAGCACATGCCTGTTTGGAGAAAAGTAAACATGTGAAGGTTGTTTTGACCATTTCGCATTCAAAGATTCATGGTCCTCAGTCCCTTTTTTTCAGAACAATTCAACAAAAAGGACAATCCTCCACAACAATATGAAGAAAAAAAAGTGCAATTGAATTGTAACATAAAAAAGGCAATTAAATGTAGAGGCACTATAATCAGCAAACAAGGGGGACCTGGATTAATTTGTCAAGCTTGATTTAACAAAAAAATTTAAAGGTTCAGAAACATAGTAACAACCATACCTTCCATACTGAAAGCTTGTTTCTAGCAATGTAAATTAACAACTGTTGCCTGGCAGATTAACATTATATAGTGTAATAAGCTATTTTGACATAAGATAAAAGAAAACAATACTTACCAAAACAGATTTATCTTTTCCACCACTTTTCAATGATACCCCAAACCACTGATTATTTTTATTTTCAGAAGAGGAGCTGACTGTAGAAATAAATTAAAATAGCCTGAATTTATTGCACTACTGTGAAGGCCTTACATTATTAAAAAAATTCCTCTGCTCCTTTGAAGAATATATTCCTTTAAATACTAATTAAGGTCTATAAAAATATTCCTAAATAACAGGGAAACTTCAGGTTCGCATTCCATAAGCCTGGAGCAGAATAACCTAACAAACACTTAATTTTTGCGGTTATGAACAATCAATTGCATAATCAGTTTAATGTTGTATCATGCAGACAAAGACAATCCTAAACAATCTATGATTGCAATGAAGAATTGTGACCATGAAGGCTCATTTGATACTTCAAAAAGGATTGTATTGTCAGAAAATAAAAAAACATGAAACACCTATGATATTATAACTTTGATATCATTAAAGCATTTCAATGTGAAGCCTACATGGAAATCTCCATCCAGAAGGTACAACTAAAATTTAGTACTTGTAATGACCATAGAAGATAATATAAAACATACTTCTACGATCAAATGGAAGCTCTTCTTTACATATGGATGTGCTGTTTGTAGCACTACATTTGAAAACAGTGCCAGTCTGTATGGATGTTGGTATCAAAGTTGAATTTGCTTTTGGTGCTGATGCTAGGATCCTTGAAAAGAGTAAAGTATTGAGTTCACAATGGGGAAGGTGAATTAAGATTGCAATGAATATGTTATACTTATATTTATTTATTAGATCTAGATATCAGGCACACATACCAAACAAATATTAACATGAAGCTGGTCTTTGTGTAATTTGCCAAGAAACAATGTGCTGGTCACAATGATTCTTAGTTGTAGGCCAAGAAAACATACACTAACAAAAAGCCCCTAGAGGCTTGATTAATTAAGATTCTAGAGCTTATTTCAAAATTTGGAAAGACAGTGCCTTGTATTCAGGAAACATCTTCGCGATGTTCATGAATTTGTAAATTCCTAGTCAATCATTTGCCAATCAAATGTTCTTCTTTTGTTTGTTAAGTTCTACAACCATAAAATTGATTTCTATGCTGCACAGTAACTGGACTAAGGATGCTTGAAAAAAGATTGGCTGTTCACTCAGGAATGCCCACTGCTTTGATGTCAGAGTGCCTTAACTATCTCAACTTTAATAAGAGGGGCTTCTTTCAAACTTCTTCTTCAAAACATGGGGATTCTAGGGCCCTATAATAGAAAGGGACTAGAAAGAGCTTTTTCAATAGATGCAAGTCCAACGTAACAAAAGGGGTTTAAACAAAGTTCATGACAGCTGGAAAATATCAAGCTCTTTAAAAAATGATTGAGATCAGAGGATAGAGACCTCGGAAAGGGGGATGTGGGGGGTCATCTGCCCCTGTTGCCTTTTGATAGGAGGGGCAAGGGGGGCTAAAGTGCCATTTTCATAGAAGTGCCTTTGACGCCAGCCTTTTATAGGAAATCAAAGAGATTCATATGAAATCCTGACTGTAGCACCTTATTTATGACAACATTTCTCAAAACTTGTAAAGTTGGTCTTTAAGATATGGACAACAGATGTAAACAAAATAACAACTACGATATAGTAACAAACTTGGTTGTGAAAAAGATAGTGGTTAAAGGGACATTTAATGAAAGAATTGTGTTGATTTGGGAAATAAAATTAGCTACTAATAGCGTATTGGAATGAAATCAATAAAAACACAATAGTGGATATGACATGTCAGAAAAATATTTCCTTATTTTTATTTTACTTATCTTTCCTTATATAGGCACTTATTTTTAAAAATGTCATTTCAGAGTGCATTCTGCTTTGTCCTTTACACCTAGCACAAACTTCCTAATGGTAATCTGGTTGGAACAGTCTGTTCAGGCTGAAGGTCGGCGGATAAACTACTAATAATAAAAGTCAAACAGCTGTGCTCTTTGCGTGGATGAATAATGAATATACTTATATGATGAATCATATGCAATAAAAAAATTTAAAATGCATATGGTCCACAAATTTTACAATACCTCAAACCTGTCACTGATTATATCATATAACCACATTTTCAATAGATAAAAAGAGCCTGATGTATTAGGAATTTAAAACTGAGAAGTAGAACTCGTTATTCAAACTCTGGGGATGAATTTGTCACCTACAGGTCAACGCTTCAATCATTGTTTTTCGTAGCGTCAAGTTGGCCTAAAACATGGTCCTAAGTGGTGAACCGGATGGGTGTTGTCAAATAACTAAAATTCCATAATATATGAGCATCTAATTGTCATGCTTTCACAAACAGCTAAAGATTGATTTTGCAACTTCCAGAATGTAGGAAAATGTGATCTCATATAAGAAAATTAACAAGATCATACCATTGTTCAACTTTGTTTGTGACAGCATTTGTTACTTGATGCTCTGCTACTGCGAAGCCAAACAAACTGCCAGGAGGTCCTTGTTTAATAACAGTATAATTAGTGTCTAAGTTAAAAGATACGGCAACTCCTAGGAACATAAATCTTATGAAAAGTCGTAGTAACGAAGCAACTGTTCGGTAGTCCATATTGCAAGCGCTTTTCTAATTCGAATCAACATTACTCCCGCCTCGACTCGCTGTAAACAGCTCTTGGGCATATAACATGCGCAGTGACATATTAGTCAGAAGGGATGGGCCAGAGATTACGGTTCCCAAGAACGAACAGCGCGAGGTTGAATTTGTGCCAAAAAAACCAAGATTTGTAGGGCAGGACAAGTGTCTTTGGAGAAGGCATAAGATTGTAGAGAACTTTCAATGAAGAGTATGGGTGGGGAACTCTCAAAAAAATCTGAAACATAAGACAAAACGTTGAATTTGAGCTGTACCGTGCCCCTGAGCCACTCCCTGTGTGGAGGAGGCAGGTGCAATTTGCCGAGACCTGAAAAATGATATTCTATTTGAACAGCAGTGACAGTTCAATTCCTTGCCACATAAAATAGACTGTAATACGATAGTTCTCTGTAATAATATTTACCAGTCTACGATAATCGATGATTCTGCTATCCAACGTGTTCGAACAGGATGGCTTAGTGGGCTAGCCTAAATTTGACTCTTGGAGAGAAGCTTGATAGAGTTTCTAGCTGCAAGCTGAAGTTTCTAAGACTCTGGTAGATAGCTCTCCCTAGAATGGGGATCTCCCTAGGGAGGGGGGGGTTGGGTAGGGAGGGTGGAGTTGTCAACTCTAGCTATTCTGGAGGGCAATTTCATGATTTCTTGAAGTCATTTAAAATCTTTGGAAAAAGGGTGTTACTTGGAGAATGTTGAGCATGATTTTGAGAATCTGATTCCAAAAATATATCATCATCCAATTCGAAAATAGATTACTTTGCTATTCACCAGTCAGTAAGGCAACATATTTCATTGCAATATTGCACTGTGCTAGTGACCACTTATGTGAAAAAAGAATTGATGCAAATCGATTTGTTTACTCGTAAATAATTGAAATTGATTTATCAATATTATCAGGATAACCATTTTTGGACATTTTTAATAAATGTACAGTGCATTTCTGTCTGATTCATTCTATGCACGAAAATGCCCAGTGCTGCAAAAATACAGTATCATAAAGATGGTTGCTTACCATTGTCACTTGCTAAAAGGGGCGTCACTAGTTTTTCAAACTTCCATATAAGCACATGATCGGGAGAATTTATTCACCTACAGAGTCGAACTCTTCAACAACATGGTTGCTAACAACCCTGACCCAGCTAAATAGTTGAGACTTTTCAAGGAAAGTTAAGATATCTCTTTCTTTTAAAAAAAAAACTTTTTCCTCTCCCAAAATTCAATGTTGAATGCATGATTTTCAAAGAGAAATGATAGAACTACAAATCCAACATTGATTCAGGGGGAAGGGGGATTAGAATTTGGAGGGGCAACATAAATTAGAAAGTTAAAAAAATTGCATTTTTCATAACAATTTTGTCCGGAAATCATAGCTGGAGCAATGCTGATGAGATTGCCTAGCCCTCTATAAACCCCTTTTTGGCAATGCTATATTTGCTTTGCAGAAATGCTACATTTTGGAATATTTCAGGGTAATAAATTTGAATCCATGTTCAGATGAATGACAAAGGCGGGGAATGTGTACCTCCAAACCAATACTATCTCCATTGACACTGCCAAGGATTTTGAAACGTAGCCAGTGGCGGACTGGCTCAAAATTTTTAACCTGCCACAAATAGCTGGAGGGGCCAGGTGGGTGTGGTCTGAAATTAGGGTATGGTCACGTTTCATCATAATCGATCAACATAACGTATGTAGCATTAATAGCAAAGTTGAGCTGTTGATTTCAAATGGGCGCTTTGTACTCCAATTGAAATTTAACATTGAATAATAAAAATTCTTATTTGATGAATAGGAATGAATTTTGGTGAATTCTTATCAGTAATTGTGCGCAAGAGACTTTTTTGTAGAAATCAAAGTTAAAACCAGTAAGAAAACTAGCCTCAGATGCATAAAGGATAGTGAGTATAAATAATATCTAAGGTGTGAGGAAGCCTCATCCCAATTAAAACCTAAATTAAAGATGGCAGACCTGACAGCAAACTAAAAATGAAGGTACACTGATTCGCTTTGCAGACGTTGTAGCTCACAGTATTGTCGATGGATTGGATTGCACAAACTTCTATCAAAAACCCAAAATGGAAAGACTCGTTCAGCGACAAATAAAGTCAAAGTTCTAAAAAAGTCAACAAAACCCTAGAAATATTTATGAAACCAAGGGATTAAGTTTATTCAAAAGAAAGTTTTGCTTATACGAAGCACCATGCTTGTTGTACCCAGTTGCAGTGTAACTGCTCCGAAGTGGAGATTTAGCTTTTTTATTGTTAATATTATTATTATTCAACTCTTCTCATGGTCTTGATGGTATACCAGTGTTTTGTCTATGATCAGGCCACCTCCTATGGCTTAAGATAATAGATCTTTAGTCTTCCATGCAAACCAGTCTTTCTTTTCCAGCTCTCTATTTCGTCCTATTTGCTGTAATCCAAAACTTTTCTCATTATTCTAGCAGTGCCCAACAAACAAACTTTTTGCAGAGGATCTAAACCAGGTTTAAAGTCGATCTTTTCAAGATACTTTGCAACATTCTTCGTGACTATTCCTAACGCACCAATGACAATTGGTATTGTGTATACTTTTGTTATTTCTCTGTTCCAAACCTTCAAAAGTTCATACTTCAGATCTGTATAGTGCTCAAACTTTTCCTTCTCCTTCTTTTCAACTCTTGTGTCAAAAGGACATGCCACATCAATAATATAGCATGTTCTTCCTTTCTTATCCAGTAGGACTAGATCAGGCTTGTTATGGTCAATTCTTATTTCTGTTTGAATGGAAAAGTCCCATAATAGTTTGACCTCTTCGTTTTCTAAGACTGCCATTTCTTTATCTACGAAATGTTCGTAGCTCTTTGCAGTGGTGGGAAATCCATATTTTTGGCACATCTGCCAGTGAAGGATAGCAGCAACTTTGTCATGCCTTGCTTTTTTATAATCGTTCTGAGCCAACTCTTTACATTCTGATACAATATGGCTGATAGTCTCATCTCTTTCATTACATAACCTACACGACGGCGAAATGTATTCTTTGTCAATATTATGTCGTATCCAATTCGTCCTAATTGCTTGATCTTGCGCCGCCATGATCAGCCCTTCTGTTTCCTTCTTCAAATACCCTTTCTTAACCCATAGCCAACTGTTATCGTCGTCCCTTACTTCTTCTGTTTCCCTTAAGAATGCCGAGTGTAGTGACTTGTTGTAATAGTTCTCCTCTCGTGTTCTGCGTAGTTTCTCTTTAATAGTTTTGGGATTCTCATTTTCAGACATAATATCTTCATTAACCACCTCTTGTAGTAACATCTCTTCGCTTTCATTAATACAGAATCCCAGGCTCGTCTTTTCAAGCATCACACATTCTTCAACACTTATTAGTCCTCCTTCGCCTTTCTTGCGTTTCAAATAGGTCCTGTCTACATCTCCTTGAGGGTGCATGCTTTTATATATTGTTAGCAATTTACGGGTTTTTCTATCCATGTGTTGTAATTTTGCTTTTCGCTAGTCTACTATTCCAGCTCCATATCTAATTATAGAAACTGCCCTGGAATTTATCGCTTGGATCGTATTCCCTGCATTAAGACTCGACTTTAAAATCTTCCTGATACGTCTGAAATATTCCTTTGACAATATTTCTTTCATTTCCGTATTCTTTGTTATATCGCATTGGATTATACCTAAATATTTGTACCCATCATTGCTCTCTAATGTCTTAATTGTCTCTCCCGAAGGTAAGTCTATTCCATTACTGTCCACTACTCTACCGCGTTTCATTTCTAACATTGCACATTTGGAGATTCCAAACTCCATACCAATGTCATTACTGTATATCGGGTTGTTTCAACTAGTGAGTCCAATTCATTCAAACTCTTTCCATATAGTTTTAAATCGTCCATAAACAGGAGATGATTTAGTTTTCCCCTGTTTCGGCATAACGTATATCCAGCCTTCATTTTTTTTCAGGACCATGGATAATGGAATCATAGCCAATACAAAAAGAAGAGGCGAGAGACTATCTCCTTCGAAGATTCCTCTCTTTATCTTGACCTCATCGAGCATTTCTCCTCCCGATGTCAATTCGACAGTCCAAGATCTCATCGACTTTCTTATCAAGTTGTGAATGTTATCTGCTACATTAAACATGGTCAAGCATGCGAGTATCCAGGAGTGGGGAACCATATCATAAGCCTTTCTATAGTCAATCCAAGCAACACACAAGTTTGTTAATTTTCTTCTGCAATTCTTCATGACCATTTTATCAATCATTAGTTGGTCTTTGGTTCCTCTGCTTTGTTTCCTGCATCCCTTTTGTTCTTCTGGCAATAACTTTTCATTTTCAAGATGGTGATATAATGATTCACTAACAATGCCCGTCAATATCTTCCACATAAGTGGTAGACATGTTATGGGTCTAAAATTGGTAACGTCACTTCCTTTCTTCACGTCTTTGAGAATTAGGCATGTCCTTCCTCTGGTCATCCATGTCGGCATTTCGCCTGTGCTTATACACTCATTAAGCTGTGCTGCTATTAACTGGTGTAACTTAGTAAAACCTTTTAGCCATCAACCATGTACTTTGTCAGGCCCGCAAGCTTTCAATTTTGGAACCCTTCGAAGTTGTAGCTGCAGACTATGCAACGTAACTTTTACATCACTCTGCTTTGCTACATTCTCTACCTGTTTTTCGACCTCCTTTATCCAACTCGCATCGCTGTTATGCACTACATCTTTCGACCAAATGTCACTCCGGAATGCCTTACTCTGATCCGCGTCAGGTTTTATGTCATTTTCCCTTTCAACTCCTTCGATCTTTTCAAATAGCAGCTTTTGGTTGGTTTGGAACAGTCTATTTTGTATGTATTGGTTGTTTCGTTCTTCATATTTCTTAATCTTGGCATTTTTTGCCTTTATTCTCTGCTTAAGCTCCTCTATAACTGTTGTAACTCCTTTATTCCAAACATGGTATTTTCTCTCAAGATTATCTTTCAAACCTTCTGATTTCAGTTTCCCCTCTTTCCATTTCTCTACACGTGATACATCTTTCCGCATGTCT